TTTGGAAGAAGGCTGGGGGGGGAAACGAAATGCTTCAAATGTTGCCCCTGATAAGATTCCGAATGGGTATTCTACCCTCTTGGAAAGTGTGGACAGGAGAGGGCAGTTTCTTGAAGGAGTAATGCGTTTGTTGCGTGGCACAACAATGCACCAAACTTTGCATGCACTAGTATCGTCATTGGACTAAAACATGGAAATGACACAGGCCTAAACCCAAGAATGCCCATGACACTATTATAGGAAGGCCCATGTAATCTTCAAACTTCTTCTAATCTTCGAATCTTGGCATTTCCTTGAACTCTAAAAAAAAAAACTAAGGAGGAATACTTAATCCCTGAAAATAATTTTAATCTGGTGCAAATTTAGTGCTCGGAAATTAATAAGCCAATGGGTTAATGTGAAAACATACGAGGCGTGGACAGAGTTGGGCGGTGACGGCGATGGAGACGATGAGATGCGCAACGTCGCTCTCTTGTCCGTTCACGGCCATGTTCACCAAGACGTCCATCAGGAAACCCCTCCCGCAGTACAACATGAGGATGGCCTCGTTCCAAGCAGACCACTTCCCTGGAACTTCTGACAGAATCTGTAACTCCATTTCGCCACGATAGGCACTAAATGAAGAGGACTGGAATCGGACGGACCGGTGAGTTCCCAGAGGGCAGAAATGAGGGAGTCTTTGGAAAACTTGTCTGGGCTGGAGTGCATGAGCTGGAGAGCCTCGGACAATCCCTGAAACTGGGGCAAGCCTGATTGCATATCCTCCAACCAGGGACATTGAATCATCCCTGCAGTCCAGTGGATCTGGGCTATCAAGGAATTGCAAGGGATCCACAAATTTACAATGCTAGATTTGCAAAATTGTTCATAAAAGGATGAAGGGCATACTCAGGTTGGGAGTGAGCGGCCCAAAAAGCAAATAGATCATCTTGGCCTGCTGGAAGATTGACAAGGGCTTGAGAATAAGTCCGAGAAAGAACTTTCGCCAATTATCTCCTTGGCCATCCCAGCAGAAAATGTTCCCAAAGAAAGAACGGACACTCATTTCCGCGATGGGATCGGCTCCGGGAATACCCCACAATATCTTCGACACCTTCCTCTCCATCTTCTCTCGTTCCCACAGGTAATAGTACACCTACCGAGATGAAAACAAAATTTGGCCGACTGAATTATTTCTGGGTTAGGGGAGGGGGAAGGAATTTTCAAGGAGAGCTTCCCTTTTGCCATACCTTCCTTCTTTGTCTATCATTCCAGGTCGATGAGAAGGCAAACCAGAAACGTCCCGAAGCTCTGTTCCGAATATCTGAGCTGATGAGCGGCCATCGATTTGTGCATCTCTCCAATATCTGCATGTGGGTACAGGTTGATAAGGAATGAGCAGCCACTTGAGCAGGAAATCTTTAGCAGTTGAAGAGCACGAGGTGACTCACTTCGCGTAGTACGTTGTCGGTGATTCGGATTTCCCTCAAGGTTGATTTCTTTCCCAATATAGAAAACACACTTCCCAGAGTAGTGAACTGCAAGGCGAACGAAGTACGGCATTATTCGACAATCTTCTGCGGAAATAATTGCACTGACCGAGGACTCGAGGCCGTGACGCACAGGCGATGTTTCTTCAAGTAACCGAAGAGCAGAAAGGATTCCTCGGAAAGCTTACATGGGAAAGAAAAGGCAGGAGGTGATCAGAGAAGAGCGGGATCGGGGGGGAGAGGTGGGGGACGGCAGCGTCGCTGTGGACCCAGTCGTCCACGAGGCTCTTCGTCCGCTGCGAAACTCTTGCCATGGATAGGAGGTCTGACACTGGAAGACAAAGCATCACTCGATTCCTCCACGTAGGCCTACTTGTAACCAAGTCCATTGAAAATTTACGTGGAAGATTAGTTCTCTGATGAACCTACATGAGAAGTTGGCCAAAATTTGGAATTGGACATCTCTTGACAGGTTCTCGAAACTGCTGACGTTCATGTCAAATGACGGCAATGGACAATATAGGGACAAGCGTTTCCTGTTCCCGCCCTTCCTCGTCGTCATATTCCTGATAGTTAATGAATAGCTGTGGAGACGCGAAATTACATATAAACAAGGCATTTGAGGATATTGAATACACAACAGAGCAATGATTCCATAGGAAGTGACTCAGTGGAAATGCTAATTTGAAAATAGCTGCTGCGAGACAGCAATAGCCAATGAGCCCAGAAGGATGCTCATTTATAGCTGTCAAAATGTTTTGCTGAAATGCATGGGAATCTCCTTCATTTTTGTATAAAAAATCGCATGTGAGAGAGAGAGAGAGAGAGGCGGAGATGCAGCAGGTTAGAAGGCCGCGGGCTAACTGATATAAATATGGCGGACTCCCTCAAGCGTGCTCCATGATTGGTCGTCGCCTCATGACGTCGCTCGGAATCCTATCCTGAAATCTTCACTTGGCTCCTCTTCCGGTTTCGGCAAGAAAAGTTACCAAGATGCTGAACTTACACGAGGCCGATAATTATGATATTATGCAACGTGGCAGGGGAAATATTACAACGGAATACTTTGAATGAACCCAGATATGCAAGAGCGGAGTAACGACGCCAAAACAGCCCGCACGACCGCGACCATTGGATTGACACTCACAACTCGGAAGCGTGCATGCTTTCCCCGTGGAGCCTCTCAGCCCATCTTGGTCGGTAAGGATCTCATACCCGAAATTCTCAATTTCTCTTAGCTTCTCTGGATTGCTTATTATCATCTCCTGTTTCTTTCGTTCTCTTATTTCTATCTTTCCATGTTTCTAGATTTCTTCTTCGAAGATGAAAATTGAAGTGACTCTCCTTAGAGAGAGCTTGACGAATTCCGTTATGAGTCGTCCTTTGACTTTGAAGTTTCACACCATTTTATTGCACACAGCTGCGAGTTCCTTCGCTAAAATTCATCAATCTAGCAAAATTCCTCATTGGTATAGCTTTTTGACGATGAGGACATACAGGAAAGCACCATTTCAAAGAAGCCCAATTTGCCGTCATCGGCGAACGGGGATAACGACAAAAGGCAAAAAGGAAAAGCAAATGAACGGAACATTTTGGCGAAGTGATTTTTTTCTCAGATCTCGTTTCCCCCCAGCGTCAGTAAGAATGGAATCGGACCGGATGGACGACTTCGCCTGCGGGATGCCACGAGCGTCACCAGCACAACACAATCGACGAAAGCCTGCTTCGGAGAATAGAGCGTATATGGATGTCACGCCATAATGATCATGCCATGTTCTATTGACGCTCGATGCTTCGAAGGCACTGATCGGCGAATACAAATATTTTAAGAAAATAGTCAGATGTGAGTGAATGAGAGCAGTGTCGGGGAAAAAAAAATAGCGGAAGAGACAAGGAACACCTCGTGAGATGATAATGACGCGAGTAGTAGAAATCCACGCGAAAAATAACTGAAGAACGTTGGACGCTCTCCAAATACTGCTGAGATTAAAAGAGTTCCACAGATTGGTTCGAGCGCAACCCAGAATGCCTGTCGTTTGCGGCAGTGCCGATGGCAGCCTAATCGAGTTAAATGCTCTCACAACTGAGGCTCGGTTTGTCGATCGCACTGACAACCACTCCATCAACTGCTTAGTGGTATGTGAGCCTGAAGCAGGTAGCACAACCCTGGCGGGTTATGGAACTGACGGCCTAAGAAAAAATAGTTCACAGTTGCTTCCATAGTCCCTCTATTCCTGCCTCGTCTAGTAGACTCACCCTGCTGGCCCAGCTTCTGGAGAGACAAGAGGCGTCAATGGCATGGATTTCTGATGGGTGCTCAACTAGCACCACCACTTCGCCGCCCCTGGCAAGTTGAAGCTCGCGCCGATATCTGTCTGCCTCTGGGCCGAAGGAAGTGTGCAACTAGAGAACCTACTCTCCCGGGAGCGTGTATGATGCGCTGGTACCACGAGACAGTAGTCTTCCCAAATTGGACGCTGGATGGCGCTCATACCGATGCCAAAATCTTCTGTCACAGCTGTCACCCCATGGAATTATGGCTCCTGTGCATGGTGCCTTTAGAATTGCAGCTAAGAAAGAGTTCACTCGGGCTCACGAATCTTAATTTTTCATCGACCGGCGCCGAACGAAGTAACTGCCTTCTCCCGAATGACAGAAAGCATAGCCGATGCCCTCTTTGTGGGCACCACGTTCTATAGTAGATTGTGGATTTTAATTACGTTGCAATAAAATACAATATTTTTATATATGGCTTCCAATAAATGGGATTTACAAGTACATGTAGACTTGTGAACTTGTAGGCTTTGAGAAACAGACTCCGACTTCTTTCTGGGTTGGGAAAAAAAAGGCTCAATAGTTCCATAGGTGGGTGGAATGACTCATACCTTTCCTAGGATGTCGATGAACAAGGCTTGTATATTATTATTATTATTGTTATTACTCAGGCACCGTTAGTTATTTGCTGAGCCATGACGAGCAGGCAAGCAAGAGACAGAATTATGATACCTGAGCATAACGCATATGGATCCCATCGAGGAAAGATTGGGCGTAGAGCCCAATGATGATACGAGCTGTGACGTCACATCACCCCACCGTTTCCTCGAATGCGATTGGTCTGCGATGTCTCACAACATCATGGAAGCCTCCAACGATCGCGTGGCAAGTTTGTCGTCGATTGAGATTGCATCATGTGCTTTAACGTTAACCTCTCAAGACATTTCAGTTCTTTCAGTTCGTGGGTGGTTATCCGTAGGTTATCCTTCAGCTTCATTTGAGCATCGTATATGATAAAATGGAATCTGGCATTGCCCTTGAGTCCTTATCAGCCTAGGCCTATTAGGACTACGCAATTTGTACAACTAAATGTTGTGAATGCAATTTCTATAGTGACTATGAGAAAGGAAGGGTAGGGCTACGGAGCTCATGCTAAAGATGGTACAAATTAATTTGTTAAACACTAGTATGGACAGTTGGTTTCATGGGATGTACAGGCTTTCACTTCTTCATATTGACTCTTTTCTCAGAATTTGGTTTTGTCGTTGATTCTAGGTCAAAGCCAAGTAAGCCTGTCAGAGCCTGACTGCACTGCTGCCACCATGATGTGACCTTATGCCACACATCAAGTTGTTTGATCCTGGAGGCTTCAGTCAGGGTTTGGCCGAAGTTCTAACGGACTGGTGTGGACTTACAGCACAGAATCAGGCGGTGTTTCTGTGAGAAATTACTAGTAGGCGGCAGCACATTAGGGCTTGCTTCCCCTGAGAAAAAAATGAGGGATCTCCCTGATTCAGAAATCTCATATGATCTTGGTAAGGTTTCATTTTAAAATTGACTTTCAAGCTTTAGAACTTTATATAGCTTTTTTTTTTTAGGTGGGAATAATGTATAATAATAGTAATGGAATTGGAGTAATCAAAGAGCTGCAGGTTCAGGCCTGTAATTGGCCATGTTCAGGTTTTGTATCACTGTTTCTAGCTGATCGCAATGTTTGCTATGTTTCCCGTATATTTTTCCAGGGCTCTCCCCAAATGAACTGGACTTGCTGAAGAGGGAGAATGGAGTACTGCTGGATGAGCTACTTCAAGAAGACCTCTCATCAGATCCATGCTTGGATATGCTTGATTTGGATGAAGATGTGGATTTACTCCCCAGTGAGAACTCTCCAGTCTCTGAAAAACCCAGTTTTGTACAAGCACCTCAGCAGCAGCCCAGTTCTGCCTCCCTGTCACAACCAGGCTCTCTCCCTCTGTCACACCCTAATTGGGTGAAACTCCCAATCATCTCCCAAACACTCCGTCCTGCAGCTGTTCCTATATCTGTTCGTTCCATTGATGCAAATTCATCCATCACAATTGGTTCAACAAAGCCTGTGGTAAGCATGATGATTCTTTTCAAGAAGAGTTAAAGTAGTATAATGAATTTGAATTATCTTTGTAATTTGTACATTTTCATATATTATGATGGGCCTATTTCATGTACTCAAGGACATTTATTTGATTGTAAAATCCCTTCATTCAAACCAAAAATATACAAAAACAATCCAGAAAAGTATTTAAAATATGTTTCTACAGGTCTCCATTCCTGCAACAATGGTGAATACAAAAGGAACCCAAAGAGTTCAATTGGCTCAGCAAACTTTGGTGACCAGTGCAAGTGTTGTTCCAGCTTTGGTATTGACAGGAGAGCCTCACACGTTCACATTTGTGTCTAAGTTGAATGCACAAAATCCATCCCCTCCCAGTAATGGATTTAATGGTAACCCACGTATGATAGTTGGAGAAAAACGCACATCTCACAATGCTATTGAAAGAAGATACCGAAGCAGCATCAATGACAAGATTATTGAGCTCAAAAATCTTGTTGCTGGAGATGATGCAAAGGTACAATTTTCATTTCCCAATTTACTGAATGTTTAATACATAATATGGCCCTGAAAAATATTCTCATTGCTTTATAGCTGAACAAGAGTGCTGTCTTGAAAAAGGCCATTGATTTAATCAGATACCTGCAGAATCATAATCAGAAGCTCCGTCAGGAAAATGCACGTCTGAAGTTGGCATATCAGAATAACAGCCCAGATAGTGGATATGAATCCCCTTCTGGTGAGAAAGAGGTGAGTCATTCCCATGGAGTACTGGTAGGCAACATTCTTATTAAGATATCATTGCAGCATCATAAAACCAAAATTCAAAGCATTCAAAGGTCTCAGCTACAAATTTTGCTAAATTTTTTCCAGTATCATGATGATAGCCACAACCACATGGAGAGTTCACCAACATCTTCTACTCCAGAATCCAGCCCTACAAGTACAGAGGGATTACTGGATCGCTCTCGTCTGCTCATCTGCATGTTCTTCCTTACCTTTGCTTTGGTCAATCCCATGACTGGCATTACACAACAATTTCATTCAAAGAAGGACTACACATCTACTGTTGAGGGCAGATCCATTCTCTATTCGGAATATCCTGAGACATCTTGGGGGAGTTTGATTGTCTCATGGTTGGGAACTTTGGCCTTCAATCTGTTTTTGGCCTTGCTTGGATTTGCCTGGTTACTTATGTATGGAGAACCTCGTATGGGAGTGCAAAATGATAAAGATGGCTCTCATTTCTGGCATCATGTCTCAAGAGCAGAGTCAGCTTTTGGAGAGGTCTGTATTGGTATTCGTTTCCCAAGATATACTGCTGTCTTTATTATGAATCAGTGTTATTCTTTTATCCATTAGGATAACCATAGCTTGGCAGCAAAGCAGTTACAGCAAGCATTACGTTCCTGTGGAAGACCTATTCCAACATCTCGTCTGGACCTTTGTGCATCTCTTCTGTGGCAAATTTTAAGGCAAATTTTCCACTGCCTTTATGTTGGCAGATGGATATCTCACTTTTACGTTGGTGGAGTGGCCCTAAGCAAGTGAGTTTATTTTTTTTTAATACTTTTTTTGACAATCTCTGAGTAATTTAATCCATATTTATCAATGTAACTTAAGGCCCCCTTTTCCATGGACTCATTAGTCAAAGATTTACTTTAGACCAGTATGAGCAGGCCCCCAGGAAAGAATATGTTGCTCCTCAAACCTATATTTAAAAGAGAGATGGTGCTAGTATATGTATGACTGAGGACGTGGTGCGTATAGTCAACATCCTGAATCCTTGTGCACACAGCAGACTGTCAAAGAGTCTAAGGGTAGTGAGGCTCATAAGATGTGTGTCAATGCTGATGGTGACAAATGAGACCAATAATTTTCACGAAGGGAAATTTTTGTGGAAATAAACTTGGAAAAGCAAACTTTTCTGAACTCAACTTCTTCCCTTTTTAAGACCTCCCCGCCCCCTCCATAAAATATGGAGTCTCTCAATCAACTCAGTTGACTGGTGCTTATCCCTTTTATAGCGGGGTCCTTGGGGCAGGGGCAGTTGGCAATGCTGCTGCACAAGGATTTTCACAGGATATGGACTATATGTATATTGATGAGTGTTATCTCTCTGTAAAATTTCATAGCAAACTAACTCAAAACTTTCACTGCTACTTGGTGTGAAAGAACTTTGGCTCTTGTGTATAATTTCACTATGTGGATCTAGTAAAGGAGTAGAGGATGCAGGTGTATTGGAAATAATTTAAATGTAAATCTCAGGGTGTTTGGTAGTTGAAAAGCTATTAAATTTAGTTGACTTTTGGGGGGAATAGCTTTTTTAAATTATTTTTAATGATTTGCTGGTTGAGCAAATAATTTTAACGGAACCTTTATTTCTGGGAAAATTTGAAAAATTAAAGACTTACCACCACTACAGTAACATTATTGTTCTACTTGTACTCTGTTGATGTCAATGCAATGAGTGCAGTGCTTCAGTAAGGCTTGCCTTGGTTTGTCTTGGGAGTAAGTTTTAAATTTTTCATGTGATAAAATTCCAATCAAGTAAGTTGGCTGATTTTGTGCTATAAAATATACATGTAAGTGTCTGGCAAAAAAGAAGTCTTATGGTTGAGATGAGCATGAATGTTGAGGTGACTCATAAACCTCCATTCACATGGCAGTTTTTCTGTGCTCTTCCGAATCCAAATGGCACCCATCCATTTTCATAACCACATCGCTTATAATTTACCAGAGTCACTATGACAGACACCCTTTTTAAAGAGATATAAATATTATTGAAAATATCAGGCCAGTAAAAAAAAATCCTTTGCTAAAAAAATTTATTATCCTGTGTAACAACCAGCCAAATTTCAGAGCATTTCTTCTACCTGCATACCTGAGGTATGCAGTTTTTATTTTTGCTATGTTGCTTCTGGGACACCTGGTTGTGAGATAAAGAAATTATCCACTCTGGCATGAGACAATGAGATGAGAATGGAAGAACATAGATATATGTTATCTGAGATTTTGATATGTTTAGCTGTTGTTGTTTTTAAAGAGATGTTTCACCAAAATGAACTTGTACAGAAATAACAGTGACTTGCCATATCATAATGCTGCTGTATTTGACTAAAAAAATCTATTTGAGGTTAAATCTGAAACCTGAGTACTTGAAGTCTTTTAACCCTTTCAGTCTGGGTGGGACTCAGGAGTCCCGCACTTTCTTCGCATATATTATAGGGTTACACAGGAATGCACAACCTTGAGACCATGGTGGGATTCGAGTCCCAGTTTGTAGTAGTTCACCTCATGTTGTCAAGCTGGCAGCAGTCCACAGTAATTTGAAGCTGCTGTATTTCCTCAGGCACTTCAGAAATAGTGTCATCTTTTGCATTTATTCCAGTTAATACATTTCTTTCCCAGGCAATTTTTCCTATGTTTTTTGCAAGCTTGGTAATGGAAAGTAGTACAGAAATGCTGAGAAAAATACAACATAAAACAGGGATACAAGTACTAGCTGAACTAATTAAATTTCATAATTTAATTAATTAATTAACTAATTTCAAAAATAATTTGATAAAGATTCACTGTTATTAAGAAAACCATTTTAAAAGCACTTTTATTTCATATGAGCCTTGTTGAAGCCAAAAAAGTTTATTACATATTTTTTCAATGCCTAGAACATAATTCAGGACTGAAAGGGTTAAACAAGCACATATTCCACCATTAAGGCCCCTGATGTAGTAATGGAGCCTGTTCATGCCACATTCTTTTAAACCTTTAGCTCCAAAGTTTCCAAAGCTGTACATGCACTCTTGGCTTGAACCAAATTTGGGCTTGGGATGTGCCAGCCCAAGAGGCCATCACAAGTATACTAAGGCATGGGATTCAAAGGTTTAATTTACAGTCACTACTGAAATAGGTTTTTTTTGGTGAAATCAGTTTCCTTCTGTTGCCACCATTTGGCAAAACTTGCATAAGAAATTGATATTAATTGGCTTTCCAGTTGCTCAGATGTGCTGTTTGACAATTTTCTGTATTATGCAACTTTCCTTGCAGTGATCTGCAAGTATGCAAAAGGAACAAAAAATATAAAGAAATTCAGCATTTACCTAAAAAAAAAATAAGTTAAAAACCCACTGGGAAAATAATTTCCCACTTCTTATATCTTGTCTCATCTGAGAAAGATGATGGGATAAATATTTCCCACCAGAGCAAAAGAGTCTTACACATGTCCTTGAATTGTTGTTGTATACATGTGGTGTTGGAAAAGTTTTTTTTTCACCATTTGTACTTGGAGTCTAGCATATAAGGAGTCTGCAAATTAAATATGAATTTTTTTAACGAGCTACCTTTTGCCCTATAAAGGGCAAGTGCTTCTGGGGAGATAAGAACTTTTTGGAGTTGTAATGATGAAAGAGAAACAAAAGTGTGACTTAAGTGTTGGAGCATGAACACACTACCATGATCCTACTTAACTGTTTATGCTGAGACATTTTTTGAGATACTTGACCTTTGGAAGGAATCTACACACTTTCCAAAAGAGGACTGCTTTTTTCTGTTCTGCTTAGAGCCAGAACCTGTTATGTATTTGTGTGCCATGGTAACATTTAGGCAAAAACTACTTGCATTAATCCATTTTCTGTGTTTTTGCATAATATATACAAAGTCCACTTGCACCACTCTCTGGAGGTACTATTTACTTTCCCTGAGGCACTGTTAAGTTATGACCTCATATCCTTCAGTGTTTTTCACATCAGTTGGACTTTTTTTTCAGTTTGATTTTAATACCCATTCATGGGTGTTGAAATCAAATGAAAAAAATGTCTGACTCTGAAGTGAAAATCACTCTGTAATTCACAAAATACAGAGCAATGGATGTATTTGCAATATTTTCTCCAATCTCAAAGCTGAGTATTTGGATTGTGACCACTATGGAAAGCTCCATTTAGAAATGCATATGTGGACTTGCAGCGGGAAAAAAAACAACAAAAAAAAAAAACAAGTTTTTCGTGTTTACCATGACACGTCACAAACTCACATTGTAGACTTACGAAGCAAGATGTATTTCTTGCTTGGCTTTGGATTGCAGAAAGAAATTCTCACTTTCTCTTTGAAGCTAATACTTCACCTTTTGCTGCATTTCAGGGCTACAAGAACAGAGATCCATCAAAACCTGGCCCAAGTGGCCCAGATATACCATCGGCTCCATCAGTTGCATCTTACTGGTGTGGGATGTGTTGGTGATGGAACAGGGCTTCATGATCATATGTTGGGTTCCCTCCTTTCCCTGGCTGCTGTTAACATTGGGGAAGCTGCAGGTAATGCACTACCACCAGGATCCTTGTCTGAGATCTATCTTCACATGGCCCTGCGAGTCAAGCACTCCTTCCCACGATCCCTCTTCTATCTCGATCGCTTCTACCTGGCCAAGGGGCGTGGTGCATGTGCTTCTCACATTTGCTCTTCAACCCTCCCCCCTGCCATTCAGTGGCTTTGCACCATGCCAACAGCACACCGATTCTTTGTCACCCACTCATGGACCTACGAACCAAGAAAGGAGGCACTGTTCAGCTCTCTGGGGTGTCAGGTTGATCCTCTGGCTCATGTCATGAGGGTAAGACATATCAGTGTATTTTATGTCAAAATGTAGCCCTTATTCTTGATCTTGAACTTTTCATTTTGTTTCAAAATATTTTTCCTGCTTCTTTCTTCAGCCTTTACACTTGATGTTTTTACTTGACTTGACTTTTTTATGATTCAGCTGCACAGAGAGCATTTACTAGAGAAGGCAGTCTATGCTCTGGTACATCCAGGCCTGAGGGCAACAGATGCTTGTGAGGAGCAGCCACTACGTCGTACTCACACAGGAGATGCAAGTCAGCATTCCAAAACCTTGCTTGAAGTTACTTCCATGGGAGAAAACTCTTTTGGGGTAGCTAATGGTGAGTTTGCAGGAAACTTTCCATATCATTGATTAATTGCCTGATTATATGTGTAAACCTTTTGCAACATTTTTCATTGCAACTCTTGAAATAAGGTTTGATCATGCCATGTAATGACTTGTTTGGTTCTCTCTCACAAAGATTCTTGAACAGCAAATATTATCACCTATTCTCTTTGTAGTCCAGAAATCCAAAGACAAGGTGGCAGAATGGTGGGCTGCTCTTGTAGGAGTTGGAGCTCACTGGCTGCTAGATGAGAAAGAAGAAGCAGAGAAATTGTATCATTTGGTGACTGCAATACCAGCTTCACTTCTCAAGCACTCAGATCAGCTTCCCAGGGCTGCTGCTCTTGCTTTTCGGGCAAAAGCTGGATTCCTTTCTGGAGATACAAGGTCCTCTCTACGGTTGTGTTGGCAGGCAGGCCACTGCCTTCGGGCTAGCCTTTCTGTCAATTTGCTTCAGAAGGAGCGCTCTGAGGATAGCCACACAAGCCTCCTGCAGGTATTTTATTTCATTTGAAGATCTCTTGTATAATATCAAAGCCTAAATATTATTTATAGACATATTACTGGTATTTGAAAAGTATACCTTCAGTGAGAATTGATGTGCTACATCTCTCATGCAGAGCACACAATTGCTTATATGTGATTGGATACTGGAGACAAGGACAAAAATATGGGAAGATTATCTGAAAAGGCAAAATGCTGCTGGAATCCCTGCTCCAGCTGAAATGCTTCAGGGCTTCCAGTATGATCTTGGATCTCTACGGATCATCACAAATCATGTGGCTGTAAGTTTCCTTGTGACTTCCAGGATTCTGTCATTTTTGCAGTTGCACTTTGCAAAGTCTTCATTTTGGTACTTATTTTCAGAATGCCATGAATAGAGTTTTCCTGTATGAAGCAACAATGAGGCTTATGGCTGGAGCCAATCCCAGAAACACCCAGATCCTTCTCGATCGTTCGATGAGACATCGTGGAGGCAGAGGGAACATGATCTGCTCGAGTGGTGAGTTCATAATGGAGAAAATTCAATCCTAAACACCCTGGTAATGCCTGGAATCCAGCTCTCCTTTTGTCCATTATTCATTTCAGGTGGCACACTGGACGACAGAGAGCAAGCGTTGGCTCGTATGATGGCATGCAGGCATCTGCCTGCTCCGCTCCTGTCGACTCCTGGAGAGAAGGCTGGGCTCCTTGTCGAGGCAGCTCGAACTCTCGAGCGCCTCGGAGACAGGCAACACCTTGCAGAGTGCAAACATATGATGAAGACTCTGGGTGTTGGCTGATTCAGGAAGACGACATTTTCGATTTTAAAGCCGTGTCTGTGTGCCTATGTCGTTCATCCCTGCATATTTCCTCTCCCTGTTAGCCTGTTTCAGCTGTTCAGGTGTCACAAATAAAAACATTGTAAGTCAGAGATGTATTGATGATTGGCAGTTGCAAACTGCTGCATCACCCAAAACATTGAATGAAGACCACTTTGCAGCAGTAAGAAGTGTGCATTGTTCATGTTTAGCCAGCTGTTAGAAATGTGCAGTGTTATTTGTGACCAGCAATGAATGCAGTAGTGTTTCTTTGCTGAGTTGAGCCCTTTTATTTGAGACCAGGTTTTTATTTGATTGCAGAATTAAGGAAAGGTTACGAAGAGAAAATTTCAGCATATTCTGCGTAATGGAGGCTTTAAAAAACAAGCTGGGCAAGCCCAGTCCAGTAGTGGGCCTCCTTTCTATTAAGAAACCACTCATTTTGTCACCTAATTGAACAAAATGTCATCTCCTTCCGGTCTTCTACCATCAAGAACCTCATTTCTTATTTATATTTGGTAAAAAAAATAGACAAACGGTGCCCATGAAACGACGATGAGAGGATGGAGGACTGTGCGTGGTTATATCCATCCGCCACGAAGATTGGTAGGGAACTAACAACTCTAGTTGCTAACACGGCGCCGCTCCCAATGCCTGGGTCATGCGCATTGCGATCCACATCACTGGTACTCATGCCTTCCCCTCATATTTCAAATCCAAAATTTGCAATTAACATGCCAATTTTGGTGAAAATTCACCACAAAATGAACTTAGCCTGTATCTTTGTTCATACCTACCCGCTTGCCAATTTTCGCATTGATCAGACCAATATTTTTTTAGTTATCGTCGGACAACCAAAGTGTGACACACGGACGGACAGGACGGGACTATAAGTGGTCTCTTTCCTTTCAGAAAAGGAGCCCCAGTAAAAAATAATAATAATAATAAAACAGGTTGTATAGGTAGTTGTACACCATGCTACCTTTTAGAAAAGCTGTACCATTTTATTTCAACCAGCTGGTATAAAGGCTCTCTGATTTCGAAACGCTTGCTGTCACATACATGAAACCTATGTCAATGGCATGCTCTCTTTCAGCCAGTGGCGTAGCGAGGGGGGGGGGGGACTTCAACCCCCAGGGCCGCCCAGAGGTTTCCAGGGGCCCGGGGCAAAACTAAACTGGAGGCCCCTTGGGGGCCCCTTTGAGGCCCTTTGGAGGCCCCCTTTGGGACCCCTTGATTCGTGGGGCCCGGGGCAGATTGCCCCAATTGCCCCCCCCCCCCCCTCTGGGCGACCCTGTCAGCCCCCCCTAACTCTGGTCTAAATACATCCGCCACTCCCCCCTCCGGGCGAAGAGAAGTAAGCCCCCCCATTGACGAAATCCTGGCTACGCCACTGCTTTGAGCTGCTAATGATGGTATCACGAAGTGATGCAGCAGGTTAGTTAGTCATTAACTCGAAGACGACGAGATCGTTAGCAAAACCCAAGGTCACAGAGATTTGTCAATGCAGTGACATGAGTGGGTTGCATTTCCTAAATTGGGCGTATTTTCTTGGTAGGCAGGTCAAAAGTTTGCGCGCATCAAGTTCCATTACAAGGGTCTGCTTGCACCTCCTGAAAAATAGATGACAGACGTGTCCCCTGTACGCGAATTATGGGGCAAAGGCATGCTTTCGGCGGCTCGTTGGGGTCCTTGTCTCTCCGACCTCTTTATCTTTTCCCTGCGCAATAATAGAGACGCTCATCCATTTCTTGTCCAAACACAGAGGACGGGAAGCAATATCTTCAGATACGAAATCTCTGATTCGCCGCGTTGTGTTTCGTTGAGAAGTCGAAAAGAAACATTTCCGCGAGATGTGCAATTAGCGTGCTTGAGCACGGCTGCCATCATTTATTGTTTGCCATTATCCGTAATCGTGTCGATGCCAGATTGACTGATGCGCTGACAAGTCACTTGAGTTGCAATCATAGACTATAATCTACGGGAAAAGAAAGAAAGGAGGATGACTCAGTACGAGAATGCTAGAGAGGGAATGGAGGTTGGAGTGGCGCCGTGACCTGATTCCCCTCAGGGCCCGGAATCACGAACACTTTTCCTTTCGTGTCGTACTGCATACTGACCCGTCATGGTCAGTGGCGTAGCGAGGGGAGGGAGGAGGGGTGTTGGTTTGGTTTGGTTCAAACCCCCCCGATCTCTGGTCTGAAATGCATCCTCTCCCCGCAGAGAAGTAAGGGAAATTCTAGCTCCTCGTTTTTTTTTTTCTCTCTCTCTCTCTCTCTTAGCGAGAAGTTGTCTGAAGTCCTGGCTACGCCACTAGTCATGGTCCGAAACAAATCTCACCTGCGAGTTAATGAAGTTTCCGATTTTTTCAAATTATTCATAGGAATTCTGAAGAGATAAAAATGAAAGGTGAAAGAAACAGGTTTAATGATCACCTGGTTCTGATCATCAACCAGTGATATATCATAGAGTTAGTCCAACATAGCTAAGAACGGTATCGATATCGGACGTGAATCGCAGCTTCTATTAAGTGATGGTCATGTAATCTCACGATTCTGGCGGTAGGCAGTTATACGGTGACGTCACGAAAAATCTCTGTCTCATAGCTCTAATATGATCCATCACTTCAGCTCAATATCATTAGAAGGAATTAGAGAGGTTTGGTAGAAGAAAGTGATGGAAGGCCTTCTCAATGTGATTTTTAAGTCCTGCAATGAAGAGGATCCATTCTCGGACTCATTCTGGAAAAATAGCTCTGTCTATAATCCGCATTTCAAATACAGTAGAACCATGCAAATTGGTTTAAAGTAGCCACGTGTTCTGTTATGCAATGCCGGCGCGAGTACCCCTGCGTCCCCTACGGCCGCAGGGTGCGCCCTCAGAATCCAGGGGGCCCTGCCCCAGGAGGAAGAAATAAATAATAAATAGGATAGGAACAAAATAAAGAAAAATACTTTGAAACGTGGCGAGTTATTCCGAAAGCGATCCACGCTCTGAATGAGACGGAGAATATACTCGGGTCCAGGCCCAACCAGAGGTTACTAGAGGCCTGGGTCAAAACTAAACTGGAGGCCCCTTGCAGGCTACTGTATGGATGGTGATGGCTGGATGGGGCCTTTTAGGACTTGGCGTTCGGTCTCTTTGATACGCGAGACCCGGGGTACGGTAGATGAATGAATGAGTGTACCGCGGCACATTGGTGTGCCGCCAGTAAGGCTTAGATATGCCGTGAGATTTGAGAGTTGACAAAAAAAACAACAAAAAAACTCAAAAACAAGAGGAAACGCCATCTCTCAGTGGAAAACGAGCTGAGAGTTGCACTGTCACGCCTTGTATCAAATTGCTGTGTTCGGCGAAGCAAGCACAAGTTTCCCATTGAAAGTAAGTAAATAGCTGGGTGTGCCATGGAAGTTCAACTTTGTGCTGCAAATAAAAATAGATTAGAAACCACTGCGGTAGATTGTCCCCGATGCCCTCCCCCCTCCCCCTCTCTCGGAGAGTATGGACGGGAACTGGAAAGGGGAAGGAGGGAGATGAGCTTCCTGGACCTCGCAAGCCATCCCAGTGTCTAGGATGCAAATCCCAGAGCCGAAGGGTTTGAGAGGCGGAAGAGACTTCCCCCGTAACGAGATCTCCTGCAGGTGAATATGGATGAGTCGATGCTCGAAGCGGAGTCGAGGACAAGCCCGCGTGCTCTGCTTGCATATCATCCAGGCCACGCCCAAAATCTATTCCAATGAAATACATTTTGTGTGATGAGCTTTTTCTTGCAGATGGTTTTGATACTTCTCATTCCCATTAATGACAGGTGAATCGGTAAGTATCAAATCGAGTTTGCTCATAGTTCATACAGATTTTCCTAGGTCTTCGCTGGCGAACGAGTCGGCCCAGAAGGATTGGAATCCCCCTGTCCATTTTCATTTTCTTTTGAATCATGGATTTCCTTTGGCAACATCAATTTGGATTAAATTTCCGAAATCCGTGAGGAACATATCTACGTAAAATGTAAGTTTCGCAAAAGTAGCTCCGTTGAGTGAAGATTTACCCTTCAAAAGTTTTTTTTTTGCTTTACCTTGTCTGTAGTCATGAGAGAGAATGACAGTCTGAATTTCCCCATTCCTCCCGTCAAAAAAATTCAGATTGCAGATCATATTCCAGGTGTGACAGAAAGCTTAAATTTGGTGCAGATGTAGTTCAAGGAGTGTTGATTTCAGGACAAATCCTATATTTGGCAACTTGGGAACGCTTTTTTTGGGATGGGGGGGGGGGGGGGGGGGGGTAGAGAGATTCTTAGCTCCCCCCAACCACACCGCCTCCCACACACAAGAAAATTTTCAAATTTGTTGTAGTTTCTTCCGAACTGAGCAATTGACCCCATTTTCTTTTTCTGACGTCAAGTCATTTTGCGAGTTTGACCGAAGAATAAGGCTCAGAAGAGCCATCGGATGATCCACGAATTATCGAGAGGGCTCTGTACGACAAATTCAATTCGAAAACAGTGTATGTAGGGTAAAACACCCAATGATGGGCCTGTTACGGGCGTGTACTCAGCAGGGGCGGATACAGAAATTTTTCATAGGGGGGGCGGTTCCCAAGTTCCTACCTACCCCCTTGCCTATAACCATTCCTCGCCCTTTCGCCTTTTTAAATTTTTCGTCTGGGGTAAGAACTTGAGTATTTATTTCACTGGCTCCGATAAAATTGAATGCAGATGCTATTTTGAATAAATAAATCAAATGCTAACCTGGCCGCCATAGGGGGGGCGGTCCCCCCCCCCCCCCCCTGTATCCGCCCCTGGTACTCAGTATTGGGCCCCCGCGCAGGAAAATTCCGAAAACTAGGAATTTGTAACATGAACACCTCTGAGGTGTGTAGGTGCTTGCATGCTGCTTGCCTTTGTCACAACAGGGGTAGGCGTGCTATGAAAGCTTAGCTGTTAGAATTTTTATGTGCTGTGGTCCATCACTGGGAACCAGTCCATCATTGAGTGCTCTACCTTACCTGTGTGGCTCCTGCTTAGTTATACTCAGTACTCAACTCAGAGACACGTTTCTGGGAATTTTCCTATTCCTAGTGGAATTCAATCATACGATACACTTTTCACTCATTCAAATGCCCTTGATGTCATGGTTAACCAGTATCTTACGTGGAATCCGGGAACTTCTCTGTCTCGGGCACGAACACGTCATTCACGGATCTCGTGACGTCAGTGACGTCACCGTAGAAGTGGACGAGAAGTGCTGGCGGAGTCACTCCGCTGCGCATTCACATCACGGCTTCTCCTTTTAGTGCACGTGTTCTGGCAACTCGAGGCATTTCAGTTCTATCCGAAGATGGCGCAGAAATTGGATTCTAAGGATGAGAGCTTGCATGAGGAGTTGCGAAATTTGCACGTGAACTCTCACTCAAAGATCGACAAAGCCATATCGTTCGAAGAACACGGACGCCTTGAAGAGGTGAGTCCTTCCTTCAGCGTATTTTAACTAACTTAGATCCTGCTCTTCAACTTGACCTTCCTTTGCTGACATGGGCCTAGTTCTATGTGGGGTAAGCCTATCCAGGGGACATCGGCGAGTGTCTTTCACAGGGTGAATCAACTGAATATCTAGGTTGTACCCTGGAATGTAAGTTGCTTCTTTTGGACCCTAATTTCTGAATTTTTCAACATTATTTTTGCCAGCAGTGATTCAAGTGAAAAGTTAATACAAGACCTTCCTAGAGTTGTGTTTGTAACACAAAACTAATATTGCCTCATTGGATTGTTCTGTTCTTTTTATCAGTCACTCTCTGTTGTATCCTTTTTATTTCTTTGTAAATAAGTATATATATATATATATATATATATATATTAGGCCTCCTTAGCTATCCTTCGCTTTTTTAGTATTCTCTTCTCATTTTCTATCAATAGCTCGGACTCGTGCTGGCTATAGGTTTAGCTTGATCGGCATGACTCTCTCAATAATATATATATATATATATATATATATATGTGCAAATGGATGCTGCATTAGATAACATTGACTTGACTCTGGAGTCTTATGACTGCAGGTGTTTCTTTTATATAAGTTATAACAGTATTAGTTGGACTGGCCCAGTGATGTAGACCCAGGCCTAGTTAAACAAAAGGATGCAGATTATATCCAAATGCCAATTCAGATCCTCATCTATAAGTATTAAACTTTTTTTTTTTTTACCTCTGGATATGAGTTTCCCTGTCAAGATGAGAGGCATGTCTCAAGCTCATGTATAGAGACTTCACTTCAAAAATGCATATAGGATAAGGCCAATTCACAAGTTGCCTTTGCCCATGACTGGAACAAGTCAGTTTTAATGTGTTCTACACTTCTTTATCTGGAACATGTAGAGTAGCACATATACTTCAGTATTAAGCAGATGCTCCTCATGACATAAGATATGTGGGTTGCCTGTTGACAGACAGAGTCTGCTTCCACCAAGAGTCAACCACCTGCCTCTCAGGTTTCACGCAGAACCCCAAATCACTCAGCCACCAAACCCACCCAGTCGGGAAGTTTTGCTGAGTGGGGGGTGATGACATGTTGAGATTACAACTAGTAATCACAGATGGGTAATAGGGGTAAGCACTGGTGAATCCCACAGCCAATGCAGACAAATCTGCTGGAAAATTTTCCAAGGGGGGACAGACATGTTCCAGAGCATCCAGGATACTTGGGCTTCTGCAATTTTGTATTAAATTTGAAGCATTTAAGCCTGTTCCTTCATCTTTGTATTTTGCAGGCATTGGCATTGTACAAGGAAGCAATGACTATGGTGGACAAGGCCCTACATCTCAGATTTGATGGGCCTCATTGTACTGGAGAGGTTTTTGATGATGCAAGACAGAAGCAGAGAGAGATTCGGAAAGCAAGGTGAGTGACTTCATCTTTAATAGGTAACAGGGTCAGACTGGCAGCCTAGGAGCCCTCCAGAAAATTGCTGATGAGGGCCCCCACAACCCCCCCCCCCCCTTCCCAAGAATATACATATAATTTAAATTAAAAAATTGTGTCAGGTCTGGGGTCCCTCAGGAAATTTCCTGGTATTTTAGTGGACCAGTTCAACCCTGGTAGGTGAGATATATTTGGTACTTTAATGTTTTAACCTCCTTGAATGTCTTTTTTAATTCTCTGCATGGCCATTGTGACTAAGCTTGGATTTTCAACCATTGTTTTTGCTTCATATCATGGTGTAAACAGGAAGAGCTTTTATTGGCATTTTACTGAGGGGTTTTAAATAAATTGCCCTTTTTTAACTCCCCGTTGAGGTAGTATTGCTGTCAAACTTATGGCGGTTTTGTGCATTCTGAATTGAAGATTAAGAGATTGTTTGCTTTTATCTCTGAAGTTAAAAATTTATTAAATACAAAATTGGTGTGCACAAGGACATAAACATTATGCCTGCTAGATGTGCTGTACTATGAGAAAAGGGCAATTTGCTAACATTGAAACTCACTTTAGAAGTCTAATGGATGGAAGTGGGTGAAAATGTATCACAATGATATGCAAATGATATTCAATTAGGTTTTTTTTTTTTTAACTCATTTCTGTGTGCTTGATACCAGAGGTTACTCTAGGTTGTGGGAAGTGTGAGTGTAAGAAAAACCTGAGTTCCAAAATTTCTTATGTTCTTGGATAAAGAATGATGGAAAGTTTACTTTATTCTGGAGAAGGCCCCTTTGATGAGTGTCTAATTGATAAGCTTGCAAGATTGTCTTTAATTCTGGCAAGAGGATACAAGTCATGTGGTGGCTATCTACTGATGTGTTGCCACCAATATCTCTTTTTTTTTTGTCCATGCAAGTCACAAGGGAGAGATTGTCACAAGACCACTTTCCCTCCACTTAGTTCATCTCTTTCCACAACTTTTTTTCCTCTCTTGGCTTCTCACAAGACCTAAATGCTCCTGACTTCTAAACAGGATAGATTATGAACTACCACCCCAGAATCCAGGAAAAATGTTCAGTCTTTTGAAAACCAAGTTCACGGAGAAAGAGGTTGTGCAGACTCTGTGAACCAAATTAATGCAATTTCTGGGTTTATAATCAAATCTTTGGCATGCTTTGACTTTAATGCAACAGTGTTTCACATTGCTGATCTTTTCATAACATGAAGTTCTATATTATATCTCTTGAAGGAAGGAAATAATGGGAAGAATATCTTGCTTGGAGAAGGAGTTGGCTCTTATTGCAGCCAGAGGCCCCCCACCTCCATATACTGCATCTGCACGACCTGCCCCACTTCCACCTGCAAGAGGAAGGAAAGAAAACCAGCCACCCCCAGGATCAGCTGGAGGTGTATCAAGTCCTCTACCTGGTACAAGAGGACAGCAGTCATCTGCTGCTGTTGGCAAGGATGTGAAAACCCCAAATTCACTTGGAAGTGCAGGCTTTCCTAGGGACAACAGTACAAGTGAAAATCCTGTGCTGTATCCAGAGATTAGAAGAATGCATAGAGAACCCTCAATTGAGGGACTGATGATTGAAGAATTACTCCGGATAGACAATGTGTCTCTTTATCACATCTCATCAAATGGAGAGGTGGATGTGCCTTCATATCCCCAGAAGCTTATCATCTTTAGATTTCCTGGTTTGTAGTCTTCTCAGGCTATATGTGGATGAGATTTCAGTGTACTAGAATATATTCTTAGCATCCATGGTATCACTTTAGGTGAACCTCCACCAAATGCAGCCAAAGCTGGGTTGCAAATAGGAGACGAGTGGGTCTTTCCCTTGGTGCCAGGACAGAGTCCAGTTCTTCAAGATAGCCATGGCAGATTTTTGTTCCCAGATTTAGGAAGTCCTGAATCAGGTATCTCTCAGCATATGAAGCTCTCTAATCTGCGTACTCAGGAAAATGTTCAATAGTCATGTGGAAATTGTAAATTTTTTCTTCAGGGGAAGCATATGGGCTGTTGTTTGATACCAGCACTCCTACTGAAGTTCAGCAGCAGTTCCAAGACCTCATTCAGGAATTGACTGCTTTGAAGACAGAAGATCAAGTTCCAGGTGCAGAAACAATGGCAGAAAAGATATCTTATGGTTTGATCAAAGGTTGATTCATTTTCTGTTTCCACTATCCCTATACACTCTCCTGTGCACGTATGGATGTATTCATTCATCTCTGGATGTTGTTGTGGCAGGTGCTGAGTTTCTTTCCAGTGCCATTACTACATTGGCAGAAAAAGGCAGTGTTCATTTTGGGAAGGGTGCAGAACATGTCATAGCCAGAACATCTCAGAATGAGAATCCTGTAAAAGTTGATGGGAGCCTGGCTCAAACACTGAAGAGTGCAAGAAGTATGAGCAAAAATCTCTCGAAGACAACAGGATGGATTGGTAGTGCTCTTGTGATTGCCATGAAAAAACTTGCTACACCAATCTTTCTATAATCTGGTCATGTTTTCTTCAACCAGGAAAGACCCTAGGAGCTGCAACAGCATCTCTTGGGGCATATGCAGCTCAACGCCTCAGTTCATCAACAAGATCGTATTTGCCAGATGATAAGGCAAAGAAAATTGGTGGTGTTAGTAGTGTTGTGACAGTTGCATCGGGAGCTTTAGAGGGATTTGGAGCAGTGTATCTGGCACTGGAGAAGGCAAGTCGAGCACTTGCATCCAGCTTCACTGACAACACAGTCAAAGTCATCCAGCACAAGTAAGTCTTTTTTCATAGATCTGCTCTTGTCATTATGAGATGAATGAATAGACTCCAATGTATGATGAAACATATATGCATTGCAGGTATGGAGATGAAGCAGGTGCAGCTGCTGCTGACACGTTGTATACAGTCGGACATGCTGCCAAAGCTGGTCATGACATACAAAACATGGGAGTGAAATCACTTGCTAAAGCTACAGCCAAAGAAACAGGCAAAGCTCTGGTGAAGGACTTGCATGGCAAGTATGGTAAAGAAGGCAAGGCAACTGATATGAGTGGCACAGCTTCTTCATACCCTCCTAAAGTGGCCTCTGGAACCGCTATAAACTCCATAGCCAATAGTGCTTCTTCAAACAGCAAACATCCTTCATCTGGAACATCAGAGAATACCAAAGAGAATAGGAATTCAAAGGACCTTGACCCCAAGAAGTCTTGAGATGCATAGTTGCTGCCACGAGAGATGACAGGCAGAGTGTGGAGCCAACATGCAGTGTTGAAATATGTCTATCGTGTATGTTATTATAAAGAAGATTCCCATCCAGAAAACATGTTCTGTTGGTCTTGTGTATAGTCTTGTGCAGTACTTGTTGAAAATTAAATTAACCTGGTTATGAACCCATTTGAATAAGAAAAATTAAATATAAATTAGAGAATATTCAGCACTTCATCTTATGATGGGTCATCTGATGCAAAGAATCATCATTCCCCTTTGGCTGTTTTTCAGCTTATCCACTGGTCCCACCTCTTGACTGTCATCTCTCATGCCATCCACTACATGAATTTCACTCTTTGTTGTGGCCATTCCTGAGGGAATGGTGATGTTCTGGTGATATCACCTACTTCCTGAATGCATTATTTTATCACTTTCAATGTCATGGTTGTAAAATATCTGCTTGTCTTTGAAAAAGCTTAAGTGCTAAAAGGATATTAGAGGCCTTTGTGTTTCATGCAAGTCATCTTCCTGATATGCTTTGAATATACAGAAATAAATTCATTATTTTTTATGGTGCTGTAAGAATCATGAAAAGACCAAACTCAGTGAACTGTGATTATGTGAACAATTGATTAGGAACCAGCCAGGCTTACCAAATATGATGAGATGAAAGATACAATTTCCCCAGATCTTTTTCTCCTTCTTGTGTTCACACCATAACATGAACTCTTCCTGCCATGACCTTGTGAATATTTTTATGATGCAGTAAGCCTAAGGTGATTCTTTTGGGATAGCATTGGACTGACATGCTTAACTATCATATTCTATCAGGGTTTTTCATTTTGCTGCTCATAAATTGCATAAAAGTAGTGCTCCTATTTGTTTTCTGTGATAAAGAGTCTTGGTGCTGGAAAAGAAATGTGCTGCATTGACAATTTCCTGTGCATTTGCAGTGTTTCTCCTGTAAAGGATACATTATATATTCTTTACCTTTCTGCCACAATAATGTTAGATGGCAGTAGCCACCTGTGAGTGTTGAAGATTTTTTTAAGTATGAAAGACAGTAAATGAAAACAAGCTGCCTTGAGAGGAACTCTTCTCCACTGGAGAAGTGTCCAAGGGGTGTGAATAGCCCCCAAGTCAGCCAAGATTCTTGCAGTGGGTCGAGGGCTGAATAATGAAACAAAATCCTGATAACAATAATCAACTTTTTTTCTGAAGCTTGAAGTTGAATTAAATCATGTATCAAAACTCAGAACCACCTTTTTTCCTCTGAAGAAGTTGCTCGAATGTTCCCTCCCAATCCATTGCCTATACACCATACATCAAGCATAATATGACTTTGACTGTCAGCTAGAATCTGGTTCCCTTGGAGGGAGTCGAAAAGAATCATCTGGAGGTCCCCCTCACCTTAGATGCACATTCAGCCAACTGACCGTCGAACTATGAATGAGTTGAAATTTAAGTACCAACTGGAATACAGATCTGTCGTTCCATTGGTCACCATAGAGGCCTTCTTTATGATCAGATGCTCCCAATAATCATCAGTAGAGCTTCACTTGGTTCTCAAGATAAAGCAACATGAAGAGGTCTACGCACTGATCGCCTTAACAGCTAAGGTCATTGGCAACTGCAGACAAACAGAATGAAAAACAAATTTTTAGTGAGCTGTAAACAAGGGTGGTGTCATAGTTAAAATTAAGAAAGAATTGGAGCTTGCTCAGCGCTGATTTTCTTCATTGGTTTGGATTGTTATTTATGAAGGGAAAATAAGTTTATTCCTCCATTATTTACCCTCCGGGTTAAACATTATGGCAACGGGAGAAGTATAGAAGTCAGACACGACATTCAAGACTTCGACTAGCAACTCTGCTCACGCAATCTCATGCAGCCTACCTGTTTTTAACAATGGATGCGTATCGTACGAAGGCAATATGACATGACACCCCGACCCTGGCTGAGCGCAGCGCATGCGCCTAGGTTTCACGGCAACTGTGACCATGACTGAATGGAAGAAAATGAGAAAGTGACTAACCGATCGCAATGACTGCCATTTTCCCATGGGTCACCGTGAGAATTGCAGGTAAAGATCGTTTCAGCCCCCACAGCTGCTATAAGAGTAAAAAAAAAAAAAGACTATTGTGGCAAGCCAAGACGGTGTCTCCCTTCAAGAATATAACATGGCACTCACTTCGCCGATTACTCTTCCCAAGACCAGTTCATGTATGAGCACTTTGCGTTGAAACTCCCACGGGGAATCCATTCGTGACATCCTCCTGGGGTCTGGTATTTTCAAGAACGGTTTGGTGTTGAACCATTCTGAGTTCTGACTTCCATTTCCAATATTTGGAGAAGGCTCAGAATAAAAGAAACACGATTGGTTTTATAATTCTAACGGAATTGGAAGAGTAGAAATCGAAAAAAAAAACCTTCCTGAATAAAGATATCAGTTTCGTTACCAAATCGCGGAGTAAAATGAGAAATCTCTTTTATAGCCACTTGAACATTCGCTGCAGCCTCAGGCTTTCGTCCGCATTTCATTATTTACTGTAGCTTTACGATTGCACTTATTTTTTGTAACGAAACTCATTTGGTCGTGATTGGTTTGATCTATCTCCATGCCGAATTTCATCATTCAACTTCCTGTCGTTTCTGAGAATTTTTAGAGCCGTAAAACACGCCAAAGCGTAGACTTTGCCTATGGCTTTGGCTTGACCGGTAAGCGCAGCAAAACGGAACGCTTTTGCAGTATACGCCTGGTCACGGCACTACAGTGCGATTCATAACTTCGTCACTACTATATTTACGTTTGCGGTGGGAGAAGTGCATGTCCGACTGGCGTCTGCACGAATGAAACACTATGAAATGACTCAGTGGGATTTGTGCCGACTTCAGCATTGCTTGCTTTCTTCAAATCCCCGAAGCTTCGCGTTTTCCCTCTGAAGCGCTCTCGAGCGTTCCCCGAAGAAAAAAGTCCAGGACAGTCAAGTGAAATGACCACATCAATCTGCTCATCGACCAGGAAATTCAGCATCCAGAAAAAAAAAAAAAACACTTTTCTATCGTAATGCGATGCCTTCTGGAAAGAGCATTTCATGTCCGAATTTCGCAACTCTGCATTTGCACATCTTGGGAATTGAAATAACATGGAAAAGGAGCTCTTTTCCATGGTGTAATTGGTTCCGTTATGGGGGAGACGATTCTCTCCCCATAATTGTAAGTATTATGGTACACTTATGGATAATACTGCACATTACCTGTACCAAATCCCATCACCGAACTCTTGAGTTTCGAGAATTTTTTAATTCACCCATTCGGCTCTTAGTGCCCACCCATTAGAAGACGAAAGCAATCCTTCACTATTCCTCAGGCCCGATGGGGGAAGAAAAGAGACGATAAAAAAAAAACTCGAGCGGCCCCAGAATGAGAAAAAGGGCGAAAGGACTTGAAGAATTGCCTCCATTTCTCCCGAGGAACCGCCGTCCCTCACTTTTCTGACTGTCACGAGCCAGAAAAAGCTCGCAGAAAATCCTCCCTGCAAAAAAAAAAAGAAAAGATTCCCGGCTGCATTCACATCAGCCCCGAGCCCAGTCTAGTACAACAATCTCGAGGGGAATTCCTATTCTATACTGGCTGGCTTAGACTTCCTCTTTTCTCAACCGGGGGTCCGCGAAACTATGCCCGGGTAGAAAATAAGTAGACAAAACGAGAAATTAAAATTATAAAACCTTTCGACCAAATTTAAAATTATCGTCTTCTAAGTTATTACACTAATATTAGAAGCTTAAAAAATTTACGCAATAGTAGAAGGGATCTGCAATTTACCCGAAAAGTGGTCCACAGGTTGTAAAAGGTTGAGAGCTACCGTCCTACAGGTTCTTCTCGTCTCGCGTATGGCATTAGCAAGCTATATATTCAGGTCCAAGTTCGATAGCCATGTTGCGGAGTCCTTTTCCAGTGCGTGAAGCGCTGCGATTCCTCTGTCGAATTTTCGTTTTTTTTTACAATGGTTCACTATGTGTTCCACGGTCTGGTCGGGATGTCCGTAGTCGCAGACAGGATCGTCTTTGTGCTGCCATTTGTACAGATGGTGTCCGGTCATGGTGTATGTTGTGCGGATTCGGTTTGGTCGTAATTTTCGAGGCAGGTGGAAGCCCGGCGCCCCCCCCCCCCCCTTGGGCACGCCACTGAGACCGTGTCTCCGTACCGTGTCATAGGCAGATGTAAGGTCTGAGTTCGGTTCCAGTCTTTCGTTTTCTTTGGAAGCCAGATTCGACGCATAATGTTAGTGCGATGACCTGGTCGGTGCAGCTCCTACCGGACCGGAATCCTGTCTGATCTTGTTGTAGCGCTGCCCCCACGATGGGCGTAATGCGGGCTAGCAGTACTCGTTCCATTAGCTTATATGCTGTGCTGAGGAGCGAGATAGGCCTGTAGCTTGAGGCTTCTTCGGGCGGCTTCCCAGGCTTCAGGGTGGTGATTACTTTCGCCTCGTCCCACAGGTAAACACGTGGAATTCGAAGGATGAAGGGGAAGAAGGAGTAAACAAGGCGTGCAAAATGACTGAAGTGGTTGAGGTGAAGCAGTGGCAACCGCAACCCAGTGGACCTGACCGAGAGTAATTCAGAACGGATCGACAGTTCCAATTAATGTAGTAGCTGAGCCAGTTGATGCAATTGAACCTGGACCGTTGTCGGTCCCTTGAGTATATGGGATGAGGCGAAGAGGAGGGAAGAGTGGCATCATGTGGCAAAATAACAGGGAGCTGGACGAGTAATGATGAAAGCAAAATAAAAATAAAAATTAGAATAAAAAAGTTTAGGTTGAGAATGGCGAAATGTTTTCCTAACAAAAGTAGGCGGCAAGTTTCTGTCATCTGGCACGGCAATCGGATGACAAAAGGCTTCTAAGGTGCGTTCAAAACAAAAAGAAAAACCAGGATAATGAAGTTATGAAGGACTCAAACGGACAGGAGGAGCCCGGAATAGGATGAAATAGCGCATACAAGGCGAGGCCTACGTTCAACGGTAGGCAGAAAGCGGCCGATGCCATTTGTTGAATGTTCCTTTATGCCGAATGTTTGTAGTTCATCTCTTGGACAGTAGATGACTCCGCCGACGCCACCGCTGCCGCTCTCACCATTCAGCATGCTCACTAGTGAACTACAAGATGGCGTCGAAGGTGAGTTGCATGATGCAGTGTCCGGAGGGTTATTTTTATGTTTGACCGAGTCAAACACTAAAACATGTCTACGGGATGCGATCACAGGTGATAGCGTATGTTCTTTCTGTTTAACGACAGAGTATTCCCGAGAGCAAGTTGAAGGCATTTAGTATAGGAGTCAAGAGGACTTTGTCCAAGAAGGAGTTAGAAGAGCTGAGGAAAAAGCAGGACGAAGAAGCTGCTGCTCAGGTATTCGAAGAGTTCGTGGCGACCTTCCAGGATGGCCCCAGCAAGTCAAGTAAAGTCTGGGTCAAAGCGGGGACATTCAATGCTGGTACACGAGGTGAGACCTCGCCACGATAAGCCGAACTTGTACTGTTTGAAAGCCGATGAAGCACATGGCGCCTGCTGTAGCAAAACTCGGCTGATGTCGGTTGTCAGAGGTCTAGACAGGCATACGGTAGGCCATGATGATGGTGACATTTTTTCACTTGACTTCGACGTGCATACATCAACTCCCCATACACACATGTTCTAGTCAAGTGAAAATTGTCTATCCGAAGTAAAAAAAAAAAAAACCACTGTAGCCACTAATATGACAACAGAATGAGAAATGTAATTTTTCTAGGGCACTACTGCTTAAGAGGAGAAAGTGTTAATCCAATCCTCTCAAACTGGTGGTTGGCATAGCTAAGTTTTGCCTATTGCATCAGACATGTCAGGCCTTGCTGTATGATAGCTAGCTTTTGGGTTCTTGGGAAGGTTGAAATTGGAACTTGGATATTGGGTGTCTGAAATGATCTAAAGTGCACTGACTCATTTAACCACGTGTTTCTCTCTAGCGGAAGACACAAAAGAAAAAGGGAAGCTGTATAAACCGACTTCCAAGCTACCCGATGCACCTCCAAAGAGGCAAGAGAGGTTGTTTGCTGATTCCTCAGATAAGTTCAAGACAGACCGTTTAGGGAAGAAAAGGGAACCAGGGAAGCGCAAGACAAATTTGGAGCTTTTCAAAGAGGAACTGAAGATGTAAGTAGTTATTGTCATTAAATGTAGCAGCTTGGTTTTTTTTTAAATTTTTTTTACTAACACTTCTGTATATAGGATCTGCCTTTCCTAAATGTTTTACATTGATCTCAAATGAACCTTCTGCTTGCTGCCATCGCCTTCCATTTTCCTTCTTGCCTTAGGACCCAGTCAATGTGGACTAATAAATAGGTCAATAAGCAAGATTAAGCTTCAGGTATTTGTAATTACCTGGGAGCTATTTTGGGATGTAGACCTTCTGTTATTCAAAGAACAATTATGTCTCAGTGAATAAGTGAAATCAAGCAAATTTGACAAGATTTTTAAGAAATTGGATTAGAGATGCTATGGCCTTGGGGGGGGCTTGTAATTGATGACAGGTGGCAAACCATATGTGAACCCATGGGTCTGTGGGTCACTATTTGAGTACCCATAAGTGTGTTTTGGTTTGCACCATAAAGGATCACCCTGTTTAATGTGCATCTTGCAATGCTTGAATTAATTTTCCTATCATGTTCAATAAGATTAAGTAATTTAATAAAAGAGTACCAGTATTTTGAGAACATTTCCCTCTTGTGTCTAGAATTCAAGAGGAGAGACAGGAACGGCACAGATTGAAGAAGCACATCCCAGGTGCATCAGGCTCTTTGTCTGTGTCTTCTCAACCAAGTAGCAATTCTAATTCCGATCCAGGAACTCCAGAAGCAAAACCTTCTGTTGGTTCTTTGGGAATGAGCATTGCATTAGGTGAGGAGAAAACTAATCCAATATTGGATTATAGGCCTTCTTGCTTATTAAGGAAAGTTGGGAAGGACATACTTTGTAAACTCAATATCCTTTGTGTGTATGTAGATGACCCAAAGATAGGAAGTGTGGGTTCATATGATCTTGGAGATCCAAGTACCACAAATCTGTACTTGGGGAACTTACACACCAAAGTGAGTCAGAATCAAGTAATTTACTCCTTATGTAGGTATGGAAAACCACAATTTTGCATACCTGATTCCTTTGTTTCTTTATTTTTAGATTTCAGAGAAGGAATTGATGGAACTGTTTGGAAAGTATGGACCCCTTGCCAGTGTCAAAATTATGTGGCCTCGAACAGATGAAGAGAAGCAACGTGGAAAGATGTGTGGTTTTGTGGCATTCATGACTCGGAGAGATGCTGAGAGAGCCCTCAAAGCTCTTAATGGTAAACTTGATTTTTACTACATATCACTCCCTCTTTTGTAGCTGTTGCTCCAATTGCAAATGGTTATTTCAGGGAAGGAAGTGATGGGCTTTGAGATGAAACTAGGATGGGGGAAAGGGATTCCCATCCCTCCCCATCCTATTTATATTCCTCCTGTAATGTTGGAGCTCACGATGCCTCCACCACCTTCAGGACTACCCTTCAATGCTCAACCTGCCAAGCAGGACCTACACAAGGTGCTTTATTGTTCCTTAGAGCAATTTTTTTTTGCTCTGCTGGAACTAGCTCTAGTTTGGGTAGGCCTGAGCTAGCTTCCCTCCCATCCTCTATTTCCTTCTATGCCCCATGACCTGAACTTCACACTAGCTGTTAACTCTGATCTAGGCTTAATGTGCTGTATCAATGTTAGGCATTTGTCTCTCAATTCTCAAGGCAAGAGCTCTTTGCATGCTGAAAATGATGATGCTTTCAAAATTTGTGTATTAGTAGGGTCATTCATATCATATACATAGTTTTGTTCTGAAGCAATGCAGCAGCAGATAAAATGAATGACCTCCATTCAAATGATGAAAATCAGGCTTATGATGCTAACAGCATTCAAATCCTCAGGAAGACTTGAGGTTAGGTAGCCAGTGTTCCTGATGGTTTGTCCTATTTGTAATGTCATTTTATTTTAGTCTATGCTAAACATGACTTTGTTGTTGCAAAGAACTGAAAGTCTTAAGTGTTGTGCATGTTTTATTGCCCTAGTTCCAAAATGATGTACTTGTAATCATGTTATATTTTGGGCATGTGCTTTGACTTCGACAGTTGCCACCACCTGGCACGCCGTATCCTACAGATCCTGAGGGGCTGGAGGAGTTCACCGAGGTAAATGAGCCACATGCCTCAGCTATATACTCCTCAGTATTGTATTCAGTTTCTCTTTGCTGAATTAGTATTTGTTTATCCTCTGTGTTCACATTCCAATCATATTGGGCATAAAATTTTTATCATGAGGCCTTCCACATGCTTCACCAATTGCTCAAATAGTACTACAAGTGTAATTGTTTACTGATTGCAGATTACTTTTTTAGCCTGAATGCTATAGTATGTGAATGTTCAGATGCATTTTAGTGAAGAATTTACAGTACTTAAACATTTGTCTACCCCATTAAGGGCATAGATGATCCTGGAAATAATGCTTTTCAAATGAGATTGTGGGCATGTGAAAATGGCCATAGTAATGCTTCCATGATGAACTTTCCAAAATCCCTGACGCTTTAAAATGCTTGGAACGCTCATAATTTTGCGCATCAATCCAGTAACTCAAACTGGTATGGATGTTGGAGCGTGTACTTTCTAATTCATACCAGTGTTTTTCCAGCAATCATCAGTGTTGCTGATAGAGAACTTCATATAAAACATATATCTAAGTGGTAGAATCACTAACATTGAGTCTCTGACAGGTTCATAATTGTTAGTGTCATCCATATCTATAATTTAATAATCTATAATTTATAAATAAATAAATAAATTTATATATTTATAAATAAATATATAAATTTATAAATTTATAAATAAAATAAATCTATAATTTAAAATAGATGTAGATGTCTATTTTTCTGTAGGCTGCTGGGTTGTGTGAGAATTAAATGTGTTAAAGACTTTGGCTTTTTGAGAAAGGTTTTGTTTGAGTGTTCATTTTTAAATATGAAAATTTTCCATAATTTTGAACCTCCCAGCACATTCAGATGTAGGGTTTGGCCCATTCATCATGAAGCACTAACTTCACACTTATCACTATAAAGAGTTTCCAAATTTGAGTTAATCTGTGGTACCTGCTAAATTATTTTCATACTGTTGTTCCTCTCATAATTGTAAAGGCCTCTTATCACACATCATCTATACTTTATTAGAGTTTTTATTAACATCAGGTCTAGCTGGTGCACATGTTTTATACTGTTCTTTTTCTTTCATCAAGTCCAAAACTGCATTTTTTTAAATCTGTTGCTGTCTTACTTGCCCAATAAGAATGTGAAGACAGAGGTGATGTAAATACCTTCTTTTTTTTTTTTAACTGAATTTTAGAAGGGAAGGTCCTTCATTAAAAAAGAGTTGGATTGCATTTTTCATTGGCCACTTTGAACTTGCAATGGGCTCACTCCATTCCCTACAGATTTTAAAGAGGGCCGTTGTCAAAGTGGTTATCCCCACTGAAAGGTAATTCCCAATCGTCCATCCAGCCTCTCTTTCTCTCATTCGTTTCTTATGGTTTTGGTAAGTTCCCTCGCATGTAAGCCTATGCCCTCGCGTCGCCTGTTCTGCGTGAGAAGATGGCTCATTGTAAAGAGAAAGAGAGAGCTTGGCACGAGGAAGGGAGTCAAGACCAGCGGAGCTGAAGGGAGCAACAGGAAAAGAGTGACAGCCATCTCATCAGTGCTTGTTCAACAAGTGCCTTTTCATATGTTCTTATGCTGGAGATTCAGAGGAACACTGTGTCTGCACCATGCTCTCAAGTTCTTGCTGTGTTTCCCTATCAATATCCCCTTCCTCCATCATCTGCATCAACCATCCCCCTTTTGTAGTCATTGTATGGATGGATGGAGAAAATTTGTCCTTCACATCACATACAGTTCATCTTACAAATTGTTGGGTGGGGTGCATTGGAGTTGGAACATATTTATTAGAGGTGCAATGTTTTCATGCCTCCTACTGAGCACTGCCCAATATGACAACCAATAATGGAAGGACTACTTGTATTGTTTGGATTAGCATCATGCACCCACTCATGCCTAGACAGCTACTTCTATATGTGATGCATGAAAAAAACAAAACTTGGCATAATCTTAATATCTGGAACCATCTGTTTCAGACTTTAATTTAGTGTAGTTATTTAGTGCTTGTGTTAGCCTGGATGTTGGTATCCTCAATCTGAAATAGGCATAGGCAGTATCTTGGATCCAGGCATAAAGCAGCTGTAAAAGCCAAGGACTAAGATGTGCATCAAATCTTGTTTTGAGTCTATATATCTCTAGGCCTATTGATGAAATAGCAGAATATTATTGGTACCAGATTTATGGAAATAGGCACTGAATGCTGGGTGGAAATTTGATACTGTTGCATCTCTAATTTTGTTGTTGCATTTTGTAGTGACTGGTATATCAAAGTAGAGTAGCGTCACATTTTGCTCCCACTGTCACCCTTGAGTTTGCTTTGTATCCTTGAAATTTGGCAGAAGCCGCAAAAAGGTTAAACGATATGAAACAATCTGCATAGGTGAGACTTCCATCCAGAAGCTTTTCTAGTTATGGTTTTAGTTAGAGCCTAATGCTGTTTTCTTAATTGAGGTAACTTGTGACTGTTTAAAGACTCCAGTTGAGACCTTTCCATCCATGATCTCCCATGCATGTAGTACTGTCGAACTCAATAATATTGAGATCTGGGTTGTTGATGTGAATAATGCCTGGTCCTGGCCAAAAGCCCATAAGATGCATGTATTTTTACCTCACTTAAAATGAGCTTGGTTATTGTCAGAATCTTTGTTATGGTGAGGTCAACTTATGGACTTTTGGACAAAATTGATAGCATTGGGCTCTTAGGTAACTATCATGTTCCCAAAGAACCAATATTTCATTCATTGGGAACATGACCATTGACAACTTTTAACTTTCTCTTTCCTGGAATCTGTATTGCTAGAGGTTCTTTTGGTTATGACTAGGAGAATGGAGAGGAGAAAAAATCCCCAGTTGCTAAGGAATTGCTTTATCTTCAGTCCCTATTCTTACTTCTTCTTAAGCATGACTATTTAAACCCAGAAGCAGCAAGGTTAACCCTGTGCTGGTAGCCATTTTAAATTTTTTTGTTGTGACTATGAATGAAACTGAATAAAAGATTGCTGTGGAGTCTAGAATCTCAATAGCATGTCATGCAATCTGTCGGCAGATTAGAACTAAATGAAGAAATGAGAAAGTGTCGAAGTTGATAGTGCCACCACACCAAAGGGTGAACTGTTGATTTATCAGCAGTTGCTGCTTCTAGGGTTAATATTGTGAGACAGAATTTCATGCTTGAGTAGAAAGTGGACATGAACTCCTTAGCTCGTATAAGGAATTAAAAAAAAAATACTATTTTTTGTAAGTATTCTAAAATAAATAGTGAAAGCAACCACAATCATGATATACCTAAACTATAACAGCCATGTTTTCCCATCCAATCACTGATGTCATGAATGAGTTCGACTGTATATAGAATTGATGTCTTTGGAATATTATTGGAGCAGAACTACAGGTGCATCATTATCTATAGTTTGGCCAAACCCCTTCTTGAGCTCTTCTACCCCACCCTTATCTCAAAAACTTATTGGGCATTATTATGGATTATCTTTCCAGCTTATTCCATTTTCATGGCTACCTAGGTTGTCATCTAATTTTTTCTCAGTTTTGCTTAACCTCTGGAGCCTCAAGGGGGTTATGATATTCAACAATGATGCCATAAATTGATATCAGACTAGATAATATGCAAACTTAGGGTATCTTGCAGTTCCTTTTTTTGGAGATTTGGAGAAAAATTCAAGGATACTAGATGGTGATGGAATAATGAGCACCATATTAAACACAATACCAGATGTACAGAGATAGATGCAGATTTCATGCAAGCTTTCATGGGTTTCAATGGGTTGCATGAGGCATTTCACATTGGAATCCTTGCAAAATGATTGATTCCAACTTCTGTAACCTTAATTGTGTACAAATGAAAAGAAAATGCTGAAAAGTGGAACTCTTAGATATTTTTTGGATAGAATTTCACTTCTGCCATCATGATCAGATGTGGGTCTGGCCAAAGTAGAAGCCTTAGATATGGTTTCTGAGCTTTCTGCTTTGTTATCAAAAGTAGGATGTTATAGATAACCATGATGGTTTACATGCTATGCAGAGTTTTTTGGATCGCTGTTAGGATATCATAATTAGAATCATGCCTGACATTAATTTCCTGTACTGGCTAAGCTCATGACATTATTTATGCTCACAAGACTCATTTTCCTTTGTACTAAGTGATTAGAAAAGAGACTTGCATGAAATGGGAAATGTCTCTGTGGGATTGGGAGGGGAGGGTAAGGAAATTGGGAACATTTCTTGCTGTTGCAGAAGTCTTCTGGCTCTGATCCATCGTATGGTCGAGTTTGTCGTTCGAGAGGGTCCCATGTTTGAGGCCATGATCATGAACAAGGAACTTGGTAACCCCATGTTCAGGTAATATCCCTCTTGTCATTCCATGCTTCTCTCCCATGTACTTAATACTTCGGTAGTTTGTTGTTTGAGCCAAAAATGTCACCATTTATTATATACCTGTGTATTTTGCATTCTTTAGATTCCTCTTTGACAACCAGAGTCCAGCTCATGTGTACTATCGATGGAAGCTGTTCTCCATTCTTCAAGGTGATTCCACCAACAGATGGCGAACGGAAGACTTCCGAATGTTCCAAGGTTTGCTTCTTGTCCAGTGTCTGGACAAATTAAGATTAGTGTTGAATATTTTCTTCTCCTGTATCCACATAAAAAAAAAACTGAGATTATTGTAAATCTTCATTTCAAGATGGAAGTGTTTGGAGACCTCCTCCCATAAATCCATTTGCTAATGGCATGCCTGATGAACTAGTCTCTTCAGATGAAGATGAAGAGAAGTCCCTAGAAGAAAAGAATGAAAAGATATCTGTTCTGTCAAAGAAGGGCTCCCTTTCAAATGCGTGAGTGCTTATAGCATTTCCATGGGAGAAAAATTGGTCTCCTTTGCATAGTAAATTATTTCTCATTATCCATGTTCATTTCAGGCAAAGAGATCGGTTGGAAGACATGTTACGTGGCCTCACACCAGAGCGAATCCCTATTGGAGAAGCCATGGTCTTCTGTGTTGAGCATGCAGATGCTGCTGAGGAAATCTGTGATTGCATTACTGAGTCCTTGTCCATTATGGAGACCCCATTACCCAAGAAGGTGATATTTAGAATCTTTGGCCTTTTGCTGCATTTGATTTCCCACTTCATTAATACAATATGTCTTGTCTCTTTTATGTCTCATCACAGATTGCCCGGCTGTACCTCGTTTCTGATATATTGCATAATTGCACTGTAAAAGTTGCAAATGCATCATTCTTTCGTAAAGGGTGAGTGGTGCTTGAAAATTTCATTTCTGCAAGCTTTTCTAATTGCTTAATATGTTTTCTTCATCCTTGTGTGTCAGGTTTGAAGGAAGACTGGAAGAAATCTTCAGCCAGCTGCGTGATAAGTACAAATCGGTGGAAAGCCGCTTGAAGGCAGAAGCATTCAAGGCCAAGGTCTTGCAGGTCTTCCGGGCATGGGAAGGCTGGGCTCTCTATCCTGTTGATATCCTGATCAAACTCCAAAATCTTTTTCTGGGCATTGCAGGAACGGAAACTGTGGTCAGACACTTGTCCTTAGGCCTTTTGTGATTTTCCAGAAGGCAACTTTGATTAACCTTAGTTCCTCTTTGTTTTTTGATAGCAAATTCATGAGTTAGATGGAGCACCTTTGGAGGCTGAAGACAATGATGATTTGGATGGTGTTCCATTGGACGGCTTGGCTCTTTTAAAGGCTGCAGCTGCTGCCAAGGTCAAGACTTTCACGGATGATATTGATGGAGTTCCATGTATGATTTCTCTTTTTTTCTGTGCATTGATTTAATTGTTAGCCATTTCTTAATCCTTATCCACATCCTCTTTTCTACTTTCCTTCTTCCTACAGTGAATGATGAAGAGGAAAGAAAGGAACCCATCAAATATGCACCATCAAAATGGGAGACAGTGGATCCAGAAGATGTTGCTGCACAGGTATGAATCACAAAATATAGTGACTGTTCAGTTAGTAGATCATAATTATGATCACAATGGTTTCACTACCTACTGTGACTGGTGCAGGCCATGACTACCTCAAAATGGGACTTGCTGGAGCAAGAAGAATTGAAGAAGAAGCAGGAAAATGAAGATATCGATGGAGTACCCATGGATGCCACCAGTCGTACGCACGATGAAGACTCTTCTTCCCAGTATGATTCACCTGCACAAAGGTCTTTTTCCCGCTTTGACTGCTTTTGCATGTTTGTTTTCTGCTTTATGCATAAAACGTGACCAATATTTCAGATAAACAATTGAAATCCATCTTTTAGGGATCGGGAAGGAGGAGAGGAGCGGAGGGCCCGCTTGCGGGAAATTGAATTGAAAGTCATTCAATATCAGGATGAATTGGAAAGTGGGCAGAGGTCATTGAAAGAACGCTCTATTGCAGAGCAAGTGGAACAGTATAGACAAAAGCTACTACGAAAGGTTCTCGTTGCTCTCATACCAGTACTGTACCTTTTTTCATGAAAGTGCATGTTTATGAAGTTTGAGAGGTTTCCCTCAGATGGAGAAGGAATTGGCTAGTTCAAGTGAGAGAGAGGAAGGGAGTAGAAGTCGGAGGAGTCGAGGCTCGGAATATTCACCTGACGATACGGGTCGTCGCTCGAAACACCGATCCAAGTGAGCTTTGTGCCGAATCTCATTCGTGTGTCCGTGGCTTACTTCGAACGTGATTCATGCCTTCGTGACGCGTTCCTAGGAGCCGATCGCGATCGCCTGGGACCCGGAAGCGATCCCATCACCGTAGCAGGTCGCGTTCCCCATCCCGATCTCCAAAGCGGAAACACAAGAAGAAGCGTTACTGATGTGACATCGCCGTCCTCATACCACTTTCCTTCATTGTACGGTGTTTGTCTACTTCCTAGTTCTCGTGTTTTTGTCTTTTCCTGTTTCTTGGTTGCATTCACCCTCTGTTGTCATCAGTCATCTCATGCTTTTGTTGAATCATGAATGAAATGAACCCCTTTTACAATTCTAGTCTCTTTCATTTGGTCATTCCCTTCAGTATGGAGACTGGCCTTGTTTCATCAATAATTTCACAATTAGGTTAAGAATAAATTTAAGTTGCAGTTCCATTTTTCCCTTTCCTTTTTTTTTTTATTATAAGACAAAAGTATGCTACCATGTCAAGAGTCTTCCATGTATGGCCAGCCAAGAGAACTTTCACATAAATGCCTGAGAATTTCAATTAAGTACAACTTGCTACACTTAGTTTCGCACTTGTGGGAATTTCGAAATGCGAAACCTGCATTTATTTTGTGTCCGAGTTGTGAACATGCATTTACGTATTTTTAGTGACGATTAAGGTGCAATTACGAAAAATTTGGACTGTTGCTTGACCCCTTGACAGTAACGCCCGAGCATACTCGAAAATAGTCAATCGGTCGAACCAGAATTTCGTGCCGGTGACAGCGACGATTTGAGTCGCATTTTGAGCAATTTGGCAGAAGTTTCCACGAACGGTGTCCCTGTGGGCGTTTCTCGTCTGTTTGGAGTCGCCCGGCATGAAACGTTCGTTGCGTCACTCCGAGTGCTGGAAAGTACTTGGAGTGATGCAACGAACAGGTGCCGGCAGATGAGGCACGCGCTGACTCACGGCACGCGGATCTTGCGGAAACATCTACGAAAAATGGAAGATTTAAAAAATTTCGCAATGCTTTTTCAAGTATTTAAAAAAAAATTTCTCCAAGAAAAAAGTTGAGGACGAAAGTCGGGGAGCGAAATGCCGATGGTCTTTCATCCACGTTGGCTATTTCTGTTACGGGTCATCGGATCGTAAATACTAAGCTGAAAAAATACTTTGAAATTCGAGTTGAATATCATTATCGTGACATGAATGCAATCTGAACCGACGCGTTACCCCCTCGAATGCTTGAAAACTGCAAGAAGAAGGCACGGAAATGACAAGAAAAGCGAAATCCATCCGAAAACTTCCATAAATTATTATTATTTATATAATTGTTATTAAATCCCCGCTGGCCCAGCAAACCAAATCGTCTCTCAGGGAAAAAAAAAAAATCCTGAAATTTCTTTCTTTTAACTTTTCCGTCACGGAACGAAGTTGATTTTCCTAGGACCAATCAATTTCCGACTTTTATTTTTTCGACAATCGTTCATGCCGAAGCAAAAAAAACACAACGAAGACGAGAAAATTTCTCATCATCCTCTTTTTTTCCGACTGATTTTATGCCGATGGATTTCGAACTCGACTCCCAACCGTCACGTGAGGAATAGACAAAAATATATTATATATAAAAAAAATCGCAAAGATCCGAGTGCGAATCGCCTCGAGAATGCGTTTCGCGTTGTCTGATGACGCTCGATTTCTTCGCGGTTTCCCGAAGATTTTTCGACCTCGTATCCGCCTCCCGGTGAAAATCTTTACTGCAGCCGACGTCTATTCGGTTTATACTAACGAGTCACCGAGTCACGACTAGTACCTAGTAGTATCTACCGCGACCGACTGCCTCCGAGTTCCGATCGTCTCGAGCGTTTCGAGTCGGACGGACGGAGACTTTCGCGTTCCGTCTATTCCGGACTCATCGCACGAGGCGTGTGTCGCTTGGGGTGCAAACACCTCGCGTTTCCGCGCCTTTTAAATATGGGACACGCAGAGGACGACCGACGTTTCTCCGTTACGATGCCGAGACGGGAATGAGGTGCGGACGAGTCCCGAGGAGTCCCTCGGCTGGACCCGAGGGGTCCCTCGGCTGGGCCCGAGGAGTCCCTCGGCGAAGGGGTGAGTCTCGACGGGAGCGATCTCTCGCGTCTGCTGCACCCGTCACCCGTACGAGTGACGCGTGTGACGTCGGGCCGACGTTTCCTCCGGGTCCATTCTCCCTCGAGTCTCCTTTCCTCCGTGCCAGAATCGTCAAGAGGGCGAGGCGGAAGCGAAGAAAAGGATCGGACTCCGCGTTCGTCGGGAGGGGATTCGCGCTCGGGGCGCCGAGAAGGAAAATCCCATTTATTATAGGTACGAGAATGGGACCAGGGGCGAAGAGCGAGGCAGGCAGATGGAATTCTTTCGTGTCCCGATACGTTTTTTGTTGTCCCCTTCGGGCCGTCCGAGTCCCCGTTCGTCGACACGTAAAGTCGACACGCGCAGTCGACATTCGGCCGCGGACTAATCGCACGGGATCAGAGAGAGAAGACTCGGGGCGGGGCGGGGCGGGGCGGGGGAGCGACGTTCGCGATGCCGTTCGACGACATTCGGTCGCCCTCGGAGACGAGTGTCGATGACTCGACTGCGGTTGTCTGTGGCTCGTGCCTTTCGATCGCTCGCGAATGGGAATGGAGAGTGGCGGGCTTTTCATTATCATGAAGATGAAGCCCCCCCCCCCCCCCCCCCCCCCCNGCTAAGAATCTGGGAGGGGAGGGGGGAGGAACCAGCCTGGAACTTGCACAGGACCCCCCCCCCCCCCCCCCCCCCCGAGGCCGGTGAGGAACGGTGAGGCCGGTGTTAATGGGTGTGAATGTCCACGGCCGAGGAAATGAGACCGCCTGAGAGTGCGTGAGAGGAGTCATAAGCACAAGAGAGTCAGGTCCAGGCTCTTTTTTTGTTCTCGGTCCTCTGGCTCTTCGGTCTTCTGCCTTTTTGGCCCTCGACGTTCGACCGTACCTCGCGCCTTCGTGGAAGATTCTCGCTTTCGCCTCGTAACGACGGGAACGGCGATTTCACGCGAGGTGTACTCCGTTTCGAGCGGAAAGGGTTCGAGATGCGCGGGGACGACACCGAGACGATTCCGGTCGGATGCACGAGAGTGAAACCTGGCCGTGGCGTGAGCCCGAGGCGAGGTCCGAACCCGGTCCGAACCTGGTCCGAGCCCGGTCCGAGCCCGGTCCGAACCCAATCACGCGGATCCTCTGGAATCCTATTAGTCCAGATGCCTCGCTTGCCATGTGTCGCTGTTGCTCCCTACTAGGAGAGGGGGGGGGGGGGGGAGGGGAGGGAAGGGGGGAGGNAAATCCCTCTGGTCATGAAGACTTCGGAAAATGACTTAGTGGACTATGTATGACGCATCACGTCGTTATTCAACGTTACGAGATGTTATAATGTTCTATCGCAGTCACCTATAGGAAGTCCATACTATCATCGATACAATGCAATAGCATTCTCTAGTAGATTGAGGCTATATACCTTGGACAGAGAGGCGGAAAAGGCGGTTGAAAGTGATGTATATGGATTGACGAGAGAGTGATCAGACAGGGTGAAAAGTAATGAAAAACGGCTCAGACAATGCTAGCATTCGATTGCCCTAGTACTCTACAGCAAAACAGGATATGCGAAAGCCAACTCTTTACCCATCAATCGCACCAGGAGTTGACAGGTTTCCGTTTGCCTGAACTGGGAGCTCACCCGTTGGGTATCCCTCGCTTCTTACTCTGCCCTGCATCAAAGGCTCTCTCTCCCAACTCGCACTCCATCCACGCTCTGATATGATAGTGGAAATTTGTAATTAAGTCGAACTTATTGAAGGGATTGTGGAACGAGCGTGCTTACCTATATCTCTCCTGCTTCTTCCTGACTCTACGTCCTCCACATTCCTTCCTTCAACTTCAATTCCTGCTGGGGGGGGGGTTTCTGTGTCACGGCCGTTCGGGCTCGGAGAGCAGAGGATTGCGAACATTGCGCCACGGACGACGTGTTTTACGCGGGACTTATTTTTTCCTCTCGCGTCACGATGAGAGAAATTCGGGCGAATCCCGCGAACCGCCGCGTTTCCTCGAAAGTTCCCGTTCGCCTCGTCGAAAGCGCCGCGAGTAAACGCCGACCGCACCGCATCAATATTCATGCCTCCGCGAACCCGGATGCGCGAAAAAAAAAGGCGATTCTTGGACCGGAACCGGACTCGGGCCGTCCGACGTCTCCATTACGCATTCTGCGAAAACCGCGTCGACCGTTTCGCATCCCCCGTGACGTCGTCTCACGCCCGACACGTCACGCCCTCGAACGGACACCGTCCCAAAAGTTCAAGTTACGATTTTGAACAAAAAAAAACACAACCGCCAACTCAGCTTAATTGTCGTAATTATGCAAATGAGCCCCTCGATTAGCCTCCCGGAAACTCCCCTTTCGAGTCGGCTGATTTCTTTCGCTGCTCCGTTAGACTTCTCATACCGATTTGCGAATCTTGGCTCATTCTCTTCAATTCCACTTTCCTCGTCAGTGTTTTCGCTCTCAAATAATTTTGATCTTTTTTTGCGATTTTTTGCCATTTCTCAACCTTACCGGACGATCATTCTGCAGATCGGCGTAATTATTGTTTCGTATTACAGCGATCGACAAGTCAACGTTTCGTCATTTTCGTCTTTTCGGTACTTCCAAGTACTTTTCCCGGTCGCCGCGTGATGAAGAGAGCACAGCAGCCAGTAAACCGGCTTCATTTCATTTCATGGAAAATGCAGCAACAATCGCTGACGGCTTCAAAGTGACTCTCTGAGCGCCGCCATCTTGAAAATAAGTATCAGGTCATCCCATAAGTAATGCGGTTTTTTCGCATTGCCAAACTTGTGTCTTTTTTATACGCGTATCTGTGCACATCTCATGGAATATTTCCATGCTAACTCGTGTAGACGTTAGTCTTCAGTCTACGTGTAGGTTTTAACGAGTTAACAGCGTTCCGATTTTCTTAGACGTTAAAAACGAGATGGAGGTGTCAGAGGAACACATTCGGCATATAATGCTTCGTGAATTTAAGAAAGGGAATAACGCGACTGCAGCCACGAAAAACATTGAAGCTCTAAATGCGAGGAAATGCCAACGGTGGTTCCAGAAATTCAGATCTGGTGACTACAGCTTAGCCGATGAGGCGCGTTCAGGCCGACCTGTTGAGTTCGATGGCTCGCTGATAGCCACACTTGAAGATTATCCCGCTGAGTCGATTCAAAAACTGGCGCTTGAAGTTCACGAGAATGCTGTGAAGTGCAAATGTTTTCCCGATCTCTAAGATTGTCTGGTGACAACACGTGTGGAACCCACTTTCCAAGTTTTTGACACTTTTCCCAGCCGTTGTTTCCTGTCGTTTCCCAGCGGCAACGAACGGAGAAATGGCTCGAATCGAGTTTCTGGGCAAGTTCTTCAACTATTACAGCAGGATCTTCTCCAAGTGTGGCTATCAGCAGGTCATCATCGAACTCAACAGGTCGGCCTGAACGCGCTTCATCGGCTAAGCCGTAGTCACCAGACCTGAATTTCTGGAANTTTCTTGTCCAATTAGTTCGCAGGGAGATGTGAGGGGTGTTCCAGTCGTGGGGGATGAGATATTTTCTGCTTTGGGAAAAACGGATACTGTTTTTTTTTTTTTCTTTTTAATCGTAAGCATTCTTGAAACCGTTGGAAAAGTGTATTCGTTTTGAGAAGGATTGCGTCGTCTTTTGTCCCACGTTTTTCGCAGCGTGAAGTCCTGACCGAATCGCAGAAATCTGCGCCATCAGAGCGTGAATGATCGGAAATCGCGAAGTTCCACTGACACGAATCGGCCTCGCGAGATCGGGTAAAAGCCGTAATTTGCAGCCACCGAATCCATCAAAGCGGAAGAACGACCGACATGTCTCCAACAAACGGCGCCGAACCTCTACTTCGTCGATTCCATTCTCGGCGACTGCCTCGTTGCCACCTCCGACGATAAAACCATCGTCGACGGCAGGAACACGGAGCAGAAACGCTCGACCCGCGCTGGTCGAGCGCAGACTGGAGGCGAGGAGGCAGGAGAAGCAGGAAGGCGTCGGTTGCCTTCGCGGGTTGGCTCGGGCGGCTTGTCGTCTGCTACCGTTCGAGTCGAGTCGAACGAGAGATTCGGATGTTAATGAGGGGATTGGGTCACGATGGAGTGGGTCTGAAGCGTTTCTCGGTTCTTTGTGCTGAGTTTTCGCCGAGTTTATATTTCCGCGAACGCGACGATGTCAGATCACGCGGAGGGATCGTTTATCTTGCGATTTGGAATGTATTTCTTATTTAAGTATATTGCTAGATACAAAATGAGGAAATGAAGATCGATGTCGGAAGGTCGTGAGTGACGAATCAGAGATGTTCGAACAGGAAGGGGGGGTTGGCTGGAAGGAGAACCGTTGCAGAAACTGGTTCACGAGAACCATCAGAGGGCCTTGCAGCGATATCTCGAGGACGTGAAGAGAGAGGAGACGAGGGAACGAGAGAAGACGCTGGAGAGGGTGGACTCCAAGTGGGCGAAGGACTTCCCGAACACAACCGTGTACATCGCCTCCTACTGGGGAGTGGAGCCGGGTCACGTGACCAAGATCCTGTCGCGGCACCCGGCGGCGTTCTTCTTCTTCGAGCCGCTCGCCACGAAGGGATCCGCGCGGGCGGACGACGAGTCGCATCACGGCGTCCTCCACGGGATCGCCGACTGTCACACGGAGGAGCTGCAGGCGTATTTCGACGACGTCCTCGGGAACAATCTCTGGGTGATATCCGAGCAGAATCCGGGCCTCTACGAGAAGCTCTCTGGTTCTGCCTTTGGGGTCCTGGGGCTCTGCCGGGACGCGGAGTTCTTCGACAAGCTCTGTCGGAAGTTGCCGCTCCGGATGTTCATGGACGTGAGGAGCGAGATCAAGAGCATGCCCACCCTGCACGATCGCGACAACTTCAAGTCGATTCACCTCGTGAGGGACCCGAGGAAGATGGCGGAGTTTCGCCTCACGACCGATTGGTGCATCGGATCGGCGTTGTGCAAGGACGTGATCGCCGACTGTCGACGGATGATGTCGGACCTCGAGTTCGGCGAGAAGCACCTGGGCCCGAACAAGTACAAACGAGTCCGGTTCGAGGACGTGGCCGAGAATCCCCGAAAGGCGATCCAGGAGATCCTGGACTTCCTGGGCTTTCCCAAGACGGACGAGTTCTGGAATCACGTCCCCCTGCGTCCGCTGGACGTGAGATTGAAACCCGAGCCCGGATGGCGAAAGAAACTCCCGGATCCGATGAATTCGGCATGGAACGACACGTGCGGGAAGCTCGGCAAGCTGCTGGGCTATCAACTGGACTGAATCCGACCGACAAAAAAAAAATCGACAATAAACTCGTGCCACAGTGATTCTTGCTCTTCATCCTCGACGGCAACATCGGCGCTGCCAAGATCGATGGGCATGTAGTTTCATTAGCGTCACCTGAACGAGTACCATTCATCACCCCGAAGATTCCTGAGGAATCCTCCGGTTGATGAATGTTTTTTTCATTGCGGAAGGTTCTGGCCTGGTGAAATTTCACGCCACGTGCATTTCGGTTTCCCTTTTTTTTTCTACACGTGTATACAATCGTGTATCGATATTTTACTCCGCGTCTTTCTCGTCTGACTTTTGTGCTCTGTTGATTTTTAAAACTGTGATATTCGCAATTTACACGTCAGTGTCCTTGTATTTCGGCGCTGCTTTCCTGTGGTGTAGCCAGGGGCGTGGCGGAAAACGATATAACGAGCTCGGCTATCTCTTACTCGCGCTGATGAATGTTTGCAGAACGTTATGTCAGCACCTCGAAGGTCATCGGGTACGGTCCTATGAAACAATAGAAAGCGTGTGTCAACAAAAGGCCGTGTTTTATTCCCCTGATGAAAAATCGCACGATGTGGACAAGTCTCTCGGAAAGTCACACGAAACGGACAACTGTCACAGGCTCATAGCGTAGAATCAATTATGAAATTTTCGCAACTGGTTGTAGTAAAACTCTACGAAGGGCGAATTTTTTTTCAAAACGAATCTGAAGACACCATTCCGTTCCACCGTCTTATCACACATGTCTGAAGATTATGGAAGATTTCCGTCACTCGGACAAGGCTTTTCGGTCCTGAAATCAAACTCCACGACGGAGCTAAGGAATACACTTCTCGAAATCGACGTCGTCCATGGCACAAAATGAAAGCAGGGAGGAATCGAGATGGGACCCAGTCGCTAATTTATGCGAACCGAAGTGATATGTCGGGGCCGACGGAATGTGATTGCTGCCCTGGATTTCTCCTTCGATGTTACTTCTCCGGACGCTTCTTCCTCTTCTTCATCCTGCGGAGGATGACGACAGGAATGACGAGACAGGAATAGATCTCTCTCTCTGAGCGATTTTTTTCTCGCCTATGACAGACGAGATGACTGACCTGGCACTCATGCGGTGGAGGAGGCGTCGCATGGACCCGAACCCTCCCTTCTCCACGTTTTCCTCCTCCTTCGCCTCCGTCGAGGGCATCGGGGGCTTCGGTGCCGGGCAGCCCTCGTCCGAACTGGTGTCCCCGAGGTCGAGGTCCGTCTCGTGCTGGACCAGAGGGCATCGAGGCAAGGGTTCTCCGAACGGAATTCGATGCATCTGCGAATGGCTCGTCTTCTTCGACGATCCCATGCTCCAGCGTCTCCTCGTCTTTGGCTTCGGCTCTTTGGCTTCCGATTCTTCTGGCTTCGACGTCGGTCTCAGTATCGGCTTCGGCACCGACAAAGTCTCGGGCTGCGGCGGCTCCTCTTCCAGTTTGTCTTCGAACCCTGAGTCGTCCTTGCTCGAATCGGAATGCGAGGAAGAATCACAGGGGGAGGGTGTTTGCACTTGCACTTCCGGATCGCTCGCCAATTCCGTCATGGCCTGGCACAGTGCCTTGTACGTCGTGCTCAGCCACCCAGACAATCTAATGTACGAGTCACGACAACACCCAGGGTCAAATACGGACGTCGGCTCGTCGAGTGAGTTTCGAAAAAGCCATTAAAACGATACAGATTCAAGCTGAAGTGAATACGTAATTTCTCCATGACTAATTAGGGGGTTTTGTACTCGATCAAAGACCTCTTTGAAGAAAGTTCTGATGACAAGAGTACAGTTACGCATGCAGCCAACATGTTCCGACCAGTTCCGCATGAATAATTGGAGATGGTGTACCAAGGCTTCAGGCAACAAGTTCTCACTCCTTTTTACTTTCTCCTAATGAATGGATATGGGTATCTCCGTCATATGGGGTATGAATCATACTCTACTTAAGGGAACCACAACGTGGAACCTTGGAAAGAGAAAAAAGCCACCACTCTTTTGAATGACCAGAGGAAGTTCGCATTTAAGACACGATTGCAGTGGAGGCCTTGAAAAATTTTCCCATCAATGACTTTCCTTCAGGGATATATTTTTTTTTCACCGGGAAATTAGGCTTTCTCGTTCATAGTTTAAGTGTCAAGTCCAAGAAAAAGTGCTCCCACACGAAATCACTTGGCAGCTCTAAGTGCCGAATGTCAAAGAAGTGCCGCAGTATGCATTCTACGGATTCTACGGTATGCCACGATGCCCTCTTTTCAGCATTCGGTTTACCGACCTTTCTTTGGCATCGGAGTCCATGGAGGCAGGGGAAGAGGAATCGGAAGACGAAGAGAGGTGCGACTGCGACCAGACTCGGTTGCAGAACCTGCACTGGGACCGGGACCGGGGACAGGAGGTCAAGTGACCGATCCCGGCACGGACCACCGCTCGGAATCCCTCGCCTGGGCTCCCCCTCCACATCTCCTCCATGCCCTTCACCTGGGGGGGTAGCAGGACCGTCTCGCACATACGAGCATCCAGTCATCCGTCCACCGATAGGGAATGAATGGGATTCGCACCTTTTCGCGAAGATCCATCCATTGACTCTTCCACTCGTCCCGTTCTCGCGTGAGGTCCTCCAATCCTTTCTGCAGTCTCCGCCTCTCTGCGCTCCGTGTCATCGTGTCGTCCGAACTCTGTCATCACGCGATCAAAAGACATCCGTCACGAACAGGAAAAATAAATAACGTCGACGACAACAGAATATTGACATCATGAAATCAAACAACGAATGAAACGATTTCTGCCGGTGAGACCTCTCTCATTGCCCGTATGTTTTCCTTGTTTTGTTGTATTCGATTTGTAGTCTCTCACGCATGAGAGTGCGTTTTTCGCATGGCATCTCTGCCTGGGAAGAATTCCCCCGACAATCGTGAGAAACGACATTCTTTCCTCCCTCACTCCATGCTGATTGAAAGATGTTTTTTACACTCAAGGACGCAGCCAAGAAAAAAAAAAGCCCCAAAGTGTGAAAAGCCACGACGTGCCAGAAGAATGGATAAAGGAAGCGCCTGGAGGGTCTCTGAATGAAACGCGTGGAACTTCGGTCCCGTTTTGTGCGGAATGTTTCTGCTTCGTTACGTCTCAGGGACTTTAGTCTCTCTAATTCATTCAAAAGGACAACTGGGCCATTAGCGGAGGAGACGTAGGAATCGTTCATACAGTCCTTCCATTATTTACTTTGGAAAAGAGAAACTAACGAGTCAGGAGTGAGAGGACAAAGAGATTGCCAGCAGGCGCGCCTGTATTTTTTCTGCCGTTCCCGTTTATTTTCCCCCCGTAGCGAATGCTCGCGGGGCGAATCCTTGCCGCTTAACGCACGGTGCATGCAGCTGGGGTAAACCTGCATGAAATGATCGTGTCTTCTTTCTCCTGCTTTCTTTCCCCCTCCCTCCCCTCTCTTCTTCTCTTTTCCCTCTTTCTAAATCAACCGGCAAACTCATTCACTCCTCCTCTTCTTCCACAGACCGACATCTCAAGAGAAAAAAAAAACCCACAAGGTTCGACAGGAAGAACGCGCGGTAAGCCCACGACCCATAAAGTCTTCGAGTTTCAAAAAACTTACGATGGTGGTCTCGTAAAACTGCTTTTAATATCCCCAGAGACTTTCCCCTTTAGTAGAACCATTCTTCCGCTCCATCGGCCAAGCAGAGGATTGCACAATCTTCATTCCTTCCCTCTTCCATCCGATCGATCCCATTTCCAGGCATGCACAAACGAGACAGGCCCCTTGTTTGCCTTCTACACACAGTGACGTAGTGGCATGCCACACGAAATCGGATTACAGGTGGTATTACGGCGATGGAAAGGGATGGAAGTACCGGGAAAGGCAATCTACTAAAAGGAAGGGAGGAAGTGGGAGCTCTAATGAGATTCGAACACGTGAGAAGGGTCTTTGACTTCGCAGACACCACGGAAAACACGGAGACCATCGTTCATCTTCATTCTGTCTCATAGACAATGCTAACCCCCCATGGAACAAAAAAAAAAGCGAGGCAGGGTTGTGAACTTGAAAGAGAGAGAACGAGAGAGAGAGAAAAAAAAGTTCGCGATAATTTGGGAAAGACAATGGAGGTTGAATGGCCATGAATCAGACTTTTGTGCTGTAGGCGAGGGATATATACCTGCGAATCGAATCAGGTACATTACGTCCACTGGCCAATTGGCTGAGCTGGCCATTGTAAAGGGAAAGTGTCTCAGCTGGAGCAGTGCGCAGTAGCGTAGCCAGAAGTTCTTTTCGGTGGGGGATGCTCAGCGAATCCCTTTTTTTTTTGTACGTCTAGAATCTGATTGCGTTCTGTTCTCTTTGTGGAGTTTGAGCCCCTTTTTATTTGATTTTTTTTTTCGCGGCACACCGCGGTGTCTTTACCTTCATTCAATTAATTTCGTAGCCGCTGACAACCCGGCCGGCTCCGCCTCTGCCTCGCATCCTGTTGACGCGGCCGCGCAGCAACCGAGGCATATCATTTCCCATCCCCGCATCCCCATCCCCATCCCCCTATTGACGACGACCCGTGGTGGCCGGTCCCTCGGCTCCTTCGCTCCGGACCGAAGGTGAATTCCTGCATCTCGTTCCTTCGGTTCCGAAGGAGACACGGGACGAGACGAAATGCCTCGTCTCCTCCGTCAGTAGAACTCTATGAGACTCCAAGTGGAAACGAATCTGATTCAGATCGCGGGATCTTGCATCGTTTCCAAACAAAATCGTGAGACATCTTGGAAAAAAATAAACGCATAATAGTCGATAAGATTAACAGTAAACAGTGTAATGCACGAAAATTTGCCACGTAGTTTGTCAGTTGTGCTAAAGACTACAGACCTTCATTTGCTGCGCACATCTGGCATCTTTTCACGCTCCATTTCCATCCGCGAATCTCCGTCGTCATTGTCATATCGTAATGAATCGTTATGTCTGCGGTGAAAGAAAAAAAAAAAAGAGGAACAACGTTCCGCATGTGGAAGAGAGACTCGAGCGAAGAGCCGAAGATCCAGACCCGGTTGAAAAACCTCATGCATCACCCCGTCTGTTGGCGAGCCAGGGGTCAGATCCAGATGATGCGCCCAGCCAGACCACAACGTTTCGTGACGAACGGCATACCTGACCGTAAGGAGGAGCGAGAAAACAAGGAAGTTGTTCACACCCGAGCGCAGGAGATGAAAGCACAGCTTCTGATTCAACTCCCTTCCTGTCCTCTTTGTGATTTCATCCAGTTGCGACATGCCCTCCGGCCAATAATGTTCCCCCTCGGGCTCAAAGGGGGGTTCCCTTTTTTTCCCCGATAATTAACCAGGTCGGGTGAAAGCGGAACCGGAGCACTCTCCACCCGCGAATAGGCATAACAGTTACAGTCTCGCTTCCATGCAAGGGCTTGTGGTGAACATAACAACCACGTCTTTTTTTTTTTCGACGCCTACTCGCATTCGAACTCATTTTCCTGCATAGGCGGGAGAGACGAGTAGGATCAATGACCTACTTTCCGAAACACACGCCCTCTAAATCGTTAATAAATCCCGGATCGCCTTTCCCTCGATGACGATAGATCGGGACGAACCGTAGCAGATGGGCAAACGCCCGTCTTTCGGGGATTTTCCAACTGCGTCCCTTTCCCTGGAAAGCGACGGGGAAAAAAATCTCCTGGGAGAGGCTGCACCCCTCATTATGTTAATACGTCGTGATCGAAGAGCAGAGCACGGCATGAAAAGGTGTACCACTCCCACGAGGTGCTTCTTTCGTTCTATCCTTCCATCTACACGCGGTCTTTCGTGGGGAGAGACCCGGATGCCTGAACAAAAAGGCCGAAAACCTGATCTCGATGGTCATGGCTTGGAAATATCGCCGCGTCATGATTTCGCATCATCGTCTTTTCTTTTCCTCCTTCACGATTTCTGCTCGTGTTTCTTCGTGCAGGCGCCATAGTTATTATTCCTCCTCCCTAACGACTCGGATTTTATGGTCCCCGAACCGACCGCTAGCGAAGAACGTGCGCACTTGGACCTGATGCACAACCTCGATCAATGAAGACAGCGGAGAAAGAGAAGCGTGAGTGCGTGCCAGCCCATATTTCGTCGAGCACCCGATACGATCGGCGAAACGGGGGGGGGGGGGGGGTGGGGACACGAGGAAGAAGCCAGCAAAGTGCTCCCGGCACGGGTCAGGAAACGACAGGGCGTCCGAGAAACGCGGGGGCAGGCACCCATCGATCTTTCTATTCCGGCTCATCTGCACTTTTCATCAGATCATTCGCTCCGGTTCAAACTCGTATCCCTTTCGTGACTTTAATCGAACGACGAGAATCGTGTTGGTACTCGAGCAAGACTCTACAAGGAAAAACAATCGTTCCAAATGCGGCATTGAACCTGACTAGAATTTCTACTAAATCCTTTCTTCCTTTCACCGTCTTGCAATACGAGCAGAATTTCTATTCTTTACAGCCATTTCCATTTCTGAAATTTAACAAAATGGCAACCGATACGGTTGCTAGCTAGGTTGCTAGCGGTAGGGCAACATCTGAGTACCTTCATTCTAGCGGGTTTTAGCATCGTCCCAGCCCCACACCACGTTGATTAGTACCTGCGCATCCGACCGGTGGTCTTTCCGGGAACGAAGGTAAGAAGACCCCATCATTAAAGAACTACTCGAGTGGTGATGAATCTCCTTCCCAAACGACAGGAAGTACCCCAACGACTTCCTGGAAAAACCCGTGCAAGAACGAGGAAGGATCGGGCCAGAATTCGAACGGCGAAGAACTGGACCGAATCGCCTCGGCCTGCTGCGTGTCAGGTGGAGGTCCTCGCGAATGTGGGCCATGCATTACGAGAGATCGCCCACATGCGGCCGGGGGATCGCAATCGGGCTGGATGGTTTTTCTATGGGGGACGAAGAGGTCGCGCCCCAGACGATTCGGTGTAACGGGATCGTGGGTGTGCTACCACACCGACGTCTCACTCGATCGCAACACGGCTAAATAGGCCGGGCCCAGGAAGTGAGAAATCTTCTTCCTGTCCTTCCGCCCGGGTTTCTTTCTTCTCCTCCCTTTCCACACGTCGATGATGCAATTCCAGGTCAAGATGAACCGACTGCACCGCGAGGAATTTCTCCTCTCCGATCCCTCCCAGGCATTTTCACGCTTCCAACCGACGAGGAAAGAAAAAGCGCCTCTTTCCTCCTTTCCCGCAATCCAGCCCCGTGTTTTTTCAAGGGAATCTTGGAAAGAGGCACGTGGAACGTTAAACCGGTCATTGACTTCCGCCCATGGCGGAAAAAAGAGACAATGAGAATACACTTTTCTTCCTTGTCCTGCGAGGGTGATCCTTAGCTACTGGATTCCTGATGTGGTTTTTTTTTTAATTATTTATATCTTTCATTCCTTTATGATATTGGAACAGGATTGGAATCTGAGGGGATAAAAGCCGCCAGACCAGGCGCCAGAGAGCAAACAGAGTGAGGGGAAACGGGAGAAAAAATAGACAAAAGAACCTGGGAGACATCACCTAGCCCTGTCTTCCACTAATTCCTCCCTCTCTCTCCCTTTCGCAGTAGGGAAGAAGACATAGACGTGTCAATCAGCATCAGCCATTCCTCGCTTTCCGGGGGGAGAAGGAAAGAGACTCGCGTCTCCCCGTCTCCTCATGCCTGTTAATGGTCTTCCTCTTTCAGCATTTACTCAGGTGTTACCGTAAACAAGTTCGGTTCCATCCCGTCTGTCCCCCTCTCGTTACATTTTTTTTCTCCACCCTTGCTCCCTCCCCATTTCCCTCGGCGTGGGTGGCAAAAGTGAAAAGAAGATTGCGCAATGCAGACCCAAAGGGGTCTTCGTACTCTCCCGAGTGGATCCGAAACCGCACGTCATCCGTGATGGATAGCGCAGGAGATCCATCTAAATCATCCCAATCTAAATCCATCCCGATCGGGACAAAGAAGTACGATGTCTCTGGAGCGCAGATGATGAATGCGACGAAGAATTACCTTGGACTTGAGGAGCTGGCATCTGAGATTGAGCTCGTTCTTCTCGTGCCGGAGGGTCCGGTTCTCCGTCAATAGACTTTCCTTCTCTTCCTTCGCTCGGTCCAGCTGCTCTTGGAGGCAACACGCGTATGCTCTTTCCTGTAATGGACGTCGCATGCGATCAGGGCTCGATTTCTTTTAATGCATTCGTCGTAGAGGATTCCCTCTGGGGAATTTTTAGGACATTGAAAATCGGTCGAGTTCAGTGCTAGAGCATTCACCCGGTTCAGGGTCGGGTGGGTAGGGCTGGAATCGATGCTTCATTCGAGCCGGGCTGTCTAGCGCAGCTCCGGTACCTCGAAATCACATCGGAGCTCAGCTCCCGTTCCTCGACGTCTTAAATGTTACACTAAGTGGTTGCTAAAATTGACTCTGATACTGTTTTTTGCACGTACTCCAATCAAATATTGTATTAAAAAAAAAAACAAGAGGCTTCCCCTTGACCCCTTTAACGTGCGGTATGCACACAGTGAGCCGAGGTAATTCGTTTCCTTGCAATTAAGCGCTGATTTGAATTCATAGTGACTGATTAACAATCCAGACACGAATTATTGACTCACGACTGCAATTCACTCGAGGACTTAGGAAACAAGTAAAAGTACACGACTGTATCTGTATTACATTTATTTTTAATGTAATTTGTTCTGTATTCCTTATCGGCATTCCACCGCAGTCAAGGAGAAACGATACAGTCAGCACGGTTTTTCAATGACGAAGGACATTCTTGAGTCTCATCAAATTCGTGCTTCTCATGGCGAATGATGCTTCATTCTCGGTGGTGAACCACTGAGTCGGAGAGAAACTCGCGCTTGAAATTGGAAAAGTAATTGAAACAACGTAATTTGCGATTGACGCCCGTATCCCGAGATCATTTACAATCGTGATTAATTGCATTTCAGAAGATGTAATCTGTAATTTTAATAAGCAAGAGAAAAAGTAATTCAACCAACACAGCGTGAATTGGTCGGTCAATCGTACTTCCTCCTCCCCCCCAATTAAAAAAAACTAACACCTCCTGAAATCTTACTCCTGTTATCTAAGTGGTGCAGTTAGGCATCATGACCAGCGAATGCTATCTTTCTGGGTCGTTCCATTTCCGAGACCAAGCATCATCATCATCATCCCCGTCATTATGAACGATTCTCGATCCATTGCCAGATGAAGGCATGCACGCCAATTTTTTCAACCCTGTGATTCACTGATTCACCTCACTCCGATTAGCAGAACGATGTCTCTCCCCTCTCATTTGCTGCCATCTTCTGGGTTGATACTCTTGGGCACGATCATTCTGTGATCTTTTCGGCTCTCGGCTTTCGGCCCGGGAAGTGGACAGGACATCGAGCCCAGGGCTCCATGTCCTGTCCACTGCCTGTGCTGAAATCTTCTCCGGTCCTGTTCGTTCTCAGACCCCAGGTATTCATCTTCCCGTCTCTCCGGGCGACTCCTAACATACATCTCTCCGTTCCTCTTCGTGCTGTCTGCAATTTTCTTCGCTTCTCTTCGGTCACAATCCACGGCTTCCATCCATAGGTCATTGCAGGGAGGACACCCCGGTCTAAGGCCTCTCGCTTGAGGCAGGGCATTTTACTCTTCGTGTCGGTGCCGAGCTTCCCGATCGCTCTTCCAGTCTCTTCGCTTCTTCTCGATGACCTCTCTCGATTCGTTTTCATCAGCCGTCCGAAGTAGATGTATCGGTTCACAAGCTCATCTTTGGTTTCCTTCGGGGCCGGATGGTCATTCATAACTTTGGCGTTCTTCGTGTTCAAATTCAGCCCCACACTTTTACTCTTGGCACAAAGCTATTTCTATGATTCTTTCAGCTCTTCTCCAGATTCCGACAAGAGAACAATATCATCAGTAAATCTGAGATTTTGTCAATTTCTCTTCATCGATGCTGTTGTCTTTCTATTCTCGTCTCAAGTTTCAGAACATTTCTTCGAGGAAGGCATTAAAGAGATTCGGTCAGATTGCGGGTTCTCCGTCTGAGTCCATTTCCTTTTCGTTGTCCCCGAGCAAGCGAATAATACAGGGTGATCGTAAAGTCAGGAAACCCAAACAGTTACACATTTTGTTCATACTTTACAAGATGGACCCTTCCTCCATCCAAGGAGAGCATGCGACATGTTCGAGCTGTGTTCACGGAACGAGTGATCTTGGATTTCCTGACTTTACGATCACCCTGTAGCTACGCCTCTGCCATAGGTTTACTCGAGCACATGAACTTTTAGATGCCTCCATTTTTCCACAGCCCTTATGACACCTGGAATTTCCACCGAAGTGCAGGGAAGTCCCATGGGATGGATATTCCGGGAAAGGCAATCCCACCTATTTTCCTGCCGCTATTCTAGCTCCGCATCTAAAGCTTCAAGGGGCTATCTACGAGCTCCGGTCATGATGCCTACCGTCGAATGTTCATTGCACATGGATTGTTAAAATGATTTTGAAACATGTATATTTATTTTTTTGCTGAAAATTTTCAGCAGATGAATTTCCCATGAATAGGGTTACGTGTCGTCACTTCCACCATTATGGACTATTAATCAGGGCCTGGCCGCAATCGAAATCTTGGAATCGGTTTTCCGCATTCTACATGTTGATATAAAACCACAGATTTTGGTGTTGGGCAAAGGGAGTTGCAGGGAAGGGACAGAAATGCCCAAATCTCAGGCCATTTAAAACCACTGCTTGCACAGAGGCATTGCGTAAAGTGCATTTCTCCCTATCATCCATAAAAAGAAAATTCGAGATCGATTCTTGTAGTATAGCTTATTATGGGAAGGGGAATGGTGCAACGAAACAGCCAGGAGGAAGCTGGGGGGAATGACTTAGTATACAGGGCGAAAACAATTTGTACATTGACTTTCACCTTAATTGCGGCAAATATATATATGTACAGTCGACTCCGCATAATGGAATATTCCGCTTATTGGAATACAATTGCACGGTCCCGATGACGATACGATACAGCAGATAGTTTCGGTTGCTGAAATACTCCGGATTATAGAATGAAGTTCGCTGGTCCCGGGAGTATTCTAATATGCGGAGTCGACTGTATATATTTCAGGTATGAGAATGCTATTTGGAGTTGAAACCGGTTCACCCCGGTTCTGACTTAGAATTATCTTGAAGGGTTCCTTACAGTTGTACGTCAGAAACGTACATGAACTGAAACCATCTCATGCGTGATTTCTGGTGCCAATGAAAAGCTTCGCTACTTACAGAAAGACCATTTCAATTCTTTCCAAGCAGACATCGGACAACAACTAAGACCAAAATCATTCTAAGTTAAGAATGGCGTAAATCTTCATGGACTTGCTTCGAACCCTCCCAGGATTCAACCTTCCAAATTACTCAGAAACTTACAATGTGCAAAGAGAAAGTTCGGATACTAATTTTTTTGTTTCAATGTTACACGTACATGTGCAGAATGACACGAACAGCTGCTCTCACTTTCGACTGATTACTTTTCCTCGGCGCAAGGGCTCCCGTAATTATAGACCAGATATCGTGAAAAATCTGTCTTTGGGAGAGGGAAACACAAGGAGTTCCTTTCATGGAATCCCCTCTTCACTCTCCGTTCTGGGGTAATTCCGTGCTCTACAGCGCCCTTATCTTGCATTCGCCCTCTCCCAGGAGGGCAAATTCAAGAGCACTGCCCTCCGTCTGTGTTAGGAAGCATTCGGATTGGAACCGTGCCATCCCCGGCTGTTAAGAGTTTCCGTCCAATAAAAATGGCCATCATGCCGATGGCAGAAATGGGTTTCTTTGTTATTGCGTTCAGACACGATTCCCGTTACACATTCGGGGACCTCTTTCAGGGCATCAATGGCACGGAGAAGAGAGATTTAATGCGATGGGACCTGGAAGACGCCTTTCGAAAGCAATCGACTCTGCGAAAATTGCACGATCTGACCTTTATATTGCAGCCCTTTGTCAGTTTGATAGGCGCGGGCGAGAAAGGTTCGTCCCGCACATACTCGCAGGCCATCGATTTCTCCGTTCGATTTATCGGCGTCCCACGTGCCGGTGTAGTCCCAGTTCGGGGAAAGAGAGGATCCGGTCGTCTCCAATAATTCCTTTCATGCTGCACCCCCCTTTATATGGTTGTACCGTTACGAAAATGAATATCCATAGTCAGGCGTTCGGCGCAAACGGCGCAGTGAAGGCCGAGACGAATCCTCATCCGTCCCCATTTCAACCTCATCCCGTGGAGAATTTCCTCGTCGCGGCATTGGATTCAGTGAGACTCAAGGGAGATATGGAGACAGATAAGCGTCCTCGAGTCTATTGTCTTGGATATGCGTGAAAATGCGAAAGAGACTTCTGATGCCCCTCCAGAGACGTCTAGCGAGTCAGGAATGGAATCTAGCTCCTCTGTTCGCAAATTCGAGGCCAGTTTTAGCATAGAGTAGGAGCAGAAAATCCCATTTTCCCCGTCCTGTCCCCGTTCATCCCAGAAGGAAAGTATTGAAATCTGAAACGCACTTCCCTCGCTTGCTTTACTCAACAAACACCCAAGACGACGCCCAGTTCCTTGTTCTTTTCGGGGAAGTGGAACAGTCCACAATAATTAAGAGCAAGTCCAATTTCCTTGACATTTCCATTCGCATGTCTCCCGTGCAATAAATATCCGTAATTCTCGCTAACGAGCCTCGGGTGTTGGATTGCACGCAATCGCATCTCTAATGGGAGTAATGTCCCCTTTACGTCATAAACCGGATTGATTTGTCGGCAAAAGCCGAAAACAAACGAGGCAGCATTTGTATGCATGGATCACACCGCATCTCTCCCGATGATGGTTGCTCATCGTTTTGGAAGGTGTGGAAAGGCGAGATAACGAGGCCGCTGATGGATCGGATCTTCGCCGACCGAGTTCAAACAAAAAAGCTGCGTTTATCAGCGTTGCCAGATGACCTCATGCCGAGCCATTCATCCTCCTCATTATCTTTCCTTGTTCTTATCTGCACCGGGGTACTTCACTGAATACAATGGAAGGGTGGGGAAAATCCATTTTCATGAGGGGATCGCCTTCCCCGACGTGCCACGGCATTCGAGCGCCTCTTTATTGTAATCGTCTGCATTCCAGCAGTTTCGAAACTGGCTTCCGGAAAATCTTTGAAACGTCTCGAAAGAAAGAAAGGAAGCAGTCGAGAGGTGTGGTACAGCCGAGGCAAATTGGAGAAACAGATACCACGAGAACGAGGTACTGTTTATTTGACAGCACATGTGCTTCGAGCGTGACATGTTTTGGCATCGGATCCTGATTTCTCCCTTTTGTCTCGTCACGTCCTTAACCTCTCTCATACAATTTTTTTTTTCGCTGCTGACAATCTACGGAACTCTGGATCAGGGCCGTCTTTGTTTCTTTCCCCCGTCTCGTTAGGACAGTTACGTATTAAAATGCGAAAAAAAGGGAGAGAGGGGGGGGGGGAGAGAGAGAGAGAGAGAGAGAATCCGGAGCGGATGAAGAAGGCGGAGGACGGCTCCAAATGGGTCAAGATGCGAGGAAGAGATAGGATAGAAGGATAAACTGCAATTATCACATAGGATGATAGGGATTTCCTCGAGTCCGTCTGACCTTGAAAGATTCTACACGAAGCCCCGATCTCGTCTCACTTTACTCCCCCCTCCGCATAATAAAGGGGGAACAAAAAGACGGCCGGAAGGAGGGCACGAAGAGCCCTTAACGAGAGGTCCTTTACGAAGAGGGAAGAAGGACGACGGAAAAAAATTTTCAAGCCTTTGACAAACACTCACCTCTTCGAGTTCGCATTCGAGTTGGGTGACTTTCTCGTCGGAAGCGAAGATGTCGTCTTCCCGTTCTCTCAACTGACACCGAATGAATTCCAATTCCTCTCCTGCTTCTCTATCCGCCGCCTTAAAGCAAAAAAAAAAAAAATTAGAAAAAAAAATTAGAAAAAAATACAAGCGCTTCGACGGCACTCATTCATCATGGCCGTTGTTCCTTTCGTCATTAACTTCTGGCTTCCTGCTGCTTTTTTAGGACTCTGCAGGATACCAGGCGGTATTTTCACGAGGGAAAACATCCCAGGTTTGTCTTTTCGGAGATTTAAATCGAGGGAATAGGCGGTTTGTTATCGCGTGCTCGTCACGGTCATATGGGTGACCTAAGACTAATTATCGTTGAAGCGTATCGGATCTTTCATCCTGAGAGTAATTCCATGTCATTACGGCTGACGATGGTGAAGAAAGAAGCTCCAGCTTCTCCCTTGCGCAACTTCTGCCAGTCCATATAATGAGGGAGGGAACGAAGAAAAAAGGGGAACGAAAATGTTTGCAAAAAAATAAGAAGCTATTAGCTGAATGCGAGCTGTGACAGTCAGTATGATGGTAAAAAAAACTCCGTAGGATGCGAATTTCGACGTTGGAAGTTACTTGACCCCTAACAGTTCCTTTGAATAGTGTCGTCTAGTGAGTCACGCCCACTGTGGGAACTGGCGGAAGGCTGCTCCCATAGTTCTCATTCAAGGACGAAAACGGAGGCAAGAAAAATCACCATCGTCGAACGTGTGCGTGTGTGCGCGAGGGGGGAGGGGAGGAAATCTCGAACGGGGTGATCGACCTGAGAGGGGGAGAGTTTCCAACCAAGTCCGAGAAAAAAAAGAGTCCAAGTTCCTTTTTCCCTCTTTCTGCACGGCGAGAGACCCGGCTCTGGATTCGGCCCATTTCTTCCCCCTTTGACAGGAGTCCAAAAGAGATTTATTTGCATGTTCTCCGGTGGACGAGACCTCGCGTGTTCTTCCCTCGTATCGCATTCCCATATCGTGTCACGTAATGGAAATTTTCCCTCTCGTACTCGAGCAGACGCGGGGTCGGGATTAGCCAACCCCTTCAACCGATCGGCTCAGCAATCACCGCAACCGGAGGGCTTGGAGCGCGTCATTACCGCGCCACGTCAGTCTGTGACGTCAGAGGTTCCGGGGTCAATCCTCGTAGAGCAGAATTTCTCTTTCGGACCAGTTCGTCGAGGCCCTTTACCACACAGATCGGGAATACGCCGCTCCACAAAAAAAAAATTGAATATAATTCGGCATGAAGTTGCTGGTATTTGTCCCCGAGCAGTAGAACTGGATCCAATCGGCCCTACCCATGACGTGCCCATTCCCATTAAATTTGATGGTCACTCGTATCATTCCGACCCCCCCATCCACATCTAAAAGGATATAAAATGTCTCCCCCAAGGTTCATTCCTCTCGTGTTTTTTTCCGTGCCTCTACATTTTTTACGCCTATTACCTCATGCGCTTGATCGATGGCAAGAGATCCTCGATGATTCTGACGTCATCCGCGAAAAATCCATACGCATTGACCTCAAAACTGGGATTCTGTCGGAAACCCACGTCTTGCCCCCCCCCCCCCCCCCCCCCCCCCCCCCTGCCCCCTCCCCCCCCCCCCCCTGCAACTCACCCGGAGGGCCTCGAGTTCCTCCTCGCATTCGCCCAGCTTGCACAAAAGCTCCTCGTATGCCAGATATACTTCCATGTACTTCCTGTAGTGCGTCTTGAATAAAACGAATCTGAAAGGCAAACCAGAGACCACGTGAGAAGAATGCATGCGATTTGACTAAACAATGGGACATGCCCGACGTGGAACAAAGGGGAAAGAGAAAAGGAGAAAGGTGACGTGCTTCCCAACCGTGGAAACTGGATTTGCGCCGGAATTACAGGTTATTCCCTCGTCGATCGAGTCGACCTTGAACTGACGGCATTCATTATGCAAGGCTTTTCTGGAGTTAATTGCCGTTTTCATGACTGGCATCCAATCTAAATTCAAAGGATCAATCAAGGGAGGACCTAGCCCGGCCAAAAAAAAGTTTCCAAATCCCCCCACAGCGTGAATTCGTTCGTGATCGTCAACGTGATGAAATTCTTGTTAACCTGAGATAGACCTGGGATAGACCCGAGATAGACCTTGCATAGTCTGTATAACTTTCTATCTCGCGATAAGGGCGACGTTTTCGACTGCACGTTGGAGCACTGTGTAAACAGGGCTATCAAAGATCTTGCATCCTTGGATGAAGAACTCACTTTTGAAGATCTTCTTGCTTGATCATGGCGTCCAGCGAGTCGAAGGGATCGATGACGTCTTCCATGATTATTTTCTCTTCGGAGAACCTCATTCAGCCCTTGCACGAGGAATCTTGCTGTTCCATAGACGCGCGGTAAACGCCAGACCTAACGCTGTGCGTGCAATCTGACCAAAAAAGAAGGAAAAATTCCGTCAGCGTCTCGCGCGAGACGTTCTGAGATGCCGGAGAAAGGAATTCTCACATTCCAGGAGTAAAAAAAAAAACAAAGCACAGAAATACCACAGGCTAAAAATAAAAAATAAGGGCGAGCGTGAAAGAAAAGAGCACTTCCACAATGAAACAATAAAAAAAACCGCCGAAGACAAGATCGACCCAAGATTAAGCCACGTGCATGCAAAAACACAGGGCCGAGGCAGAGTGATGCACACTCGCTCGCACCCCGTCGTACACTGAGCGGCGCAAGCAAAGCCGAGTCGCAGAGGAGCCGACCGACCAGTAAGTCGAACCAACGGCTGTCGCGTTTGGCGCTGCTGGGTGGTTCATTCGTCCTGACATCTGTCGGGAGCGATTGGAACTGTACGTGTGGAGGAGGGCGCAGAAGATGTCGCAACGAGCTCGACCGTCGATGCGAAGGTTCGTGGTCGCTGTCGAATCTTCACGGTGGTGAATCTTGGCGGCAACGAATTTCAAGGTAGTTAAGACAAGGACTAAGAAGAGCGTAGATATTTGGAAAACCATTTCCAAGGTTTCCACCATGATCAGACGTCCGTAACTGCGGAAGTGGCAGCAAGACTCCCATTAGTGGAAAGTTCAAGGAGGAGGAATCAACAGCTTCGTGATTTACGTCCTTCATCGTGAACTGGAAACCTTTCGGTCCGGTTTTCCTCGTCCCTTCTTCTCTCGTTCCGCCTCGCTCCCGCCCGTCCCGAGATCTCAGCAGACTGTTATTAGAGTGCATTGTGTGCGATGAAGTAACCAATAACAATTTCCGCATTGCTGCCCAAAAACAGTGATATTTTCTGCTGAGGGTTCTCGGCGTGAACTCGTGAACCATTCGATGAATCCATGTCTCCTTTCTGCTTCATTGCGGCATTTCGATGTCAACGTCTGCATGGCAATCAGTCCCACGGGACAAATCCAGAAAGGGAGAGAGTCAGGAGAGGGAGAGAGTCAGGAGAGGAAGAGAGTCTGAGAAGGGTCGCTTCAGTGGTTTTCCTTTCCCATCTGGCTATGATTCTCATTCTTCTCCCAGTCTCGAGCTGTCTTTAATTTCCATTCCCATTCCGTTCCCGTGACAAATTAGCAATTCCCACTCCTGTTCCCAGAACGTGGCATCATTCCTTCAAAAGATCTCTTGCATGACCCAGGAGAAAACCGAATCTCGAGTGACAGATGAAAAGGAGGAGGAGCAAAAAGAATCAATAAGTAACTATTTCATTTTTGAGGTCTTCAATGATGCAACGATAACAGCCAGTCCACAGCTTCTGATTGAAGTGGAGATCTCGATGGCAGATCCGAAGGTACGAAATGCCAAATGTGAAAAAGTTCAGATGGCTGGGACACACAACATCTTCTGAGCCAGCAATCTCATTCTGTCTCATAGACAATGCTAACCCCCCATGGAACAAAAAAAAAAGCGAGGCAGGGTTGTGAACTTGAAAGAGAGAGAACGAGAGAGAGAGAAAAAAAAGTTCGCGATAATTTGGGAAAGACATTTCTTTGCTTACGTTCCATTATTTTCTGGCTAAATTGTAATTATTCTCTCTCCGATTGGAATGTGTCACATGTAGGTTGAACTAGTGTGTGTGTGTGTGGATAGTAACTGTTGTTAGCGACCGCATCTTTTTCTCGCCACACGGCTCCGACGCAGTAGTGTAAGCACGGGTGCAGGGCAAGAGGGAGCGCACTTATTTTCAACAGGGTGCTCATGAAGTCCTTTCCTGCGAGAAAAGTTTTTCCTGCAGGAGTAAAGGAGTTAAAAAAAAAAAACGGCTGGGTAGATCATGCATTTTTACATTCCTGATGTAAACTTTAGGCTTCAAAAAAAAAAAAAAGAAAAAAAAAGAAAAACTTGCCTACTTCATTTGCTTTTTAATTGCGAAATGGAGCTTCCATTCACTTAGTGATTATTTACTTAGAATTCACTTAGACACAAATGTCCAGTGGGCGACCCACGCGCATGACCGGTGGCTGTGGTCTACTTGAGTGAATTCATCAGTGCTCCTGGCGCCCATGATCCCAAAGTGGGATAAATCAGACTTCTCGTACGCCTTATTCCGGTACTAATCCCAACGAAGAATATTTCCTACCTACGTAAACGCGGTAGAGCGGATATTATCTGGTGACGGACTCCCCCTAGTGAAGATCAGGTCGAATCTCTTTCTGGCCTCGCTTCCGGCTCATCCTCTCGAAATTATATTGATACTATCCAAGGCATGGAATCGGGAGGAAGAGACTCCACAGAGACGAAGACAGATCGGCTCCCTCCCGTCCATTCTCTCTTTCGCAAAGCGTGCAAACGCGGATAAAGTCTCTTCCCCTCCACGAGAGATACTGGGAAGAGAGAGAGAGAGAGAGAGAGAGAGAAAGAGAAGATCGTATCTCCATCCTCCCTCGCTTTTCCTTACCGCAGTTTCTTCCACTGGTCAGAGAGGTCGTCTTCATCTGCCATTCCCGTGGGTACTATGGGAAAATGGCAAATATTGCGATCGGTCTATCACTTCTCCCCCCCACCTTTTTCTTTCGTTCCGTCTGTCCGCAGTTCCCATCGTAACCGGAAGACTCCACTCGACGCCCATGCACAATCTCCAGACTTAGACAATCTCCAGACTTAGTCTGGAGATTGTGCCAGTCTGGAGCAAGTCTGGAGATTGTGCCAGTCTGGAGATTGTGCCAGTCGATGACTAAAACTTCCCTTCCAGCCCTTGCAGACGACTGATGCGCAGTAGACGTTGGAGGAGAGCGGTGCGTGGCAGCGTAGACAGGGTTGCTTGGCGTTCTCTCAAATGCCTCATCTGGCATCCTCCAGATTGTACTCTCCCGTCTCCACGCGACGCAGATGCGCGAACATTTTGGAGCTCTCCAGAACCATTCACTTAGGATTCACGTGCAAATGACTGCTTTTAGTTTCATTTATTTTTTCAAGGCTGGGATAATACGGAAGGTGATGATTCCTGAGGCACAGTGGGCGGTGAAACGTCACATCTCTACCTGGGCTGGTACTCTAGTTCCGCTTTCGCTCGGCCTGTCCAAAATGCATTCAGCGCCATGACTGTTAGCGTCTCCGCTTGTTCAAACCCCGTATGTGCATGCTTGTTAACGGGCAAATATTGATATTGATATCTCTGTTTCATCGGATGGCAAAGCACTTCAACTCCCCGTTTAAGACAAACCAAAAGAACTGATGCGAAAATGACGAGAGCCATGTGGCGACCGCTCTCACCGATCCTTTCACGTTGTGAGACTTTTCTTATCCAAATTCCCCGCAAGAGGCAGATACTTTTCGTTTTTTCCTTTTCTGGGGCGAAGACCAGTTTATTATCATCATCGCTTCGGCCTCTCCGATTTCCTAACCGTAGAGCGGAAAATGCTCTTCGATATCCCTCGGATTCTCGTTAAAGGCTTGCTCTATCTCATCCGTGGCACGTCGGTCGATTTCCGACACTTGTTGGGGTTTCCATCGGGATCTGCCAGGTAGAGAGATTAGGTCCAAGCTTCAAAAGACGAAGATTTAGTGATCGAGGAAAAAGCGAGAAAAAGTAGTATATGTAAATAAACAAGTTTTTCACCTGCATAAACCCCACTAACTACTCTCTTAAATGAAGGAAAATGAGATTTATAAACCAAAAGGGACTTTCGCTCTTCCGGCAGCTGTCGAGTGGCGTAACAGGGGAAAATCGAGTCTCCGATCCGTTTCGCTAAGCTGCTGCCGATGCGAGAAAAGATACTGCCGTCGCAGTGGCGCCACCGTCGCGTCACGTGCAACCGCAACAAGCAGCCCGGGTGATGACAGTAACGACTCGATCTGGGTTCCGCAGTAGCTCGAACCGGGTTTCATCTGTGGTTAGGAGCAGCAACGCAATCCACATAGCATCACGTAGCATTTCGTGAGGACTGAAGCGAGTTTTCCGGCGTGAAGTGTCTTCGGTGTCTTTGGATTCTGGGTCTGTTCGCGGCGTCTGTTCGCGGCGACTCGCATCTGCACCGTGAGGGCGTGGCAAACGATAGTGGCGCCATCCCAACGCCTCAGTTTTTAACGCGCATCGGCTTCAGAAAAGCGAAATCGGTCCGAAACCCAAATCAAACTGTCTTCAGTGACTCCTCGTGCGCCTGACATCTGCCTGGACCGCGATCGGTCGCGATCGGAACACGTTCGACAAATTTCCTGGTTGGAAGGTCAGTGAGAAGTTTCAAAGGAAAAAAAAATCTCAGCAGTGTCGGGAAATGCACCTTAGATGGCTCTGGGGTCATCTGCATGCGAAGGTGTATCCTCACATTTTAAGTAGGGCTGTCGATCGATTAAAAAAAATGGCAATCGATTAATCGTGAGCCATTTGATCGATTAATCGAATTTTTAATCAGTCCCTCAGTTCCTCCTTGAATCTTGTCCTCGACGTAGGACATGATTCTGCTTGTGTCATGCCCAACACCAAGGCGAGCCTTAGGGAGCGATTCATGGCGATGCGGTCGCTAACAACAGTTACTATCCACACACACACACACTAGTTCAACCTACATGTGACACATTCCAATCGGAGAGAGAATAATTACAATTTAGCCAGAAAATAATGGAACGTAAGCAAAGAAACGCACTGAAGCCTTTTGCCATTTAGCCAAACCATCCCGGAAGGATGCAAAAACATAACCTAAATGTTTGGAAGTATAGAGTGTTACTTCATTCCGTAGAGGTTTAGAGATTCGTTATCGATTCACAGGTAACACAAGATGGAAGAACAGAAAAAGCAAAAATATCGTAGAAGATTTCACCCTTTCGTCTCTTTTTCTCTCGCCTGCTTCCGGCTTTCTCCCTCTCCCGGTTACTTCCTCGGGGCTCCCGCAGACCTTCGCCGGCGCACTTCCAAGTTCGCCTCTCGCTCCCCAGTCTTTACTTTATCCTCTATCCTGCCAATCCTGTCCCATGTCCCTATTCCTTCTGCGTGTTCCCTGGAAGCTGGACATTAAGACTTTCTTTTCCCCACTCGCATCAGATGAGTTTCGGTCGCTTTGCTCTCGGCCCCTGCTACCTTAACCTGAAGCGCGAGGCTGTTTTGCAAATCTGCATAGTAAAATTTTAAGATGCATTCAGGGGGAGATTTGGGCGTCGACTAAAATTCTATCAATTTTGACTAATTTTTTAATCGCGATTAATACGTTGATCGATTAATCTAATTGAATTGACAGCCCTGGTTTTAACATACCCTCTTTGTACTGGATAAACACGTCATGACGAGCTTGAATACAACGTAATTCTCATCAGTACGATACGCTATACCGAGCTAAATGCCCTTAACGAAAAAAAATTTTCTGCTTGCGAACTCCCGTTCGTAACGACTGATTTACAATGAAATAGATGAAATTGGAGGAAAGCAGCTGCTCCCTTCTTTCTCCTGACTTGGATCAAGTCTTTTCACAGGAAATAACCTCCCATCTGAAAATTCATGGGTGCTGCAGTCTTTTCATCGCTGATGACCATGCACATGTTCCAAGGCTGAATCAGCAGGGGCCGAGAGCAAAAGACGAAGATTTAGTGATCGAGGAAAAAGCGAGAAAAAGTAGTATATGTAAATAAACAAGTTTTTCACCTGCATAAACCCCACTAACTACTCTCTTAAATGAAGGAAAATGAGATTTATAAACNAATCGAAGGAAAATGATAAAAATGTGATATTGGCGAGGGAAGAAAATAGGAGACGGCGAAGATTTTACCTGGATGGGAGAGGAGAGAGAAACACCAACTTTGGCGCTGAGACTCAAAGTCAGATTCCCAGGAATGACGAAAAGAGACGGAAGAATCGAAAGACTACTGAGTTGCAATGGGTCCTTCTCGCTCCCGCATTGCCTCCACGAGAAGCCATCATCCTGCGAACACGCGCAATAAAGACGGACGTCAGTGCACTTCGCGGAAACGCTCTGCGAACAGTGGAGAAACGAAGGGGTGGAATCCGTACCTGAACCGTTTGGTGAATGGAATTATTCCAGACGGAGAAGTTTGCTGCCGCCCTGAACAGTGGGGTATCGTTCCGCCTGTTCTCTTCCAGGAACCTGATGAGGTCCAACCCCCCTCGCCCCAGGCCTCGAAGGGCCAGCTCGGGGAGCCCAACCTTCCCGCCCGCCTCCCGCTGGAAGTAGCCGTAATGCCAGAGGACGGCCTGAATGTTCAACGCCCCGACGAGGAGGATCCAGACGGCGAAGAACAGGATCACACTCCCTCTCGACAGCTCCATGCCTCACGACACTGGTCGCTTTGCCACTTCACGCGCTCCCTCCTCCACTCGGCATCACGCGACTGTGGAAGGTCACATTGCCGCCGCAATTACAAAGGCGCGATTTCATCGTCCTACATGCTTTCGTGCGTTCGATGCTGCTCTGGATGGACTTGCACGTCGAGAGACCTTTGTAAACCACACATGGTTATAATACGTGTCGAGACAAAGTCTCCCCCTATCGCCGAGATAAAGCTGACCGACATCACCGAGTGATCTCGGTCAAGGTTTCATAAAGCTAGGGGGAAACGATCAGGTTATGCTAATCTGTGGGATTGTCAGACATGTACATTATTGCAGGGTGGACTTCATCGGTTTCCTCACGGAATGACAATGATCGTTTTAGCCTCTGGTAAGATAATCCACCAGTGGAGACCCGTTTCCCAGAAAACTGCAGATTCAGCATTTGTTGATAAAAACCCAAGGTCTACTCTAGCTTCCCTCCAAAACAGCCTTTTCACATACAGTTTTTTGTCTTCGCCACTAACGCTCAGGGCAGAAGTTACATACTGTAATAGCCTCGCTTCGGCTAGGGGAAAAAGCTAGGGGTAAAAAATTCTCGGTAACAGTCGAACCAGATCCTGCTACTGGGATCCCCTGCCGGGAAAATTGCTTACGGCACCACTTATAAATTATTCAATTCCCAGGAAAACGCTGTGATGAAACTCGAGGGTTTCGATAGTCGAAACACAACTTATTGAGTTCAATTGCAACAATGTTGCGTTCAATTTTAAGTGCCATCACATTCAATTTTGGAGGCCTCCAAATCAATGCGAACTAACGGCATTCGAAAGCGTCTCCAGGAAGGCTACGAGAATTATCAAGGAGGTAGGAGAATACCTTTAACCCTTTTCACTCCACAGTCGCGCCCCACGTGTCATCAATGGAGTGCAAAGGGTTAAGAAGGGATTGTACACACTCGAGAAAAGGTTAACAAGGGGGATTTCATCGAGCATCGAAGATCAATAAAGGAATCGATAACGTAGAGCGTGGTTGGCTTTTCCAGTTCGATGACAGGAACAGAACGAGGGGGAACCGACTCAAGTTGCGTCAACCCCAGGCGAAGCTCAGGTTGCGACATGGCTTCTATACTGGTAGGGGAGCGAACGCGTGGAATGCGTGAAGTGATGATGAAGTGGCTGCCCCTTCCGTGACTGGCTTCGAGGGGAGGTTAGATGCCTTCGTGAACAGAGCAGAAAAAGGGAGCCGAGTTGACGCAAGTGACGAGGCAGGAGGTGAATATCCTCCCGCAAAAATATCTATCTCTGAGGGGGATGGGTCCATCTCGTGATACATGAACGCTTGACCTTCTCGCGGGATGGGCAGGAATGCCTCTTGACATTTCTAAATGAACCTTGAATTGACTTGAATGAAACCTTGAATGAATCTTGAATTCTGAACAGCTAGACTTGTGCGTCGTTCTTTGCTGCCGTCGCCTGCAAAAACGAGTATAAGACTTGCGGTGAAAAGTATCTGGAAGCAGACCCTAGTCGGAATGAAATCCCATTCGTGGCCTGTCGGCACATCCCCACTGATTCCTCGTGACCAGCCTGGGCAAGAAAACACCGGGCATTTCTTGCCCTGCGGTGCCCGGTGTTTTCTTGCCCTGGTGCAGGCCACCTAAGCCCTAAAGCGCGAGTTAGAGATAAGAAGCCTGAAGGTCATTAACTCTTTCGTTGCCAGCCAGCTAGCTACAACGTTCGCGGCACACCGTCCCCAGCGTGTTTCGAGCGTTGTAAGCAATGATGTTGAAAATATTGAAGCTGTGACATCATTATTTTACCTAATGCGTAAGGGCGCATTGAGATTAAACAAAAACTATTTATTGGCCGGTTTGGGAGTGGGGAGAGGAGGGGACATCAGGTTTCGGGGACACTCGTGGTAGCGACGAATTTTTAAATTCCTTTGAAAAATGACTACGAAGAGAACGCACAGCGAAAAGACAACTGGTGAGCGGCATCTGCGTCGTCGTCTGACAGCTGAGTTCATAAATCATCCTGCTCCTCCGCGCAGATTTACTAGGGCCCAACTGGTTCGTCAGATGTCAGGACGATCGCTTGGTGGGCCGGGATGTCTTCTTTCCCTGCGCTTCTCGCCCTGTTCCCTAGATTCTCATTCCTCATCCGCCTGTTCGTCTCCTGACGTCTTTCTTGTTCTACATGCTAATTCTTGCTATGTTCTCCGTGTATCATCAAGTCCAGCTAAGTAACGGGACTTGATATAAATCGCTGTGCAAACACTTCCTTCCCCCCAAATTATAGTGCAATGATGGAAAACTGCCAATTTCAACGGTCGTTGAAACAATACGGGAACTGGAAAAGGCAATCATGATAATCAAATGAAATCCCTTTGGAGTTTCTTCACTTGAGATCCTGTGAGACCTCGATAGCAGTTTACATTTGTTGCTTTTTATACCTTCCCGAAATCCAGGCCTCTCCAAGGCAAAAGTCAGACATTTCAACTTCCTTATTGGATTAAGCCTTAGTACTTCTCAAGTACTGGTGCTTCTTCATCGTGCTTCTGTCGTCTTCATCCTACGTGATTCCAATCACAATGACGAGAGTGTGGCGGTGTTTAAAAGCTACGTTTCTGAAGATCTTCCCTTAATAACGAAGTAATTTGCACGATTCCCCGCTTCTTCGTCGTAACGGGGTTCATAGTAAGTGAATACTGACCTCGGAGTCCTTGCTTGTGAGTTCCCGATCCCCGAGTGGAGGCGAATGTTCTTTCGAATCCAATTTTCCTATTACTTTGACATGGCGTTTCTCCACCTCCGGGATCGAAAGGAGAGTGATGACCAATACTACAGCCAGGTACGAAACGCGTACGTCACAAGACGCATTGTGAGTAGATAAAATGTAAGAATCCAACTGATTGATGAAACCGGGGATAGTCGATTCTGTAAGGCAACAGAGCGATCGCTTTCTTGCATTACAACAAACCCCAGACGTATCAACACACTCTCACGCGTTTCCGCATATTCTGGAACACTCGCCGCAGAGTGGGCCCCGTGGTGCTGGTGAATGCAAGGAGGGAAGGCTCTTCGGCGAACTGTGGCCTCCCAGTTCACCTGACCTCTCCCAGGTCACCTGACCTCTCCCAGTTCACCTGACCCGACACCATTGGATTCCTTCATTTGGGGATATCCGAAGGGAAAAGCGTGCAGCAACGATCCGAGGGACCTTCCCTCCTCGCGGCGCGACTGCGCACGGGCGAGCACCTGAGGCATTTCCTGCATCGCTCAACTTCCAGTGCCAAACACGGACATGATTTTCCGAAAATCGGAAATACATCTGGAATGGATTGGATGTTTAATTAATCCCGACCACGCTCGCTGTCAGACTCCATTTCTTTTTTCATCGTTCGAAACCCCTGGGTCCATCATTAAATGCGCCACCTTTATTCCCTCATCCCACAGAGTGTCCTGCTCGGGGCCGAGAGCTCGAAGTCGTGACAATATCCTCCGGCGCTTTAATGGTTGGGTGGCCTATTATTACATGTCCTGAGGGTGGGAATTCCTAGGAAAAGAGATATCCGAAACGAGGGCAATTGGATACACTCTGGGACGGTTTCTCTGAGAGTCTATCTATCGAGACATTCTATGGAACACTTTCACTTGGAGAGTCAGCACTCGATTCGAAGGTTCATCGTAGGATTCATTTATTTTAGTGCTAAAATTACTCCTAATTAGGGGTTACTCCGCTGTCGTTGGAAGGAGGACTTGTAATTCTGGGGTCAGAGGGATTCCGTTTTCCTCCGAGTAAAAGTACTGCGTGGAGGCTGTGCGGTTCCTTGGCGTAGCCGCATCGACAGTCGTTGGAAGTTCCAGATGATAAAAAGCAGGATGGCTAAGGGGCTGCATGCTGCATTTCGTGTCGGAGTGGAGCGAGAGAGGTATTTTGCGTTTGTGGCCAGAAGGATCGGTCGGGAGAGTTATCAGTTGAACTCGTCGAGGCCGAGGAGAAGAAGGGGTCAGGACGGAGAGGGAGGACTCACCTGCGAGGCTAGTTGGGGTGGAGGAGGCACTGCGAGGGTTTTCTGTCCAAAATAATGGATGGGAGGGGGGCACAGGGTCAGGAAGGCCAGTCAGATGGCGCTCGTAACCGCTGGGCTCTCGTCAGTGTGTCCCGGAACTGGAGGCAGATAGTGAAGGGGGAAGAGGGTAAGCGACTGTAATGGTCAGGAATCGAGGTCGAGATTGGGTTTCTAGGCCTGAGAGAACTCGTCGGGAGGTCGGAGGAAAGGATCACAGATTGCACGATTCCAAGCCATTGTGGTGGGGTGGGGATGTGGTGGGGATCGTGCTGTTCGGGTCATGAGAATTCAAGGTGGCCGGAGGGGCTGTGCTCCGTGCTTCGTTTCTGCGGCATTGTATTGTCAGGGTGCAGGTGCTCATGGGCACTGGGCAGTCACTGCGAATAGCTCTGTGCTTATACGTACACTTTGATAGAAAAAATTTTTTTCCCGAGGCTGGGATACGAAAGCGCGCACTTTCGTCATGAAATGGATGAGTCGCGTTAGGAGGTACTGGGGATCGTTTTCGATATCAGACGGATAACCCAGTCGCGGGAATCCTCTCAGATCATGGACAAAGAGTTTCCTTTGAGATTCAACACGTTGAGAAGGGAACCCTATCAAATCCGTATGTTTTCGACCGTTCCCCACAAGAGACTACCGCCTAATATGGCGGCACATCGACTCTCAGGATGAGCAACCGATTTTCGGGAAGAAAGTAGAGAGTAATTGCAAACGTATATTATCTTTGGAAGTCGGAGTCGTCCTGCTCAGCTTCCCCACCACTTCAGCGTCTCGTTTACTTAATGATTTAGGCCGAGGCCTCGTGAGTAAGATCTTTAAATTTTCCGACGGCTCGAAAGCAGGTTTCTCCACCACGAAAGACTGGTCGAGGACCGAGAAGGATTCACACCTCGGGTGCGAGTGAATTCGTCTGGCTCGAGAGGGAGTCTTTCTTTCAGTGGAGCGAAAATGACTCGAAGATCGAGATAGACAAGAAGATGAAGTTTTTCCCATTGCAATTGGTTCTGAATGCATTTCACAAGGATCTGAGAGGATTCCCGCGACTGGGTTATCCGTCTGATATCGAAAACGATCCCCAGTACCTCCTAACGCGACTCATCCATTTCATGACGAAAGTGCGCGCTTTCGTATCCCAGCCTCGGGANGGGGGGAAATTCCTGGGTGTGGTCCCCGGGCTTAGTCGCTTCGTCCGAGGAAGTGCCTCTCCTCCTTCCAAATTCTACCAGTCCCGTGCGAAGCTCTATTGAAGCTATTCAAGGAATATTCAATAGAATTCAAGCTATTCAACATTCATTCCATGTTACTGTAGATGAGCAGCGAGAAACAATCGTCTGCTACCAGAAGAATTAAAAAAAAAAAAAAACCAAAATGGTGTTTGTCCAGAAGAGTTAGAAATCTAATGAGACAGCTGATGAAAAACGAAAACGGGAAAACCTAGTCCCGGGAATTTCTTCTGTCGAAACAGGAGCCTCGGTTTTGTCTTGACGGAAGAAAGTCGAGAGACCTCATATTTGTTTTACATTTATGATCAATCATGCCGACCCACCCACTCGCATTATTTATGACCCACTTTTGTCTCCTTGGACATTCCTGGAATCTCTTTGACGATGATAAATCTCAGGTACGCCTTTAGAATAAGATAAAGCGACAGGAAATTTCTCCATCTTCTCTTCTTCCCCGTTGGATTCAAATGCCTTGCAGCCGTCGGTACCAAAACATCCGATTTCGGCGTGTGAGCAAAAATACTCCAGCTGCACGACATATTATGTAACTATGACGGAAGCCCGGGAAAAAATGTTCATCGCATGGAGGACGTCCATTCTCAATGTCTAACTTCGTTTTAATAATTGCTGATAGAATTGCTTCGGCACGACAAATTTGGGTGAGATTTGAGGTATCGATCGGAAACATACTCATATTTACAATGTGAACGTTTCGCGAAAAAAAAACTCGATTGGGAGGGAAGATATTTTGGTCGAAAGTCGTTGGTCTTTTTTTTTTGCTATACCCTGTAGATATATCAGTTTTCCACTTACGAGGGGTAAAACACCCACTGATGGGCCACGTCACAAGAAAATTCCAAAAACTAGGCATTTGTTCCATGAACACCTCTGAAGTGTGTATGTGCTTGAATGCTGCTAGCCTGTGTCACAACAGGGTGCTATGGAAGCTTAGCCGTCTGAATTTTCATGCGCTGTGGCCCACCACTGGGGACCGGTCCATCACCGGGTCTTTTGCCCCTACATCCCTCCGCACTCCTCGATGAAAGGGAATGAGGCATACGTTTCAAAAGTGACTTCCTTGCGGTGGCGCCACCATCGCGTCACGCGCGCTGCAGCCGCAATAGGGATGATGGCATCGAGGATTCGATCTGGGCTTCATCTGCGGTCGGGAGGGTCTCGTATCGCATTCCTCAACGCTTCACGTAGCAGTTCTCGAGGTCTGAAGCGAATCGTCCGGTGTACGGTGTCATTCGGGTTTCTTGTTTTGGTGGCTGAGTCTACGAGGCCCGGCATACGATGGTGGCGCCATCGCAAGACCTCGTTCTTTTACATGCATCGGTTTGAAGCGAAATCGACTCGAGAGTCGAATTAAAAGTCGTTCTTCACTTCGTATGCGCCTGACAACGGCCTGAACGACGCGTTTGAAATGCTGCACGTTCCATCAATTCCCCTTCCAGCCCTTCGATCGTGAAACGACGCTGAGGAAAAAAAAGCGAAGTCGACTTCCTTCCTCTGGTAGGAACGTCGGCGAGAAGTTCCAAGGAATAAATTCTTCCTTGCAGTAATTGCGGAACCGCCATGGCTCTGGTGTCGCTGAGCACGGAAGTGTATCCCCGCATTTTAGCACTCTCTGTACTGCCTAACCCTGTCGATACGAACTCGGATGCCACGATATTCTCCCTCGAGCGATTCTCTTCAGCTTCCGAAGCCGAATGCAATGGCTTCCTCATCACATGGCAGTTATTTCACGGATTCATGCCTTTTCGTTTTTGCTATATGAGCGGATCGGAGGATGAAAAAAGGTGAAATTAGAGGAAGCTATTAATACTTTTTTGCTTGCTACTTTTTTCTTCAGACTTGAATGAAATCTCATCCGAGAAAAAAAAATTCCCACCTAAAAATGTATGGGTGCCGCAGTCTTTTGATTCTAGATGACCTTCATGATCTTCATGACCATCTCGATGGCCATCGGGAACACTCTTCGCGTCACAACTCGAAAGCTGAATCGGCAAGGGCCATCAGAAAGGGCATGAGTCATCAGCAAGGGCACAGAGCATTTTCCAAAACATCGAATGAGGAATAGTCTCCTTCCTAGACTAAAATGTCTCATTTTTCACGGTATAATTTCCTTTTATCACGCATGTTTGATATGAAAATAGAATTCGAAGCAGGCAAGCCTTTGAGAATTTTTGCGAACGTCGTAGAAGTTGACCCTGACCCAATAATTTCCCCCTGGCACGGAATTCCCTGATGCGTTCAGGTTCAGGAGCAAGTCTTTCAGGTGATAGTTGCCCTGAAAAATAAAACGATTCGGAGTCGATTGGATGTTTTTTTCACGGGGATTCGACCGCAGTCCATTCGGGGGGGTGGAAATCTTGCCTGAGTGATGGGGCATCGACAAGGGACGTTTGGTTCCTTGAATGCCGATGGACAAGAGTCATTTGGTCCGTATGGAATCAAGGTGCAGATGTCGTCATAATTGCAGGATCCGACTCTGTTTTCGCACGGGACATTTATCCAGAAAAAGGCGAACTTATATTGCATTTGCACTGCTGCCTGCGATGAGAAATATGTGGGGGAAAAGCAGTAAGATCGAAGTGATAAAAATGTGATATTGGCGAGGGGTGAAGATAAGAGACGGCGAAGATTTTACCTGGATGGGAGAGGAGAGAGAAACACCAACTTTGGCGCTGAGACTCAAAGTCAGATTCCCAGGAATGACGAAAAGAGACGGAAGAATCGAAAGACTACTGAGTTGCAATGGGTCCTTCTCGCTCCCGCATTGCCTCCACGAGAAGCCATCATCCTGCGAGCACGCGCAATAAAAACGGTGCACTTCGCGGAAACGCTGCCGCCCTGAACAGAGCGGTGTCGTTCCGTCTGTTCTCTTCCAGGAACCTGACGAGGTCCAACCCCCCTCGCCCCAGGCCTTGAAGGGCCAGCTCGGGGAGCCCAACCTTCTCGCCCGCCTCCCGCTGGAAGTAGCCGTAATGCCAGAGGACGGCCTGAATGTTCAACGCCCCTACGAGGAGGATCCAGATGAACAGGATCACGCTCTCTCTCGACGGCTCCACGCTTCTGCACCCTGGTCGTTCTGCCACGTCGATCGCTCCCTCCCGTTCGCACACGCGATTGTAGGTCTCATTGCCCTTGCAATTAAAAACACGCGACTTCATCTTCCAACGTGTCATCGAACTTTCAACGCTGCTCGGGATGGACTCGCATGTCAAAACGGAGGTGGAAGCCTTCGTATCGTAGTTAAAGTAAACATTGGCAGTAAAACGTGTCGAGATAAACTCTCCTGCTGTGACAAAGATAAAGCTAATCGACAGTACGGAGTGATCCAGGCGAAGGTTTCCATAAAAGCAACGGGGAAAACGATCAGGTTATGCTAATTCGCAGGAGTGTTAATCAAGTACGTCCTTGCAGAAACACTTTCCTAAGGAATCTGCAGGTTCAGCTTTTTCGACAAAAACCCGAGGTCTACTCGAGCATGCCTTCAAAAAAGCCCTTCTCATTCAGCTTATCTCATTACCTGGATAATAATAAAAAATTCCTGGGAGTAGTGGAACCATTTCCTGTTGCGAAAATCGCTCCCGACACCAACCCAAGTTTGTTTCGTTTCCCTGGAAAGGCGCCGGGATGAAACCCGGTCGATGGTCGAACCGCAACGGCTGGACTTGTGTGTCGTTCCTTGTTGCCGTCACCTGCGAAAATAAGTCTTGTAATGAAAAATGTCTGGAAGCAGATCTTAGTCGAAATTAACTGGCCTGCTTCACGTCCCTGGCAACTCTTCGTGGTAAGTTGGGGCAAGAAAACGGCGAGAAAGCAGGGAAACGTGTAGGCCGTGGAATAATTAGACACGGGAAGCCTGACTGAAATTAATCCCAAACAGCGTATTTTATTTTACTTCTGGAATTATGCAATAAAATACGTTGTTTGGAGTTTTAGTGCAACCACTAAGTTTCGAAAATAACGCCGCCACCACCACCATGTCGTCTTTAAACTCGTCGATCTTTCGGGGTCTCTCAACCCTTTCCTTCGAGCAGCCCCACAGAAAGAAAATGCGATTGCCTTTGGGCGAACATCACCGAATGTCCCTTTGGGAAAATGTCCACGATGCATGCAAGCCGTTCATCAGTTCAACGATCCGTGTTGCAAAGGGGATAATCTCCAAGGGATGCACTGGGGATAATCTCCACGAACTTCTTCATTCTGTGGGACAAAAAAAAAAAAACTGCTAAATATTAAATCGAAAAAATTGTAACACTCGAAAATGTGCCCCATTTTTTTGCCACACCCTGTACGAATTTTTCCAGTACTTCGAAATGTGACAACGAGAAGACAGCTGATGGGAGACGATTATACGGACGGACCACACGTAGAACGCTCATCCTACTAATTTTGCTGACTTGCTAGTGTCCCACCCGTTCGCCAGATGTCAGCCCGATCGCTTGGCGGGCTGGGATCTCGCCCTATTCCCTATATTCTCGTTCCTCGTCCGCCTGTTCGTCTCTTGACTTCTTTATTGTTCTGCATGCCAATTGTCTTTTTTTCATGAGTCTAGCTAAGTAATGGGACTTGACGTAAGCTGCTGTGAAACCTTTCCTTCGTCTCCAAATGATGGATAATGATGGAAGATTACCGATCTCGGCTGTCGTTGGAGGAAATATGGGAACCTCGAAAGGCCATCATGAAAAAAAAAATTAAATCCCCCTTGGGGATTCTTCTCTCGAGACCTTATCTACGAGATCTTGATTGCAGTTCACAGCGCTTTTCACTCTGAAGCTTCCCACACCCCAGGCCTTTCCAAAGCAAAAGGTCGGAAGCATTTGAATTCCACGTTGGATTCGACCCGGGAATTCCCTTGGAATCCGGTTTGCTTCTGTCGGGAATTACGAAGTAATTCCGAGCTTCATGCGTGATGTAATTGAGGGATCGTTTGACTCGGGAAATCACAACTTGGGCTCTGGAGGACACGGTTCCTGGCGAAAATAATTCCCCCCTAAAGGAGAATATCACAATTACGAGATGAAGTAAATTACTGTAAATGATTGAGAAAGAGCAGGCTCGGAGAGATGCTGTAAAACCCAGTCATTTTCAACTCAGATACAAGGAAATTCTCGGTAAAGCGAAACGTTTTTGACGTAGCCAGGGTTTCGCCAAAGGAGAGGCTAAGGGAAACAGGAGAGAGGGGGTAGGGGGGGGGGGGGCAGGGGGCAGGGGGGGTCTGGGTTTTCCGTGGCTTCATTTATCACGCTCTGGAGACGAAAGTTGTCGCCCTCTACGGATTTCCAAAGATCCGCCCGCGCTTTAAGCCCTGGATGGCCTATGATTACTTTTTCTTGGTGGGCGGAAATTCCAAGAAAAGAGAGCCGAAACGAGGTTAATTGGGTACACTTTAGGACAGTCGCTTTCGGGGGTCTATCTATAGAACACTTTCACTTGACAGGGGGCAGCATTCGGTTCAAAGGTTCGTCGGGGGGATTCACTGTTATTTTAGTACTAAAATTAGGGGGTATTCCGCTCTCGTCGGAAGGATTTGACGTAATCGTAGGGTCAGAGGGATTCCGTTTTCCCCGGGTAAAAGTACTGCGTGGAGGCCGTGCGGTTCATTGGCGTAGCCGCATCGACAGTCGTTTCAAGTTTCAGGTGAAATGAGGGAGAATGGTTGAGGTCGGAGTGGGGTGAGGGAAGTCTTCTGCGTTTGTGACCTGAAGGATCGGTCGGGAGAATTATCAGCTCAACTCATCGAGGCCGAGGAGAAAAAAGCAGTCAGGATGAAGACTTGACGAAGATGAAGGATGAGGGGATGAAGGGAGGACTTACCTGCGAGGCTATTTTTAGTGGGAGGGGGGAGGGAAGAGGGGGGAGGGGAGAGGGGGGCAGGGGGGAGGGGGGAAGAAATGGTCGCAGTAGTAGAGAGTCCAGTCAGATGGCGCTAGTATCCACTGGGGTTCTGGTCCGTTTGCCCCGGAACTGGCGGCAGGTATGAGCGACTCCAACGGTCAGGAATCGAGATCGAGATTGAGTTTCTCGAGCTGGAAGGGCTCATTTTAGAAGGGGATTCGGGGGGGTGAGGCCACGAGGGTTGGGTCGAGAGCAGTCGGGCCGCGAAGAGAGGGCGAGGAAAAACGAAACTCGTGCTTCTCGTGCGACGTCACACGTCTCCAGAAAGAGGGTTTTCGGGGTGCAGGAGTCTCGTTTTTTTCGTCCCGAGAATCGGGCACATAAAGGACGAGATAGGATGCTTTTTGTGTCGATCGAGGAGGCATCAGTCCAGCATGTTGGCACACGTCCGTGCCTCGGAGCGCGCCATCCGCAAGGTCGAAAGAAAAGATGCGGGCCGGCTCGATTCCAAACCGATCGGACGGGGCGGGGATCGCGCTGGCCGGGTCACGAGGACACATGGTGGACCCAAGGAGGTCCAGTGAGGTCCAATGAGGTCCAAGGAGGTCCAGTTGGGGTGGAAATCGGGAAAGAGATCCGCTCTTCTTCGGCAACGCATCCGGGGACGAGTAGGCCTACGCACAGCACTTAGATGGAAAAAGGCAGTCATCGAAGGTCCAAGTGCTGCGACACGGTAGCGCGCAATCTGCGTCGCGAAATTGCCGAATCTCAGGAGGAGACCCTCGGGATCGGTTGCGATGTCAGACGGATGAACGAGTCTCGCGCCTGCTCTCAGATCACAAACGAATCGTTTCCTCGGGAATCCAACACGTCGAGAAGGTGATCCAGCCGAAAACCGCGTGTTTTTCGAGACCCTTCCTCACGCTACCGCCCTATTCGGCGGCTCGTCCGATCCAAGGTGACGACCGATTTTCGGAGCCGAAAGTAATCGCAAATGTGTCATCCTCGGAAGTCGGAGTCGAGAGTGACTTCCCCCAGGGCTCAGTTTCCCCACCACTTCAGCCTCTTATTTACCTTAATGATTTAGGTCGAGGCCTCGTGGGTAAAATCGTTAAATTTCCCGACGACTCGAGAGTACGCTTTTCCGTTCGTTGAATGGAGCGAGAAATGGCTCCATGAGCCATTCTTCGCAGATAAGAGTAAGTATTAAGTTTTTTTCACGTTGGCACGAGACTCTGATCGCGTTAGGCGAGGATCGGCTTTGATGACCCTCGAGACCATCGCTGGATGGTCTTGGGGGTCATCGATGAGGGATTCGAGTTCCCCGAGTCGGCGCAGGCGACGGAACCCATTCTCGCGCAACAGGAATTCATACGTCATCAGACATCTCAATGCACACGAAAGCTCGGGCGCAAAGTATCGTGTTCATGGAGGAAAAAGAAAATAATTTTAATAATGGCGCTGGAGAAGGTTCAGAGGCGGGCCACTAAAACGAAGTACGAATCGTCCACGAACGGCTTTTAGACGCGTCGGGACCGCGTTGTCCGAAGCGAGGGTCCATGAGGGGGATCGCAAACACTTTTAACAACGTTATGGGGTTTGATGACCTGAAACATTAGAGGCTTTACCAACTCAATCGCAATACGGATTATAATTATCAATAATAATATATTATGGATTATTTTATTAAGGATTAATATCGCTAGATAATCCCTTATAAGCTGTACCGACGCATCGGCAACCACCGGTATCGGCCGCCGATATGGTGCCATCGGCACGTTTGCAAGCTGCCGGTGTCGATGTCCAAAGAAGAAAGTGCAGAACGAAGAAAAATAAAAATAAAACGTGAACAGGACTTGGCGACTGATTCACAACGGCAATAGGAGAAAACGCAGGTACATCGATACATTGTCGATACTTCAGGGCGACACCTCGATATTTTCGAAGCACTCAGCGTGAGAGCCCTAACAAAAAAAAAATTGAATAAATGTTTGATTTGAAAGGTTCTTCGTTTTTTCTCAATATGCAGGAAACGGAACGAAAACCTGAACGAAATGAAATTGATTAGTATCGAAAACGGAATAATGTTGTTCTGTTCCGTTCCAAGTGCCATGGCCATTTTTCCCTTGGCAATCGAGATCTTTGAAGAAAAAAAAAAGAAAATAATTCGGTATGAAAAAATTTTTTTTGTTTATGCTAATTTTCCCTTTTGAACAGTGGAACAGAACGGAACGGAAATATTTCCTGGAACAGAACGGAATGAAGAAAAATAATCATAGAACGGAATAGAAACCGGAACACATCAGCATCAGGTGGAACGGAACGGAACGCGGAACGAAGAAAAAAAATTCCGTTCCGAAGTCCTGTCTACACGTCACAATAGACACCGGCACAGGCCGATATGTATGAGATCATAATCGGCCATCGGTACAGCTATTTATAAGGATGAGGACTCGGAGGAATCAGTTCGAGCTTCGTGAGCCTCAAGAAGACCGAAGTTACGGAGTGACTCGTGTACAAGTTGTTTGTGATGGCGAATGTGTTAGGGGAAGTTGTAGTGGCTGTCGACCGCGGACGCCACGGACAGAACGAAGAAGGAATCGATGCGCTTGCATACGACAAGACAAGTGATCCGCATCCTCCCACCAAAAAATTTTTCTTCGGGGCGGTAGATCCATCTCAGATCGTTAAGACGAGAAGGAACTCTCGACCGATCCGAGCGGGCAACGTCGTCCCAGCCCAAACCTTGACCTTCCGACTCGACGCGGCCTTCGCGGCTCGCTCCCGGGGATGCTCAGCCCACCACCGCCATCCTCTAACGTCTCGCGTGAGAGAAGGGAGTGTCAACGCTTGAGGGTTTCCACTCCCAACTCGCTGGCGCTTCCAATCGGAAGCGAGCGCCCGACTCGATCGAGCTCGAACTCAGGCTCCCCTGCCGTGGGAGGCAGGAGAGCCTCCTCCGCCTTCGTTTTGAGTCGAGGCGGGTGTCGAGAAACCTATTTTTAATTGTCGACGACCGCTCGGGTGAAACTGTTCGATAGCATGCCTCTATAGACATTTTCTAGAGGCATTATTCAGATTTTCTATTTAAAATGGAATCCATTTAGTTACACATAATTCTTAAGGATCCTCTGTTCAGACTATTCACTACGAAATAATTTTCTATGGGATTTTATCGAGAGTTCTTTCTTCTAAATAATGTCCTTTAGAATTATGTATGAACCTTTGTATTTTATAGAGAACTTGTCGGAATTCTGAAGAATGCATCGATAGAATTCCTATAGAGCAGGGGTCGGAAACCTTTTTGGCAGAATGAGCCATATTAAGGTTGAGCTAAGTGCTTGTGAGCAAAAGATTTTCAGAACAGCATAATTTTTCCTGAAGTTGACAAACAGAGGTGTGCATTCTTTGATACATGAGGAACAACCATTATTTTCAACCATGACTCAATGAGCCAAACTTTTCGGCTCGTGAGCCAAATTTGGCTCATGATCCATAGGTTCCCGACCTCTGCGATAGAGGTATTCAATAGGACACGTTCATTTGGGCGCGAGACACTCGGAGTCTTTTCTCTAAACGGATCGAGTCTCTCTTGGTTGACCGTGGCCGAAATCTTGCTTTTCAAACTTGGACTTCAAAATGTGCCTGGTGTTTGATGTGCCTCTGGGGTGGTTTTAGCCTCGATTTCAGGCTCTATTTCGTTTAACTTTAACTTCTACATTAATGACGAGTCCTCTCTCCAGTCTTTCAAATCTGCCGGTCTGAATATTTCTAAAACTCAATTGTTACCTATTTTAGAAGTACCTGGAATTGATCTATTGTGTTCACTTTGAGAACACAATAGAGCAATTCCATTCACAGTGCTTTTTTGTTCTCACTTGGTAACGAGTCCTCACCATGACTTCTGCGTCCCAGTCTGAATGCATTTCTTTTTTTAAACAAATAACCCACATTGGATAAAGGTGGGAAACGTTTGCGGAACGTGAATGTTGGGGAACGATGTTGACTCCATATGGGCCCAACGTGGGCATATCCACACGTTGAGAACGGCAGAGCTCCTGGTGGAGAACTTCGAAACCTTGAAGTTCTTCGCCAGGGCACTAAATGGAGGTCTCGCCTAGTCTCATAGGAATCAATAAATGCGGACATTTCTTCATTTCCTATCCACTTATTCAAGACAGATTCATGGAGCTCAGGCCATGAACAAACTCATAGTCCCGATGAGAACCCTTTTGAAAACCAAGAGGATTGCATCCGAAAAGGAGATCCGAAATATAGAGGAAACGTCCGTGAACTCAATCCTGCTATTTCCTCGCATCCACCGCAGGAGGAGGAAATAAAGGACTGATATCGCGGACATTTCATGGTACCGTACGAGGTAGTCCATTCTCTGACATGTACTGTAATCAGTACAGTCGGGGGAAGTTCCACGTCTGTATTGTCCTATATCTCCTGCCTGACTAGGGTATATATACATGTCCTTGGTAGGTTGTAGTACATGTTACAGGTACCGGACTACAGATGGGAATACCTCCACTGGAAAAGGAATCTAGGTATGTGGTACGAAATGATGATGATACAGAGCAAAAACCAGCTACTTGGGTAAGTGAGTTATACGTTGCTATCCAACTTACTGCCAACGTTGGCCCCACGTTGGCCAAACGGTCACTTTCACGTGGGGCCTACGTGAACAACATACGTTAGGTCAACGTATCCTGACGTTGGAGGACCACGTTGGGCCAACGTGGTCCCTAACCAACGTGGTCCCACGAAAAATGTTACCTGGGATCGTCGACATTCTGTTTCCCGTTGGTTGTTGTATCGTTTGTTCTCTTGTCAATGATTTTATCTGTTTTAACTGACATTTTCATCTCATTCAAATGTGAAATGGAATTTACGGCGCTTGCTCTATTCCTCTACGCTTCCTTTTTTAGGACTACAGACGACAAAGAAGGCGATGAAGACATGGCTCGGTCTAAGGAATCGAATAAGCTAAATGCCAAGATGGCAACATGCATTAGGAGGACGAAGGGGCACGTCGCAGTTTTTCTTTATCTCTCTACCTATTGCTATCATAGAGCTCGAGAGCTTCGGACTGGACAGAGTTCTTCACAACTCTTTTTTGACCTACTTGCGATAACGTTAAACATAGCGATTGCCTTTACTCAAGACAGGCCTGGGTTTGGCTTGATACTTATTGTGTTGTAGGCCTGGCCAGGTTGCATTAATATATATGGTCATTCAATTCTGGCGGCTGCCTATGAGAATCTCGGGTTGGATTTCATGACCAGTTAGATGGTTTGCGGTAGGCTTGGACTTCAGTGGTGCCAGCTGAGTGCTTTGAGGTGGCATATGTTTGAAGTTGAATTCACTTTATTGAATATGATTTGTTTTTGAATTACTCTTGTGACTTTACAAAGGCAGCACGTATTAGAATGGAAAATTTTCCATTAAGATATCATGCTGCAATCAGTATTTCTTGTCTCTTTGTTGGGCTGTCAGTGGGGACTAAGATGCCTTCTGATACTAGTCATATATTGTTACATGTGTTTTTGCTGCTATCAAGTGGGGCCATCCCCCCTCATAACATGCGCTCCTTATGCCAATCCAACTGGGAACAAAATGAATCCCAGCATACTTCATGTTCAACTAGCACATTGTGCTTCATCCTTCACAATTGAGTATGAGAAGGCAAGGGGACTGATGCATATGAAGGGTCCTCCCCTAGAAGTCACCACCCTGGGGCATGAAAAAGCAGCTCCACAAATGTTCATGTGTATGGAGAAATAGTTGTGTTATGTATTGGTACACATGGGTATCTAAGGTGATTCAAAGTATGATAGGACTGGAGTATCATTGTCAAATAGGGAAAATTGAGTGATTATTCAAGGCAGTGGAGACTATACTGCTGGTGATGTTAGTAGGACTGATGAATAACTATATAAATGTAAACAGGATTCAACAATTAGCCAATTGTTTATGGACATACATGATATTTGTCTGAAGTCTTTAATGAAATATTATTTACATTTACATGCAAAAACCCTATTTCTGCTTGGACTGAGTAAATATAGCAAGACTGGCTATGATCATTTTTGTATCACCTGCAGGATAGTTGTACCTCAGTCTAAATTAATTTCATGTCAATAATATAATTTGAGAGGATTCGAAGCTGCTTTTAAGGAATTAAATGGAACCAGTTGACTGTTTAAAAACAAAAGGGCCTAGAATGTCTGCAACTTATATGCAATTACTAGTTATCAGTAAGTTTTGAGGCAGGTACACATCTTTGCTGTGGCACTTTTATATAAGATGATCAGTTTAGTTATACTAACACCTTCTGTATCTGTACCTTCTGTACACTATTGCAACTAGGCAAATGATGCATAGGTAGGAAATTTTGGCTCTTCCTCAATAATTTGTCTGTTGTCTGTTTTTGGACTGTAGAGGTGCTCATCCACAGGCCATTGACAGAGTTGCAATGATTCTCTAACTTCTCTTTCAGTGTACCAGAATGACCTTCCCATCATAGAATTTCTTGTAAATCCCATACTTGAATCAACTATTTAGCTGCTGATTGCAGCCCTGAACTGATAATGCTTCCATTTGGCAGAAGTATATGCCATAAATCACTTCTCTGCAGAGCATTAAATGATTGTGCATTCAGAATTACCCAGAATTTTGGATGTACTTTGAGGTTTAATTTATGAAAGTTAGATACAATAACAGTTAAAAACAAAATGCTTCATTTACCAGATTGTTTAATAAATGATCAATTCCTGTGACTTTTTTTCTGGACATGGTTAACATGGAACATTTTAGTTTGTCCTTAAGGCAAAAATCTATGCATTTTGGCTGTGTAATACAAAATTCAATGGAAGTCTAGAAATAGGTAAGATGGGAGTTTGGACTTGGGGCTATAGGAAGGTCAGTTAATATCAATTGGCATATAGATGAAATTATGCCAAATCTGATAGGATTTTGTGTAATTTCATATTCTTTTGAGCAATTGACCTTCCAACTGCCACAGAATCAAGCTTCTGTCTTGTTTGTCTCTCAACATTCACACCATTTTGTATATAACACAGCCAAACTACCTAGAATTTCTGTCAAGTGTTAACAGAAATGTACCATGTTGACTATCAAAAACAAAAAAGAACAATCAGAATTTCTTATTTATTAAACTTTCCTATAATTGAAGCATTTTAAAGTTGCTGCCACTTCTGCTTTCTAATAAATTAAAATTCATGCCAGTGGTTTTGAATCACTTTGAATGCATGGATCCTGCCCTAGCCTGTATCCTGCCCTGTTTATGCTCATCCCCACCCAAATGTGGGCTTGTCCTACTTGATGTTTTCCTGGACATTCCTGAGCTTAGCCTATATAAGGTCATCTGCATCATGGATATTACTTTTTTTATTATCTCAACTATTTATCACCTTTTCAGTTGCCTAGGAATGGATGAAGTTGCCAACACCCATGCATGGGAAGAGTCATAGATGGGTATTAGAATAATCTGAGAAATGTTTGACTCCATTAAGAAACTCTGTAAGTTGAGCATAACTTACAATTATGGAGTTTTGTGTTGTTTCAAATGATGTCATAAACTGACAGTGATGCCTTAGTTTAGTATCAGTAGTTCCAGGAATCATTTTCACTTCTCTGGATTCTTGAATAGCCCCAAATTAACCTTTAATCTAATAATGTTTTTGAATCCTAGATCTCCTCTCAAATGGGTCCAAATTTGCCCATGAATATCCTAAAGTAAGAGAATGTGAATCTTTTACTCTAGTTGTGAATATATATCACTGTTGTTGCCTATATATGGAGTTGTATATACTTCTAGGACATTATTGATTCCTCTGCTGTCTGCTGATGGACATATTTCTGAAAACTATGAATTTCTCAAAATGAGATGCAATCCTGCTATATTCATGTGATATGAAATGAGGTTGTGACCATTGTCTTGGTTCTTGCATCACCAAACAATGGAGAGCATTCAAGGTCAGTCTCAGCATCTGTTTATAGTTCTTTGCCTGATGTTTTCTTTTTGTAGTGCACTTACACTTGTTTTACCTTTTAGGCCTGTGTATACTGTTCCCTTGGATCGTATGGATTCCTTTCTATTGTAGGTATTTAGCCTTATGCACAATGTTCTATTGAGTACTAGAACCCTAAGTCTGCTAACTCCTGTGTTTCCTTAGATCCTCAGTTTTTCCTGCTTTGGACAGAGGAAATTTTTCTAGAGGTGATATCAGACAACAGAGTGCTAAGTATTAACATATAAAAAATATAATTGCTCAATATGAGTTTGAGGGAAATGCCAACAGATTGTAGTTATCTTTTATTGTCATTACTTGTATTTCATTGTTTTGTTAGACAAAGTTGCATCTTTTTAAAATAGGAAATGGTGGTGGTGGAGACTTGATGGAGCACTTGTACATGGGCTATTCTCAAGCTAATGGGCTGCCTCAAGAATCCAAACTTCTCTCATACATGACTGTGAGTTTTCTTCCTCATGGCTGACAATCTGACATGGCCTCAACAGTGCAATTTGAGTTTGCCTAAACTTTAAATTGCTGTTTTAGTTTTTTTTTTAAACTTATGCCATTAGGAATTGAAGTTTCACATTTAGTTTCATATAGCCCTAAGATTTAAGGATAACGTTTTTCTCTTAGGGTCGACCATCTGTGAATAGCCTATCAAAGAATGTGGCTACACCATCCTTGGATGGAGACATAAAGAAAGTGAGATTGGTTACGATTCTTCATGGTCCTGAATTGTTTCATTTTATGCATCAGTGCCGATGTTCTTGCTATGTTGTCTGTCAGAATGTCCAACCTGGGATGGGTGGATCTCTCCATCAGAGTGTTAGTCAACCTGCTTTCTCCATGACCTCTCCCTATGGCTTCAACCCTAGTTATGGGAGGTTAGAAACTCCAAGCCCTACATTGGGTGGCAAAACCTCCCCTCATCTCATACCTGCTGCTCCTCCTGGAACTTCAAATGCATCCAGAAGAAGGTCCCCAGCTCCTATTCCCACACCTAATAATCATGAACCTACTTCACAGTCTGGAGGACTTCCCACCTACCAGGTACTTGCTTCACTTCTTGACCTTTGGTGTGCTTGAAAGCTCCAACATCCTCACTTGCATTGGCTTGTCACCATGAGAGTCAACTGTGGTCACTAACATTTCTGTTTATGCCTTGTTTGCAGGAAAATGTTGGAGGTACCACTTACTATTACACTCGTGACGAAGCTGCAATGGGAGCACCTAGTCAAGGGGAAACTCCATCTTTAGTCCTGCCAGATTTCACTGTGTATCCTGGTCCACCAGCTCATGTTGCAAATATGAAACCAAAAGCTAGTGCACCCAGCTTCTTCCTTCCAGAAGAACTTCGCTTAGAACTTCTGCATCAGCAGAGCCTTCGACTAGCACATGCTGATGCTGAACAGTTCCCAGGTGATGGGCCTGTAACAAAATGTTTTACACTTCTGATATGACTCATCAAATATCTTATGCTGCTTAATGGTATCTTTAACAGATCTCCCAACTGAGGTGGATGATTACCACCAACTCTGTCCCTTGGAACCTTTACCCTCTACACCAGTGCAGAAATCCTGTTCATTTGGTTATGTGACATCTGTCTACAAGGCAACCAATATTAAGAGTGGGGGCCAATATTGTCTTCGTAGGATACATGGTGAGAGCCAGGCACTAGCATGTTTGCCAATGCATATTTCAAGCATATTGCATGTAGGATTGTTATTGTTATTAGGCATTGCATTGCATTACTATTTTGCATTGACAAGATGAGATGATGATAATAGGATTCTGATTGTTTTCAGGATTCCGTCTCACTAGTACAAAATGCATGATGGTCGTTGATATGTGGCGAAAACTTCAGCATTCCAATATAGTCCAGTTGCGAGAGCTCTTCACAACCAAGGTCTTTGGTGATAATTGTGAGTGGCCAAAAGCCAAAAATCTGTTTGCAACCTTTGATGCCTTTCTGAAAACCATGTGTTGTCTTTTCCAGCTCTTGTGTTTGTGTATGATTACCATCCAGGGGCAGAAACCCTAATGATGAAACATTTCAGTGCTCATCACCCTTTTGCCATGCCCAATGGTCTGCTTGCTCCTTCTTCAAGTGATCCATTCTCTGAACACCCACGTCCCTTCCCATCCCAGGGTAAACCTGGAGGCCCCCTGCGACAGCATGCAGGTGATATAGTTTTCATGGCATGATCATTATGGAAATTAAGTAATTTTTTAAGTCCACCAGTGAATTTTTTTTGTTGTTGCCATGTTTGTTTTTATATTTGAGCAGGTCTTCTGCCTGAGAGTCTCATCTGGACATACATTATACAGCTTACATCTGCCTTACGTTCGATTCATGCTGCCAATCTGGCTTGCCGAGCCCTTGAACCCTCAAAGATTCTCATCACTGGAAAGACCAGGCTGCGCCTCAACTGTTGTGGGATCATTGATGTTCTTGCCTTTGATGCATCTCAGACAAACCATCAAGCTCTAATTGCTCACCTCCAGGTTTATGAGACTGTCTTGTTTTCAGCATAGGAATTCACCCAAGAGACAATGTGCTCTTTCAGAAAGTCAGATTCTGAGATTCTTATGCTTAAATTCATACTCATTTCCAAATATATGCACTCACTTTATGACTTTCACTGCTCTTATCACTGATCAGTACTAGGGTTGCCCCAGGATGCAAATGCAGTTAGTATTTATTTATGAAACAATCTTCTTGGTTTCAGAGGTAATCAAGGGTAACTTCGAAGATTGCATAATGTTTTGCAATTTTGCTGCAGACATTGTTGTCATTTTCTTGCCAAAGTTGTTCATCTCTTCCTAAATGCTTTTGTTTCTGGCAGGACTTGGTAGTCCCATAACTTCATCTATATATTCTATGCTTGTATGGCAATGCCTGAGCTACAATCCTCATAGGACTTGTCGGTAGCCCAAAGTCTAGTAAGTTTTGCCACTCACAGATGGCAGATGGATAAAAATAAAGATAATCTTCAAGAGTGTGTTGTAAGAAACCCAGATCACCTGTTTATTTCTCATTAAATTAGGACTAAAAAGTTTAAAGGATAAATAGGAGCATGGAGGTCAGGGTAACAGTTGTCATAGATATTTCCAAGCCAGAGCACTTTCCAGCACTCCAACTTCTTTAGCTCCTATAAGAAAGAGTCTGACTTTTTGAAGTGTTCATCCAAGTGTAATGAGAGTTCTGACTTTTTAAAGTTACTTTGTCAGGGTCTTAATTTCTTTCATTTATGATGTTGAATAGCAAGAAGATTTGGTGGCACTTGGAAAGCTGGTCATGGCTCTTGCTTGCAACAATCTCTCAGCAATTCAACGCGAGAACCTTCATTCATCTATGGAAATAGTGGCCCGGAATTACTCATCTGATCTCCGGAACCTTATATTGTGAGGACTTGATTAATTTAAATCATTCATTGAAGTTGAATATTTATGTTTACTTTGAGTCAAATGACCCATGAAAATTGCTCTGCAGTTTCCTGCTGTATAGTCATCAACGGGTGAAGAGCATTAATGACATCATGCCCATGATTGGAGCTCGGTTCTACACTCAGCTTGATGCTGCTTTCATGCGCTGTGATGTCATAGAAAGTGAGACGGCTAAGGAAGTGGAAAATGGACGTCTGTTTCGCCTCCTTGTCAAGTTGAACACTGTGAATGAAAGACCAGAGTAAGTTTGGTCATGTTATTACTTTTCATAAGTTCCATTGGTACTATTGTGGGATGCTTAGAACTTCTTCTTTCTGCTAAGGTTGAACCTGGATCCAGCCTGGAGCGAAACAGGAGACAGATATCTTTTGAAGCTATTCAGAGACTACGTATTTCATCAGGTAACAGAAGATGGGAGACCCTGGCTGGACCTGGCTCACATTGTGCAGTGTCTCAACAAATTGGATGCAGGGGTGCCTGAGAAAGTGAGCTCGCATCTTTACCTCCAGAGGGAATCAGAGATATTTACTCACCTCACCTACATGAAAACACTCTATCCTATTCCAGATCTGCTTGATGTCACGGGATGAGCAGAATGTGCTTGTCGTTTCATATGCAGAGTTGAAGCACTGCTTGGCCCAGTCCTTTGTGGAAGTTGTGCAGGCTGCCAATCGGAAATCTGCTGATCCGGCAGAATCCTAGCATATTTCTAGCACCCTTTTTTTTCTCCTCTTCCTCATCCTTCCTCTGTTCAGTCCTCTCCAAGTGTTGCATCATGACACTTCCTCCTTCACCTACCTTGGGAAAAAATATTTTCTTTTCTTCCTCCCAGGCACTGATGGCGCAAGCAGTAAAAATTTCTCTGCCAGAACTACCTACCATCTCTGAGAGGAATATGCACAAGGTTGAGAATATTTAACAGAGCCTTAGGCAGTCATGCTGAATGATTTGCAGGATGGTCTGCTCAGAAATGCTGAGTTACAGTAAAAACGCTGGTGTTCGTGTGATGCTGAGCATTCTGGCTACCCATGTTCATTCATGTTGAGAGAGCTTTTTTTCCTATTTTGAGGGCAATATTTATTTTTAATTCAGTTTTTCATGTTCAATTTTTTGTGGGTCCATAATTAGGATAATTTTTATTTTGAATCTCTTGTGAGATTAGCTATTTTCAAGATTAATTTTTGAAGAATGTTCAATTGCCTTGTTGAGCACAAGTTTTGCTTCTTAATTGATACTCCTGAAAATCTGGACACAGTCACAAATACAGCAATTGAGACCAAAGTAGGGCATTTTGTTTTAAAACTATACAATGGTTTCACTTCAACTTTGAGTAGCCTGTGTTTGTAGGGGAATGTTTTTCTAATGGGGGAATGCAGGTACAGCATTCTTACCTTGGAAAAGGATTGCCCTTCATCAGTATAAATACAAATTCATGGTAAAATTATAGGTTTCATCAAAATTCCAGTGAAGGCTTATTATCAAATTTTTTGAAGCCATATTGATGAATTACATATTCTTTATGGTATCAGTCTATTGTGTCTAATGAAATTGCACATTATTCTGAAGACACCATCTGCAGAAAGATGGTTTCATATGCAATAATGGTAGTACTTGTTGGCTGTGTTCGAGCTTCTATGGAGTCAGTAAAGCCACACCATATTCATGAAGTAGAACAACATATGTAGGAAAGGATTTCTCATGTGAGACAGCTCTTACCTCATGATTGGTTCTTTTGAAAATTGGCCAAAAAGAAGGATGGTGCCATCAAAATGAATTAACATTTTTCTATAAATTCGTCACCATTGATTGCATTCACGTGATGTTCCTGTGTGGCATAAGTATTTTATGAGCTCTTCTCTCTGGTCAATGATGCAAAGACTGTAATGATCCCAGCTTTTTATTGAACTTGAACAAGTGAAATCCGTGATAAATCTATGATATTATGAAAGGGAATTCACTGCATCATGATCTTGTGGTATGCTTGGAATTGAACATAACTTGCAAGAGAGTTGGCATTTGGTGCAGTGAAGTTTGCCCCTTGTCATGGCAAAAAAGAGTTTTGACATAGTGATTCATGCACATTTTCACCTGGTGAACAATATGCCCTGAGTCTGAGGAATGGTCTCAACTTTCCCACACTAGGATCACAAGTTAGGGTCCGGTGAACACGAGTACAAACCAGAGCTCAGTGTTAACATTCATACCTCTTCCTTGTTGTGTGATGCATGCAGAATTGCATTACCACTGAAGGTCTGGGAAAGGTCCTTTTTCAGTCCTTCACTCATTTGGACCCTAGCTTATGGCTCTCTTGGTAGTCCTTAGCCATGGGAAACTGAATCTTCCATGCTTAAAATCATTTGAAGCTATGGTCCATTGGAATCAGAAATGTCTATGTAAAGGATTCTAATTTAGTTGGCAGAAGATGTAGTATTTACATTTGTCTGTTATTGGTACTGTAATTCATCACAATGCAGAGACTGATAAACTTTCATTGAAGTCAGCTGTGAACTTCAGTACATCCTGCAGTTTTCTCAAAGTGCTCTATCTCTACTTTTCTAAATTTACTCTCTTCCTCTCTCATCCTCATTCTTTGATTCATGAGATCCCCAAGGTGGGAGACCTATCATTAGGTCAGTTGTGTGACCTTTCTTTTTTTTGTCCATTTTTTTGAATGTTTATTTTTGAATGGAAATGTGAGTAAAAATACGAATAAAAATGAAATAAAATGACATGATTGCTTGGTCTTTCTTTGGGAAGCATCATTTGTGTTGTCATCCTTTGTCCTTTGAGGTTTTGCCCCCCCATATCACATCCTGTGGTTTTGGGCTTTGCTCACATGGGGATAAGTTTGCTTTTATAACACAAAAATCAAAAGTTATTGTTAAAGTTTCTTATGTAGGTGTAACAATGGTTTTTACTCATAGGTAATTGGAACTATTTATATTTTACTTTTCCACATGATTGTTATTAAAGATGACTATGCATCACAGGAAAAGGTGGAATTGGTTTTGTTACATGTTGCTGGTAGAAGCCAGAGAGAGGCTTGTGAAGAATTTCTCCTTGTACATTTAATGAAATAAACTAAGAATATTTCAAATTACTTATGAGTATGGACTTTTGTTACATCCTGTATATTCTAAAGATGATTGATTCTGAATTCCATTGCCTATGCTGATGCACACTGATATACAATATCAGATTCCAGAATCTTCCAAAGGTTGATGGTGTGGCTTTCCATCTAATTCAAATGAGTTAAGTGTGAGATGCAGTAGAGCCTAAATCAAGCAGGTGGCCGCCATGCAAAACACTCATGTATTACATTGCTATGCACCATGTAATTACTTTAAAAGTTGTCAAGGCAATAACTGCCTGTCAACAAGCCGTTATTGCATTTTCTGGCATAGTCAGCTTATTTTCCTTCATTGTATGATGCATTATGTGGAGCAAACTTTAAAATTAACATCATGAATGTACTTGCCCCAAAATAAGTGAATATATGATTAGCTTGGGATTTTATTCATTATTATTGGTGCATCATGTAATGTCATCTGTTTATAAAAAAGGCTAGTTATAGAAGCTTGGATAATTGTTAAAGTAATGCAGCAGAGTTTCACTTCTTGTCAGGAATTTACTGCATTTTCATTCCATTAATGTGCTCTCCTTCACTCCTACTATATTTTCTTGTGCAATCTTCATGTGAAATATGGATAAAATCTTGCCAACTCAATGATCTCTTTATGTTCTTCTTGTCTTGCCTGTCTTCAAACACAGGTATTCTTGGCACATTCAACTTGAGGAGAGCTGAGTTACTTGACAGACTTCATAACAGTGAGACTTGCTTGGCAGTACATCATGCCTATGGTGTGTTTTTTACCTTTGGGTTCAGCATTTTTATGGTGTGAAAGTAAGGGTTAAAGTATCCCCTTCCCCATAGGATTCAGAGAGGATTCAGCATGCAGCCAAAACTGCAGAGGAGTTCATTCGCCTCTATTATGAGTGTATTGATCGGAAACGTCATGTATGTGAAACTGCATTCTTGTCACAGATGTCTTTTTCCAGTGTGTTGAAAATTGGGCTGAGATAAATTGATAGTTTTCTTGCCATCTCCAGATGATTTCCAAGCTGTACATGGATCAGAATGCAGTGCTCATCTGGAATGGCAACAGTGTAATGGGCAAGGATGAGATACAGAAATTCTTTCAAGAACAGTTGCCACCAAGCCGGCATACTTTCTATTCACTTGATGCACATCCAGTCTCAGGTTTGTCAGCCTCCTTTTCTGTGACTTTTTTTTTTAAGCATCTAATCCATCTCTTTCACTATATGCAGTCATGTCATTCATTCCTTCATAGGTTCATCTATAGAGTTACCAATCACAAAATCCTATGTTTCAGAAAAAGTCAAAACCTCAGTAATGTTATTGAGTAACAGATTACTCATGTTCCTCTGTTGTGTTGGTATACTGTATTTTGAGAATTTTTCAATGTATGAAACATAAAAATAGATCATTAGTATAGAAAAGGAAAAACAGTCTAAATTATATTTTTCTTTTTTCAATACTTTTCTATTTAGTGGATCATTTGAACAGCTGCTGACTTGAGAAAATAACCACCTAAGATCCAATTAAAAAAATTAAATCTGTTGGATGCATGGTCTCAGGAGGTTAATGCTCCAATAACAATGTATATTTATTGCAGCTCAATGAATTTTTACTTGTGAGATCAGGGAAAATTTCAGTGAACTGCAATAAATATAATCCAATGGCAATAATTTCCTAAGTCAGGAGTTTTTCTTAGCTGGGCCTCTATTCCAAATGAACCCTTTTAATGCAACATTCATGGAATTTTTAAATATGCTTTTCATTTCTAATTTTAATTTTTTTTAAGTTTATGGACAAAGACAGGTAAGGGAAGTTGCTTTACTTTAACAAGCATGCAGGCAAATTAAAAAAAACCTACACTTGCCATCAATAATAGGTAGAAAACTAAGTGTCATTTCATTCTGTTTTCTTTTGTCATTTCATTTTGTTTATTTGGTTTCTTTGGTCAATTTTCCCTGATCCCTCATGCACCAGTGATTTCTATCTTCTGACCTTATAAGATATCCCTCCTGACATATACCAGATTGCACGAAAGAAGCATACTATATAATGCTCAATGAAACCATCTGTAGAAATCCTAGGTTTATAATTTTTTGCACCATGCATCATCTCAAAAAATTTGTTTTTGGAAAGTTTGAAGTGTCTAGGTCATTTAGATATAGACAGCAATTATCTTTAAAAATTCAATAAAATTATTCTGCTTTTTTTCATATCAAGCTAGAACAGTTCTACCAATTATGACATGGTTTGCTTTCTGTAGATGCATTCACTGGGAATCAGACAACCATCTTGATAAAAACCACTGGGAAAGTGAGGTTTGGTGAAGGACGTTTGCACTGTTTCCACCAGAACTTTGTGATCTTTGCTCAAGGTGATAAATGGAAGGTGGTCTCAGATTGTCTCAGATTCCAAGGGAGTACTTTCTTATCGTGACTTCTATGTTACTTTGATTATTTTTCAAAGAGCTTGTTGATTTCTTTGATCACCCTCATTGGTTTTTCCAGAGCTTGTTGATTTATTTGATCATCCTCATTGCAAGTACCTGAATCTCTGTGTATCATCTTGTACGAAATGAAGAAATGAAGCATATTGGCTTGGTGAAAAAATTTGTAGTTTCTTTCCTATGATGTATGATTTTGTCCCAAGATGCATCATATGCATCTCTCCAGGAGTGGAAGTTGGAAATATCAGATGATGGAAAGCCCTATTTTTCCTCCTTGCAAGCTTGCTTTTTTCTTTTTTTCCCCCTTCTCATTTCTGTCTCTCTGGCAGCATTGCTGCAGCCACTACTTCTTAAATTCATCCAGACAGAAATAAAAAGTTAAGACTGCTAATCTATCACACACACAAGTATAATTGCATAGCTTACAAGCTTCTATGAGTGAGCTTGGGCTGTTTCATACCTCAATTATTCAAATGGGATTCAACCCAGATTCGTTCTACAGGTATGTTTTGCAGAGTGAATAACTTCTAAATGTAATGTCTTCAGTAAAGTTTATTGAACTGTCATATTCACTGATCTTGTTCAGTTCCAGCTTATATTTTACATATACTTTTATTTTACATTCATGGGCACTGACACTGAGAGAAAAATGTATCACCCTGCCTAAATAGGATTCCTTATAGGGGAGATTTATAGATATGTTTAAATTGGTTGCATAGAAAAAGTTTTCAATTGTGATTAAAACTAACTCATCATTGTCATCTTTACTCATGAGGTATATCACCTTTCAAGATATCATTAGAGAAAAGGGAGAGTAGGAGTTGGGGCATGAAAAAAAAGCCAATGTGGGGATTGTTTAACCCTTTCAGTCCTGGATTATGTTCTAGGCATTAAAAAAAATATGTCATATACTTTTTGGGCTTCAACAAGGTTCATATAAAAGTGCTTTTAAAATGGTTTCCTTAAGTAAAATAAATATTTATTCAATTATTATTTTTTAAATTAATTGCTTAATAAAATTATTATATTTAGTTAGTTCAGCTAGTACTAATATCCCTATTTTACATCACATGTTTCCAGCATTCCTATACTACTTTCCGTTATCTAGCTTGCAAAAACCTAGAAAAAATTGGGAAAGAAATGTATTAGCTGAAATAAATGCAAAAGATGACATCATTTTGGAAGTGCTGGAGGAAATACAGCAGCTTTATATTACTGTGGACTGCTGACAACTTGACAACTTGAGGTGAACTACTATACACTGGGACTCAGAATCCCACCATGGTCTCTTGGTCATGCATCCCTGTGTAACCCTACAACATATGCGAAGAAAATGCAGGACTCCTGAGTCCCACTCAGGCTGAAAGGGTTAAATTACATTTGCATTGAGGGAATATAAATTGGGGATTACGCTTGGTGGTTGTATGGTCATCCCTTCCAAGAATGAAGGGGGTGGGGGACAAATAATCCAATGAACTGGAGTCGACTTCAATGACATGGATGCACAAGGAATTGAGCTGTGTCTTCAATCAGTGAATCTACTGTGGCTCATCATCCTTGGAGAGGGGATTTACATTAAGTCTATGCTGGAATTTTTTCCAGAGGAAGGATGGATAAAGATTCTGGAAGCATATGATTGAATTTGTTGCCAAGGTAATTTGATTGCTGTTGACATGTTAGTCCTGTGAGGAGGTGTTACATTCTGGAGTAAAATGAAAACTACCTGTTCTCAGTCAAAAAGGAGGCCATTTTATTTTCTTAAATATTCCATCCAATATTATGCAAGGCTCATGCTTTTAGGCACATGCCACATTATGTGAATTAGGAAGATTCCTGTCTAGTGGAAAGGAATTTCACCCAGTACTTCAAATGCAATAACTTTGAAAAGTTATTGTATCAGTATTGTATAAGTGTCAAATCACAGTGAACAAGGGCTCTGCACCCTGCTACTAGCCAGGTGCATCAATTTGGTGCTCTCCAAAATCACTGCAGGTGGCAGGCAGTCCCACTGATGAAATTGGTTTTTGTTAACTTTGATTTAAATTGAATGATTATGATGAAATTTTTTCCATCATGCTGTTTGTTTACTTACTACTTACATGTTGTGGATGCCAAGGAATTTTATTTATTTATAACAAATGCCATTTAGAGTACCTGGATTGTGTATAGTGTGTGGCTGATTGCATCCTAAACATGAGGATGGCAGTCTTTCAGCATAAATTAGTCCATTTGCATTGAACCATGCAGACACATATTTACTACATTTTAAGATGATCAATTTCTTGCATATAATTTCCAGATATATTCCCTGATATATAAGCTATGGTGTCATCTGTGAACAAGGTTTAAGTTGATGGGGGATTGGTTTTCAGTTAGTCATTAATGTATAACCTTATGAATCCCAACCACTATCTCAGTTATATTACTCTGTGCTTTATCCCATTTGAGTTGAACCTGATGAGGTTAGATGTGAAAGTTCAGAAGTCTGGACAAGACCATGAAATCAGGTTAATGTTTTTATTCTCTTCCACTTCATGCTGAACTTACTGGTGGAATTCCCCAAATCAATTTCTCTTAGGTTTCAGGCACAGTTATGCATTACCATTTTCGTATCTTACTCTGATGTTATTCTTGGATGTCAGCTGCATAGTGGATGAATACTTTTCTCTCAAAAAGTTGACAGAAGTATTTATTTTTCATGCAGTATGTTAAGCCTTAGTGAAGCATTTATTCTGGGTTAAGAAAGATTACGCTTCCTTCCATCAAAAATTGTATGAAAATCTTTTAAACTGTTCTAGCCATTTTTTTGTGTTCACTGTAATTAGATAAAATCAGTAGTTTAATATTACATTTTCATCAGTTCCTTCACCAACTTTATTGAGCATAGCATATTCACTGCCATTAGGGTTTTCTCTAGACTAAACAGGAAAAAACAGAATATGAGCCACATCAGGGATGTTTTCATGATCATCATGAAGATGATAATAGTCATTAAGGTGACAATCAAGTCCTATCTGGTGACACCAAAGGTAAGAAGAGGAAATTCGCCCTGATGGGTCTTGGGAGATATCACTTGATTTCATCCCAGGGTCCATAAATCTGTACAACTTCAGGGCACTCCTGTTGCTGTAAGACTCTAGAATACTAGTAGCATACATTCTTCTTTGTGACATCAACCAATATAATAGTTATATTCAGTGAAAGTATTGTCATTCAATTTATTGTTGTTTCAGTAGTTTCAGTAATGCATGATTTATTACTCATCATTGATGGTCCTTTTTGCATAGGCTATGCCATTTTTATTGGATTTGTTAAATTGCTGTTTAAATATAGAGAACAAATCTCATGTTACCCAGTTTTTCCTTTGGAGCAGTAATTTCTTTGACATTTTTGGAAAGTTTGCAATGTGGACATTGAAAAGAACAAGGTTAAGAACAATAAATATATGAAATTAGTTCATGTTTTCCCATGAATACCATGGAAAGAGTCATTTTGATTTTCTTGCATGGAGAGTGAATGACTAGCCTAGTGGTCAGAGAGGTCAGACATTTCTGTTCATAGAATAGGTATCTTTAGTGGTACAACATTTGTGAAGGTATTATTGACTAGAGAATGTGACTTGGGTCTGGCTGACTCTTCTATTGCATTGTCTATACTCATGCATGTGAGTAGGTCATTATGTAAATAAGGGTTTTAGTTTTCTATTAAAAAGTGACTGGTTTATTGCATCTCTGATTTGTGTGGGAAATTTCCATACTTTTATCCAACAGATGGAAGATCATGATATAGTATTACTGTCATCAGATGATGAGTTGTCTGAAGGTGTACAAAGCAGTTCACATGTCAAAGGAAAGAAGAAGAAAGTGGTACATGATAGAGAACTTACATGTTTATCTTGCTCGTGTGAGCAGCCCAAACTGAAGCTTGCCGAACTCTTTGTGCAAGTCTTCTATGGCTATCCAGTACACCCACCAGAGAAGTTAAAAAAAAGAAAAGTTTGTGGTGCATGCTGGGACCGGGCCAAAGAGGCTTACAGTGAGATCCAAGATATCATCAAAAAGGGAGAGCCCTTTTATGAAAACAAGAAGGTGTTGGAGTCTCGCCCTATAGTCACCCTCTCAGATTCAGAGAGTGGCTCAGATGAGGAAGGTGAGCTCTTTTTGTGTTGTTGTATTCATATTTCTTTGGGACTGTCGTCAAAATCCAATTTTGATTTCCCTAGTAAGTGAGCCAAGGAAGCCATCTGAATCGCAACGTCAGCTAATTCAGGAGCAATATGAGAAATCTGGACTCAAGGCTTACATGGAGCAGCAGTTGGAGAACTTGCACATGGTACAAGAGGAAAATGAAACAGACTTCAATGAAATCGAAAGGCAAGCCCAGAGCATTCAAAAGGACTTGGATGAAATTCGTGCCAGTATATATGAAGGTTGGGGCCCAAATTACCATTTAGTGGAAGAAATAGTTATTGAAGATGATGACTTTGAGATTGCTAGATCTCAAATAGAAGCTCATGTTGATGAGTTGGATTCTGAAAAGAAAAAATATGAGCCTCCCAAGTTCAAACTACCAACTCATATGCAAGATGCTCTGAGTTCTAGCCTCAGTTGGAGTGCTAGTACTCCATCAAGTGGGAAGCTGTACTTGCAGGGCAAAGAACAAAGTTCTCAAGCAAATGAACTTCCTGTAAGTTTCATAATTCTTTCCTCATTCTCAAATGTAAATTTTCAGCTTTTCTAAGCTCTCCATAATTGTTTCCTATATTTAAAGGATATCATTCATGAGAAGGATGTGAAGCCAATGGATGCCCTGAAATGTGTAAATGTGGGAGCTCCCCTGGAGAAACCTGAACTTCACAGTGGAATGGAAGTGTTTGTTGCTGAACGAAGCAACATTTGTGCACCATGGACTCTAGTCTCCATCCTTGATGGCCCCCATCCAAGTGTTCGAGACGGACCAGTAAGCAAGTCAACATCTTTGTTTCTCAAGTCCAATTTTTTTTAAAAAGACATACTAGACATATCTTCAAAGTATTTACCTCGCAGGTATTCCGAGTTCGTTCCAAGAGACACAAGAGGGTGAACAGTTTCATGCCATCTAAAAAATATATGGCCTATAGCTTTATTTCCAACCAAGGCTTTCCAATTGGGACACGTGTCATTGCCAATTATCGACATGAAGAGGATAAGGAGAAGACACTTTCCACCATGCCAAAAATAAAAACATTCTATGCTGGCATTGTGGGTGAGATTCCCAAGAGCATCAATCGTTACAGGTCAGTCTCAAGTTTGTTTGATTTTTTCCCACCATTTCTTACAGTGGCATGCAGGGCTCACAATGACAAGTTGGTTGTTTCTCTCCCTTGCATCATTTTTTGTGTTGTTATGTCTCTTCTGGCTTTTTTGTGCCATTTATTTCACTTTTGTTTTTGTTTTTGTCCTAAAACGTTGAAGCCTTCAATTTTCATGTTTATATATATATTTTTCTTGTGGATTAAATCCCCTTTGTCTATTCTTCTATTCCTTCCTCCTGCAAGGGGGATCTCCTAGTTGGAATGATATCTTCCACTGCCATACATTTTTTAAATCAACAGTCATGTTTCCCTTCATGGGGGGAATTGAATGCTTATGGATTATCAGTTTTCTATTGTGATTTAGCACTCCCCTTCTCAAATTCCCTTTAGACTATGCCCAAATTCTGTCAATCAATCAACTAGAATGTCACCACAGTTTGTAATCAGTAAACTAGGACTTCTGTTTGCAAGGTAACTGATAAATACGTCAAAGTACTCCCACCTTCTGAAGGTGATGTATTGATATTAGTGAAGGTGATGTATTGATATTAGTGTCTTGACTTAATCTTGAATTAAACTAATTTATCCCAATTTCAAGTAATGAACATACTTTCAAAGCATGATCAGATTTGTAGTGTCCTTGCTAAAATGACACTGTGAAAGCATATAAGAGAAACCAAATGAAATGTTGTCACTTCTTGAAACAATAAGGAGCTTGTCTGTATCAGTGACCAATATTTTACTCATGAATTCATTTGAGTGTGAGTGTCCCATTGCAGTAATACAATGAATATTTGAGAGTTTCAATTCAGAATTCAGCAAGTACTGCATTCATCTGCTCACCATTTATATTTATGTACTTGTGTCCAGTGTGAAAGCCTTCATGCTGTCATGTTAGCTACAAATGAAAGTAAATTATGTATATTGTAGGTCTAGTGATGATACTTTTTCCTCAGAATTAGAAAAATGGCCCTGAAGTTTTGATTCAGAGACTTGTTCTCATGTTTTGTTGAATCTTGTTACACATTACTCACCCAGTATAAAATCCTCATGCCTTATTTTACCTGTATCTGGCATATTACAGGTACCTGATCTTCTTTGATGATTCATACACTCAATATGTGCCACATGAAGAAGTTAGACTGGTTTGTGATGCATCTGAAAATGTATGGGAGGATGTGCATTTCTCAACCCGCCCTTTCATCCGAGCATACCTTAGCAAGTATCCTGAACAAGTCACTGTCAAGTTGAAGAAAGACCAGCATGTTAAAGTTGAATTGGATGGTGAGAATTGGAGAAATGACTATCTACCAAGGGTGAGTAAGGAATCCCTCGAGGACTAAAGTGTACCTTGAATCTGATTCTCTATGTAGGGAAATGGAGGATGGCACGGGTGTTGGAAGTGGATGCCTCCCTGGCCAAACTGGCCTACACAAGTGATGATTTTACAGAATGGATCTATCGAGGCTCTGCTCGCCTGGCAGCTATGCACAATCATCTGGTGGAACAACAAACTCACAGTAAAGGAAGTCGTCACCGCCACGATGTCCTCCGAGCATCACAGAAGAATGTAAGCCTCATAACTATTATTCTGTTGCAGGAAGATCATGGAGGCTCGAAAGTAATAGTTATCTTTTTCAGAGAGATGCTCCATTTATTGAATACAACATTCAAACGGAAACTGGGGACGAGGCAGAAGATGGCCAGAGTGAGTTCAGTTTCATGGTTTTCTTATAATGCCAGTGTGGTCACCTCCTCCTAGTGCTGAGTAGCTGCATATTGGCTTTTCTTGGCAGAGGTTCGAAGGCAAGTGGCAAGAAAACATGGATCAGGGATTAGGCAGACAGCCAGGAAGACAGGATCTGCAGTTGGTGTTGGAGAGCGATCAGATTCAGATGATTTTGAACTGCCACTTGCACTCTCAAAGGAATATGAGGGAGAACTTGTTGTCAGTTTTCTTTTCAAATATGAGGGGTGTTCAAAAACTTTCCTGCCCAATCCAATTTCAGTTGTAATACACTATTCTATGGTATGACACAAGTCAGTTGACAAATTAGAAAAAACAACTTTCCCTAAAATCTTTGTTTTTGCTTGGCAGGTGCTGACTGAATACTCTTAATGGAAATGCATATCAACCATGCTGTCACCAGGACAACAAGTTGAGCTTGTTGTTCTGGTGTCACCCTGTCCAATCCACTTATCACCAAACATCAGTTTCTGAGCAAAGTGTGCAAAGAGCAAACTCGTTGTTCTGGTGTCAGCATGGTTGGTATGTGTATCTGTTAATTCAGGCAGCACCTGCCAAACCAAAACAAGATTTTAGACAAAGTTGTTTTTTCTCATTTGTCAACTGACTTTTCTGTCACACTGTACCTTTTCATAATCATTGATAGACATGTTGAAAGTTGACTGCAAAAGATTCATCACACTTGGTGGTGGTAAAAGAGCTTTTTTTATTTGTTTTTTTTTTGTATCCTAGCTAAGAGATTTCTGAAAAATATAAAAAAAAATTGAGACATGGGTGGTGCTCAATTTTCTCGTCCTTGAGGGGGCAGTCTCCCAGCGGGTCTTTGAGTAGAGGGGTCAGTAGAGGGCTGTCCACTCTACCACATATTGATCAATTTTATTATCCTATCTGAGAAAATTCATCTCTCCTTGTTGATTTTCAATATTCTTCCAAATACCCTTTGGCAGCAAAATGAAAAAATCCATTAAAATGTTCAGTCATCACTAAATGTGATGAAACTTTGCCATTCAACTTTCAATGTGTCTGTCAAAGCTTTTAAAAAGGAGGAACAGTGTCTTATGACTGGAAGTGCCTTGAGTCATGCATTTTTCAATCCTCCTAGAAGGGAAATTTGTGTCTATGGCTTCTGATTACGTGGTAGTACAGTGAAAACTCGTTAACTCGAATCCTGATAAGTCGAAATTCTGCTTATCTCAAAGTTCAAAGCTTGGTCCCGGTGGAACCCCGTAGGACACCATGTTAAATTCTCAGTTTAACTCAAATTCGCTTATCTCGAATTTCCGGATATCTCGAATGAAATTTTCACTCCCTATAGTGATTTTCTCACGGTTAACTCGAATTCTGGGTGAGTAGGGGGGAAAATTCTTCTCGTGGGACTTTTCGATTTTTGAATAGAATGAATGACAAGAAACTCGTTCGGGAGGATGTTCTTTTGTCTTTTTT